CCTGCTACAGCCTCCTGGCCCCAGAGAGCTGCTCTTACCACCTCTCGTTGTCACCCAGGCCCAAAGGGAGGGAGGGCAGCACCTGTCCGATTGGGAAAGGTGGGGAGGGGGGTGTGCAGGTCACATGTGTGTGCTGTCATGGTCTTTTGCTCTGGGCCCAAGTGGTGAGGTGCTTCCTGCCCCCAGGGTGAGCACGAGTTAAAGAGGGTGAGAGAAAGTCAGAGACGGGTCTGGAACCCACCATTGCCCCTGGGCTGTACCCTGGGAAGCCAGGTGGAAGTGAAGCTGGGAGCAACTGATACAACCCAAGCAACTCCCCCATCCCTTTATGTGCCCCACCCTCACTGTGCCTCAGTTTCTCAGAGAGGAGAGCTGGCTCCAGGCCTGGTAAGTTAAACAGGGGTTGGGATGGGTTCCCATGGAGGGAGAGGGAGCTAACTTATGCCTGGGAGATGGGAGGAGACCACAAGGTAGCCCATACTCTGGTGCGGCTCTGTGGCATGGCCTTGGCACACCGTTTCCCTCCCCTGGGCCCTTGCAGTATATAGATGAGTTGAACAGGCAGCTGTCCGAGGGTCCTTCTAGCCATAGGAATGCCAAGTGTTTTTGATGATCTAGAGGCCAAAGCTCTCGCCCCCCGCTCCCCCCCAGACCCGCCCCTCGTGCTTCAGTCTCTCCATCTGAGAACTGGGAAGAGAGCTGCTGCTGTGGGTACATGCACTCAGTGTAGAGATTTCCACTCCGTCCCACGAGTTCTCCACTCGCTCCATCCTCAAGCCAGGACTCAGAACCTCACAGCCCAGTACCTCAGCCCAAGGTGAGCCCTAGGAATCTCCATGGCAACAAACTGGTTATGAACAGGGCTGCAGTTGCTATGGTGACAGGTCTCTCTCTTTTTCTCTTCCCTCTCTGTTCCCCTTCTCTCTTCTCAATGAACCAGAGCGATCCGCAGGCCTCAGCTCTCCAGGTGGGGTGGGGGTGGGGGTGGGTGCATGAGAAGGGGGTCCGGATTGGGAAAGGGGAAAGATGGGCTGAGTCTGCAGGGGAATGGGGGGCTGTTGGGGTGCCATTGCCATGGTGACGGGGCTGCAGCCTGTTAATTAAGCCCCCGGTTGCCACGGAGACAGTGGTGGTTGCCGTGCTCTGCGGTGAGCCCTGTGTGCGGGGAGTGTGCTGTGTGCTGGACTCATCAATTCACTGCTAGGGGCTTGGGGCATGCAGATGGGGGAGAAGGAGAGTGAAAGAGGGGGTCAGGGCCTTGGCTCCCTGAGGCCAAGGCTGGGAGTGGGTGGCTAGGTCCTGAGGGAATGCTGTGGCGATAAGGGTGGATAGAACCCTAAGGGGGAACTCTGGGCCTGCCTCTAGTGGAAAGAGGATCCAGTCGTGTGGTCCAACTTCCTCCAGACAACCCCTCCTCCCGGCTCAGTGGGTGGAGCCCTGGAGGTCAGAGAGTGGGAGTCTAGTCCCCACGTGCTCCCAAGGTCACCCCATCAAGAAAAAATGTGTCCCTTTCCACTCTAGCTTCTGATTTCACTGTAAGTGGGAAACATGTAAAGTCTCTTCCAGTTTCTAAATTCTGATACCCAGGAGGCAGCTTCTCTGTGCTTTTTTCTCTCTGAGAAACACAAGGAAGGAGGGGACCATGAGTTTTAGAGACTCCAATTCAACCACAGGCCCCGGCCAGCTCTGCATCTTGCGTTGCTTTAACGAGAAGGCTCCCCTGGCCTGATATCTCCCAAGGGCTCTGGGCTGGCAGCTGGGTTCCTGGGGCTCCAAGCTGGGGTCACCTCTTGCTGGCCAATGGCAAGTTGGCATTGCAGGAGGCGCTTGCAGTGTGCTTCTTAAAGCTTCCCCCGGAGGACTGGCTGGAAGGCAGGATGGGGCCCAGACTCCTTGAGAGGCACCGGTGTCCACTGTGGGCCTGGCGTCTGCTCACGTGGCCTGGGGCCTTCAGGGAGGGTCTGCGGCCAGGCTCTGGGACTAGCAGGGCACACTGAGTTTTCAGAGCAGGAAGAAGTAGGATTGTGCATCCTCACCCTCTCCTTTTATAGTCAGGGACACAGGCCCAGAGAGAGGAAGCCAGTTTTCCCCAGAATTTGGGGGCAGGGGCTAGGATGGAACCAGTCTCCCATATCCCAGAGGTCTCCTGAAACAATTCTAGCAAGGGTAGACAGAGGGGACACCCAGGGGAAGTGGTATCACTCCTGCCTTCGTCTAGGGAGCTAGATTTTCCACCTGTAGGTGGGCTCAATCCCCGAGTGGTCAGTACTTTAACGAGCTCTGGACCACACGCAAAGGGGAATACGCCCAGGGGGACGTCAGACTGGGGGCTGCTGCAAACCTTCTGCCTCTACTTTATTCCTCTGCGCTCCTCATACAAGCATCTTCGTGTTCCACTGTTACCCATCTCTGCTAGCTGTAGTGCTGCCACCGCTGCCGCCAGTGTGCGTGTCGTGGAATGCCCAGAAATTCTGAAACAGTGGCTTTCCTTCCTGCTGTCCTTTTAACCCCTATCACCGACCAAAACTCGCCTCACCTATTTTGTAGTTTTATCGGGACAGCCAAGAACACCGGGGCTCACTCCTTGTCTGCATAGCTAACTCTCCACCCAAGAGGGCACATTAGGCGTCCACAAAACAAAGTGGCGGTGACACCTGATTGGTAGATCCATCAGAAGCACCTTGGACTCATCTGCTGAAGACAACTTGTTGACCCCAACCTGAGACCATTGACAAATTTGTGTAAGGGAGTTTGAGCAGGGATCCTGTCCCTGGTTCTAAAAAAAAAAAAGTCCTGTAACAGAGTCTCTGTGGCTATGGACGGCTCATTAGGGCCCTTACAGGCCCAAATGCAAGCCAAGAGGCCACTCCGACCCTACAGCTTTGAAGCCCGGAAACAAGAAGAGGGAGAAATCTCATCTCAGACCCAATTCCTGTTCTTTTTTTGGAGCCAAAAATCAGGGGCCACAGAGCCACTTCCATATGACTATGCCCTCGTCCCTTCTACTAGAGATAAGGCCGGTTCCGAAAGAAGTTCTGTTGGGGAGGAGAGTCCTAAATTAGAGTAAACTGGCTTCTAGATCGAGTTCTGCCTCTGACTGACTGCCATTGTGTCCACAATCATCTCACCTCTTTGGGCCTCAATTTTTTCAACTGTAAAATGAAAGCTGTGCGTTACCCAATCTAAGATGACTTCTGGAATTTATTCCTTTTCATTGTACTTAAAAGGCAGAAGGAAGGAGCAAGAAGAGAGAGGGAGGGGGATCTTATCTCTAATTCCACTCAGTTGACCTCCCAAATGCCTGCAACAGCTAGGATTGGGCCAGGCTGAAGCCAAGAGCCAGGAACTCAATCTGGGTCTCCCACATGGGTGGCAGGCACCTAAGTACTTGACCCTCCACCTGCTGTCAGGATGCACATTAACTGGACCCTGGATGGGAAGTAGAGTAGCCGGGATCTGAACCAGGCACTCTGATATGGCATGTGGGTATTTAAAATTTGACTTAAGCTTCTATGCCAAATACCTGTCCCTATTTGTTAATTTTTTTTTTAAATTTACTTGAGAGAGAGAGAGAGAGAGATAGTGAAAGAGAACTTCTGTCTGCTGGCTCACTGCCCAAATGCCCACAACTGCCAGAGCTGGGCCAGCCTAAAGCCAGGAGCCCAGAGCTCTCAATCCGGGTCTTCCATGTTGGGAGCAGGGACCCAAGGACTTGAGCCATCCTCTGCTGTGTCTCAGGGTGCATCAGCAGGAAGCTGAGCTAGGATTTGATCCCAGGTGCTCTGATATGGGATAGGAGTGTCTTAACCCCTGTACCAAATGCCCGCCCCTGTACCAAATGCCCGCCCCTCTCCTGGAATGTAAGGACCAGCATTATGACCTAGGGCGAGTCTGAAGATCATTTCTACTCCTACCCTCGGATATTTAGATTCCCCAGCTACTCAAAGGCTCCAATGTCGCCTCCTGGGATGTCTCTGCCACTGGCCCCAGCCCTGATCTAGGGGTGCTGTGGAGTCCCAGGACGATCAAGCTTTGTAGATCTGGACTCAGGAGGGGGAGGAATGCAGAGAGCACGTCAGCTCTGGAGGCCTCAGAGAGCAATCCTGGATTAGGGGATTAGACACTCCTGCCCCAGGAGAAAATCTGGTCCCACACCGGCAGGCGGCCTCATTCCACCCTCCCCCACTCTGCCCCTGGCCAGCCTCAGACCAGCCTGCCCTCCCTGCAGGCTGCGCCATCCCTGGTGGAGAGAGGGCTCCCCAGAACCTTGCTGCTGCCTCTTCCTCTGCAAGCCCTGGGCATTCCGCCGGCAGAAGGTCTTGGTCTCGGGGTGGGATGCTGGCACTGCTGTCCTCAGCAGGTGAGAGTTCACTGGAACTCCTCAGCTTCCATCCCACCCAGTTAAAGATCCATAGACCAGCTATCCCAGGGACCTGACCCCCGCTGCGGGCAACACACTCGCTTCCGGTCTCCGGGGTCTGCATGTCTCCAGCACCCACCTCTTAAACAGCCAAAGGGGAGGGGGTCTGGTTCTCCACTCCCTTAGGGGCTGGCCTCTCAGCTTTGCAGCAGGCTGCCCAGGGCTCCACTTCCAAAGCACCCCCCGCCGCCTCAGTCCCCTTCTTCTCCCTGGGGGTCACTCCAGACCCCCAGTCAGGCAGCCGCTGCGGGGCCGCCTCCCCATGGCCGCGACCTAGTTCCCTGCCGTTATTTTTAGGGCGCGGGATGGCACCTGCCCACGTGCCGGGCCCCGCCTGCGCCGGAGAGTGGGGGGGCGGCTAGCTGCGTCTGCTCAAGGAAGGCGAGGTCCCCGTCCCCCGCAGCACCCCCGCCATCCCACCCGCGCGAGCCCCTGGTTTTTCTGCGAGGGGGCCGCCAGGCGCGCTCTGCCCACCCCTCGTCCCCTTTCCCCCTCCCTCCCGTTCTCCTCCCCACCCTAAAGCCCCGCCAGTGGCTCACGCCTCCTGCATACGGGATGAGGTGAGCAGCGCCGCCGCTGCGAGGGGGCGCGCGCGGGTGTGAGCGTGTGTCCGTGTGCGAGTGTGTGTGCGCCGGGCGGGCGGGCACTGCAGCTTCTTCCTCCGTGGAGCGGAGAGCGACAGAGCTAGAGCGAGCGGGCGAGCGGCGAAGGCGGGCAGAGGGGCGCGGGCGAGGCGGCGCAGCCATCCCCGGCCCGGCGCCGCGCCGCCACCATGCTGAACAACCTGACGGACTGCGAGGACGGCGATGGGGGTGCCAACCCGGGTAAGCAGTGGTCTGGGGGCGGCGAGCAGAGCAGGCACAGGCGGCTCTGGGGGTAGAGCCGAAAAAGCTGCCACCGAACCGGCGGTGGGCGCCCGCGGCGGCCTGGAGCCTGGCTCCATTGGAATGCGCTAGGCGCTGTCCGAGGTGCTGGAATGCGCCGCGCTCTGGGGCACAGCCCGGGGCCCCGGGATGGTTTTTGCCCACGGCCTGGGGGCGGACCTGTGTTAGTCAAGCCGAGGAAGCGTTGGGAAAGGGGATGGAAGGGCTACAGTGGGCTGACGTGGAGCTCGACGGGCGGGAGGAGAGCTCCTTTTCCTGAGAGGGGACCCAGGAGTCCTGGCGCAGAGCCGGGACCGGTGGCGCCGGGGGGCGCAGTGTACTGCAGTCCCTGGCTCTGAGACTTCCAGCTGGAAGGCTGGGGGAAAGGTGTCTGTGGGGGGCTGGGGCCATATGACTGCCCCCGTCTGGGCTGCAGCGGCTTCTTAGGGGACACTTGGTGCAATCGGGGCCCCCTCCCCCAAGGCTTTCCGGGGTCCGACCTCACTGTGAAACGTGCCTTCCCGGTAGATTTTTCAGCACTACTTAGCGGAATCTCCCTCTCGCTTCCCCGTGGGTTCCTATTCAGGACGGGAAGCAGGCTCACCCTCCCTTCTCCTTTCCCCCTCCTCGGGGTCCCTGGGGCGGCAGTGAGCTTTCCAGGGCGGGGCAGGGGGGAGTCTTTCTAGTTAGCTCAGCTTGGATTCCCAGTGAGGCCTCGGAAATGGGGTCCCAGCGGCCGAATCGCCAGCGCCGCGGCGCGGACACTGCGGACGCGCTGCGGTGGGTGCGGAGACTTGTCAGGAGCCGGGGGGCTAGGAGCTAGTCCTTTGGCCGCTCGCGCTCCTGCCGCCCTCCTCCGCTATTTCCCTGCTCTGAGGTCTTGGGGCCAGCCACCCCCTCGGGCTCCCAGGCCCCCAGCCGCCCCCCAGCGGCCTCAGCCATCCATCACGGCTGTCAGCCGCCCCCACCCCCCACCCTCCGGCGGCGCTGCGTCCCCTGCGCACTAGCGTGCCTCCCGCGCCTGCTGTCTGCGCTCAGCACCTTCAAACGCTCCCCTGGGCATTGCTTGACCCTCTGGGCCGAGACTCCCGCAGCCCTGTCTGGGCGACAGCTGGAGGGCCCCTGAGGGCTAAGGGAGCAAGGTCTTCGAGGGACTGGCAGCTTTCATTGAGACCCTGGGGACCCTGCATCTCAGGCAGGGTCATCAGGCCCCTTGGGAAGGCTTGGGACACGAGGGTCCCTGATCCTTGGTCTGAGACACCCCTCTCTCCATCCCAGTTCCCTGGGGCTGAGCCGGGCCAGAGCTACCAGCTGGCCAACTCATCCATCTCCCCAGTGACCCCGGGGTCACCTCCTCCCCGCGGGCTTTGACCGTAGGGGGAGGGAGTTTGGCAAAGTCCAGTCTGCTGCAGCAGCACTGAGGTGGGGGTGGGGGGGGTGGGAATTTCCACCTAGGATCCCCTCCAAACAAGTGCTCAGCCTGTGAGGTGATCTCTCTGCTCCCCCAGACACAAGGTTTGGTCCAGCCCCAGGCACCTGCTTCCTCTACCAAGGCCTCATGGGGGCTCCGGGGTTCCCTGGGGTCTCAGGAGGCCCAGACAAGAGCTATCTATGTGTTAAAGCCGAAGAGGGGCTAGGAACTCTTCTGGTCTGTCCCCTCCCTGTTCATTTCAGAGCTGAGTGTAGTGGGCCTATCTGGAGACTGTCTTTCTATATATAGGGCCTAGGACCTGGAACTGGAGGGCTAGAGCCTGGGTCAGGCGTTCTGGGTCCCATAGAGAGAGGACTTCCCAGCAACGCTCAGAGATGGTGGCAGGAAGTGTTCTGGGTCTTCTGGACCTGAAGGAAGAGGGAGAGTCAGATCAAGAGCCCCTGGTGTCTGATTCCAGGTTCTTGGACTGTTGACCGCGGGGAGATGGGAACGGCCCCAGTGAGAGGGCTCCTCTGGACTACAGTGGAACTCAAGGATATAGACGCTGCCCCCCAGGCCCTGTTTTCCTTGGGGTCTGATGCCCCCTCTCCCTACCCAAGGTGGCCTGGGGATTCCCTCGGGCCCATCCCTAGGCCCCGGGGGAGGCTCCCTAGCCCGCGCCGTTTCGCCTGTTTCCTCCCTGGGAGCTCTGGCCGCCGCAGCTTAATTGAAAGCCGATTCGGGTTGAGAGTTCCCAGGGGGCGGGGGTGGGGAGGGCTCAGCTTCAGTCTGGCCCTGCCTCTTGCGCCGCACAGCTCGCCGCTCCCGCATCACCCTAGCTCCTGGCTCTGGGGAATCAGGGCGAAATTCCCCTTAGCTGTCCTATTCCTTTGAGGACCCAGAAAGAAGCTCAGCCCCCAACCCCCTCAACCAGTGAGGCCGGCATTCCCGGAAGGGGATGCAATCGGCTCTGGCAGACACGGTCCGAGCCTGGCGTCCCGCCGGAGCGGCGAGTGCAAAGGCGAGACCCAGAACGAGCCTACCGTGCGGCCCCCTCCCCTGCCCTCCTCTCCTGGCCCGGATCCGGCCGGGAGTCTAGCTCCGCGCTGCGCGCCGCGTTACATAAGCGGCTGCGGGCGCGTGGCCGGCTCGGAGCTGCGCTCTCTGGCCCGCGCGGTCGCCATGGAGACTGGTGCAGGGCCGCCAAGTTGCGGGGTCTCCGGCCCGGACGCCCACCTTCCTGCCCCCTACGCGCCTTCTGCCCCCGCGAAGGCAACAGAGCTTGGGAGCCAGTGTGAAAGGCGGAGGGGAGGGACTCGCCTGTCTGTTCTGGTCCTGAGGGGACATCGTGGGGGAGAGGACCCTACAGAAAGCAGAGCCCCTGGGCTGGGGAGCTGGGGCTGGGTCAGCAACACATAACGCTGTTAATAATCATAACCGTAGTAGTGGCTGCGGGGGCTTGGCCAGTGTGCTGGGCACACCCAGTGGGCAGCCTTTCCTGGTATCCCTGCAACCCTTTGAGCTCAGCGCACCCATGTCCCTTTACAGAGGTGGAGACTGAGGCTTAGGGAGTTTAAGTGAGTTGCCCCATGTGAGGATGCACCTGGATCCGCGTGACTTCCGCTCTGTCTTTCCATTAGGAAATTTCCTGGCATCTCCTGCCCCGTCAGCCTCTGCAGTCTGCGTCCTGGTGTGGGGACGCGGGCGGCCTCTGCCAGCAGAGGGGACCCACCTCACTCTTCTTTCTGGTCCCTGCTCAGGAAGGGTGCCTGGAGAAGTTACTCCAAAGATTTTTTTTTTATGAGCACCTATTGTGTGCCGGGCTCCCAGGGGGAGGGTGAGTCTGTTATGCCCAGGAACTCACACATGCTTGTGAGAGGCACTGACGCAGGGCAGGTCCTATTTGGCAACCAGGAGCCTCAGCCTGGGTAGCTGAGGTGGAGGCGATGGTGGGAGGCTGGGCACTGGATTTCCTGGAGCAGGTGAGGCATGCTTCTTTGCCTCCTCTCCCGTGTTAGGATGGGCTTGGTTTATAACAGGGACAGGGCGTGCTCCAGAGGTGTAGCCTGGCCAAGCAGATGGGGACAGGGAAGGAGAGGTGCTGGAGATGAGGGCACAGAAGAGCCAGCATCTACCGGGCCTGAGCTGCTCTTGGGGCTTGGTTCCTGAGAAGTTTCTCAGGATCCAGAGAAATGTCTGCCACTGGGGTTCAGCCCTGGGACCGGGGCAGCGGAAAGAGCCTATGGGGGCTGCCTGTAGCTTTCGGAAAGTCCCGTCCCCTGATGGCCTGAAGACTTTCATCCTGAGTGATTTCAGCCAGTGCCTGGGTTTGCACGCGTTTACATGGATGTCTCCATCTCCTTCTCCTGCCTCTTTCCTGGGTGCATCCTGACCCGTGCACCCAGGCTGGATGTATTTGCTCGAATGCCTTAGCCTTAACTAAATTTCACGTTTTCGCCATCCCATACTCCTCCCTTTCTTCCCACTTGCTAAATAGCACCCCATTACCCACTCATTTGCCTATGCTAGAAACCCCAGGCACTATCCAAGATCTGTCTCTGCCCTCCCCAAACATCTGGCCTAGGACTGTACCAATAATTATTATTTTTTTTTTGACAGGCAGAGTTAGACAGTGAGAGAGAGAGACAGAGAGAAAGGTCTTCCTTCCGTTGGTTCACCCCCGAAATGGCCGCTACGGCCGGTGCAGCCGATCTGAAGGCAGGAGCCAGGTGCTTCCTCCTGGTCTCCCATGTGGGTGCAGGGCCCAAGGACTTGGGCCATCCTCCACTGCCTTCCCGGGCCACAGCAGAGAGCTGGCCTGGAAGAGGAGCAACCGGGACAGAATCCGGCGCCCCAACCGGGACTAGAACCCAGGGTGCTGGCACCACAGGCAGAGGATTAGCCTAGTGAGCCGCAGCGCTGACCCTGTACCAATAATTCTTGCCCCACGTTTCTGTGACCTCAGTAGAAACCAGCCATTTCTCAGATTACCAAGCATCTCTAGTTGCTAAGGGTCAGAGTGATGGCTCTAAAATTGAGTCTGTTCATGGCGCTCCTCTGCCTGGAAGTCTTCAATGGCTGCCCATTGTCCTTTGGATGAGGTCCAAAGCCTTGAATAGGACCCAGCCCATACCTCCCACAGCCACCGCTTGAACTTCAGCCCTGGATGTGCCCGCCTCCCGCCAGATGATACTTCATGTGGCTCCTCTAACCCGCTCTGTTCACTGTCACCTCTGGGCCATTGAACAGGCTGTTCTGCTGTTCTGTCTGCCTGCGACACCCCCCACCCCGCCCCGCCTCCCTCCCAGTCGTGTTCTTACTCATCCTTCAGTTCTCAGCCAACACTTCCTCTGGGAAGCCCTCTGTGATCTCCCAGGTTGGGCCGAGGTGTTCCCATAGCCGCGTGTTCCCATGCGGCTTTTCCCATGGAAGTTGCCTCCCTGGATCGGCAGTGCTTGGCTGCTGCCTCATCTCCCCTGCCCCTGAGGCAGGGACGGTGGCTTGCTCTGGGTGCTGCTCCTTGTGGTGGTACCTGGTAGACGCATAGTACGTGTGTGTTGACTGAAGGTGAATGAATGGCATAGGAGGTGCCAAGGGGGGGGGTCACTCCTCCAAGAATGGAGTGGGGGGCGTCCTCAGGGCGTCAGGCTGCTCTCTGCTCCCCTCCCGTGGGAGAGAGCATGCTTCCATCCCAACACACTGGGCTGGGCCCAGTTTCGGTCCAGAAGGGAGCTCTGGAGAGGGGCGGGGCACCCTGGGGAGCGAAGCGGGGCAGCACTCGCACGTGGGGCTCTTCCTACATGCTGTCAGCTAAGCTCCTGCAGGGCAGGGAGAGTCAGCTCCACTTTCCCACGGTGAAAGCCAAGGTCTGGAGGGCTGACATGGCCACACAGCCAGGCCCCTGACTCCTCTGCCTTCTCAGGTGATGGCAACCCCAAGGAGAGCAGTCCCTTCATCAACAGCACCGACACGGAGAAGGGAAAAGAATACGATGGCAAGAACATGGCCCTGTTCGAGGTGGGCTGCTGGGGGTGCGGTGCCCTCACCCACAATGCATCATCCCCTAGGGAACAGCACCCTCTCTCCACCCGTGCCTCCAGGCCACCTTCTTCCTTGAACCTCCCCACCACTCCTCTCCCTCTCTGGCTTGAGTCCTGCTACACCCTGCTCCCCTCTTCCCTCCTCCATTCGCCTCGCCCTGCCCTCCTTGCCTCCTCCTTTTCCTTCTCATTCCAACCTCCTTGGTCCCATCTGTCCCTCCGTCCCCACCATTTGGCCCACCCAGCCTAATATTACTACCTTCCCTCTCTGTAGGAGGAGATGGACACCAGCCCCATGGTCTCCTCCCTACTCAGTGGCCTGGCCAACTACACCAACCTGCCCCAGGGAAGTAGGGAGCATGAAGAAGCCGAGAACAATGAGGGTGGAAAAAAGAAGCCAGTTCAGGTGGGGGCCCTGGGGAAGAAGCGGTGGGGGAGGGTGGAGGAAGGAGGAAAAGTGGACTTGGATGGAACCACGGATGCTGGAGGCGGAGGGTGGGAGGCTGGAGGCTGGAGGAGAGGAGGGAAGGGGGCTGAGGGCAGGCAGGGGCAGCTCCGGTGGGGAGGGGGTGGGTGTGGAGAGAAGAGGAGATGGGGGTGGGAGACGTGGGGGAGGAGTAGGCCTGGGGCGCTGGTGGTGCCTCAGGGCTGCAGCGATGACTCTGGCCCCCCTGGCAGGCCCCACGCATGGGCACCTTCATGGGCGTCTACCTGCCGTGCCTGCAGAACATCTTCGGCGTCATCCTCTTCCTGCGGCTCACCTGGGTGGTGGGCATTGCAGGCATCATGGAGGCCTTCTGCATGGTCTTCATCTGCTGCTCCTGTGTGAGTGACCCCTCCCCTGCGACCCCCTGACTGCCGGGGCTGGGGGCTGGACGTGGGAGCCCTGAGCTTTTATAGGAACCCCTGATTCTGGTCTTTGAGAGTCAGTCAGATCTACCTGGCCCCTCCTGCCTCTCTCGTCCCTGAAGGCTGCTGGCCAGGTCTCGCCTGGGTCTGGATGTGTGTGTAATTACACAAGGAGTACAGGTTCATTGATGAAACTGGGAAGTGTAGGGAAAAAAGTCAAAGTCACCGGTAATCCCTTAATTGGTGACATTTTCGTGGGTTCTGACCTCACAAAGTGATGAGTGTCACAACAGGATGGATTCCTCCCCTCCTCTCTGAAGACTCAAAAGCTCCCCCGACACTGTGCACTTCTGGGCACATTTGTATGTTCTTGGACGTGACCCTGAGATGCCTCTGCATATGACGTAGCCAGGGCCAAGGGGTGTGCGTGTTTTACCGATGGATAAACCAAGGCCAGAGAAGTGACATGAGTAGTCTCGGGTCCTAGAGCTGCTCGGAGGTCGCCCTGAGGTCTCCGGAGCACTCTGACGCCCCAGGCTCTGCTCCTGCTGTTTGCGTGGTGAATCAGGGGTTTTCTTGAGAAGGACTTGGCAGGAGTAGATGTTGGATCGGGCCCAGGGAGAGGCTCAGCCGAAGAGGACGTGTGGGTCTGGCTGGTGTTTACGGGGTCTGAGGCCTGGCCCTCGCCCAGCCACCGCTCTCATGATCTCTCCCCCCACAGACGATGCTCACAGCCATCTCCATGAGTGCGATCGCCACCAATGGTGTTGTGCCTGGTACGTGACCGGGGCTCCCTGGAGGGAGGGGAATGGGGGCGGCGCTGGTCAGGTGGCGAGACAGGGCCCAGGGCTTTGGGGGCCATCAGGACCCAGGAGAGGCTACTGCAGACCAGGGGCCTGGGCTGCGACCCCTGATGGCTTAGTTTGGGCCAGCCCTGTTGGGGAGGGGGAAGAGGCAGCTGGTGTTGAGTGGGGGGCAATGGCAGCCCTGCCCCTCAGCCTGAGACCCCCTTTTCTCCTGTCCTGTTTTCTGAGCATGACCTCCTTACAGAGCAATTAGCAATATGGTAATTAGTGCGGCAAAATCCACACGGGGTCTCCCACCAGGCCCCTTTCTGGGGCTGCAGCCTGTGGGGCCTGTGAGACCCAGAGCAGCTTCCTTCTGCCTCTGTCACTGTCCCCTCACCCCCCACAGCAGCCCCTCCCCCCTCATGCTGATACTAGGTTCTCTCTGCAGCTGGTGGCTCCTACTACATGATTTCCAGGTCTCTGGGCCCAGAATTTGGGGGCGCCGTGGGCCTCTGCTTCTACTTGGGCACTACCTTTGCTGGGGCCATGTACATCCTGGGCACCATCGAAATCCTGCTGGTGAGAGGGGCTGAGGAGGAGGTGTGGGGGTCCCAGGTTGTCAGCCAGTTAACCAAAGCTCCCTGGACACCTCCTGTAGGCCAGGCCATTCAGTAAAGCCACAGAGAAATCAGATGGGGTTGTGTCTTGACAGGGTTCCCAGTCTAGTGGGTGAGACGAGATACGACAATTATGTAACACAAACAGCTGTCGCGTATCAGGCTCCCACTGAGCTCTCAGCATCGTTCCAAGTGCTTTATAGTCATTCTCTTGAATGCTTACAAGGTTTAAGTATCATGATGACCATTTTACAAGTGAGAAGCTCAGAGAAGTGGGATAACTTGCTCAAGGCCACTCAGCTAGCAGGTAGGTGGTTGGCAGAGGTGGGTTAAGAGTTCAAGTAATGGTAGAATAATAATAGTAATGCCACCTGATAGCTACTATTTCGTGTTGCCTACCGCGTGCCAGGGACTGTGCCAAGTCCTCTGTGAGTGATAATTGTAGAAGGCTGTTGGGAGAAGAGCCATCCGTTCCCACTAGTGACTCGGGGGCGGGAGCAGGTTGCTGGGCACTGTTTGAAGGACAGGGCTGCTGACTTCGGTCTCTGTTCTTCCTGCCCTTCCAGTGCAGGTGAGGCAGTGCAGGTGAGGGTACCAGAGCGGACACTTGCCAAGCCCCTGCTCTATGTGAGCTCCAAGGCTTGCAGTTTATCATTTTATTTCATCCCCACCACCTCTCATAAGTTAGAAGGTGGCCATTTCACAGATGAGGAAAGCAAGCTCAGAGAGTGTAGAGGATGTGTGGCAGGGATATGAACCTGTGTCTTTCTGACTTCTGAAGTCTGGAGTTGTCCCCTGTTTGGTATAGCTGTAGAGAACTGGAACTAACAGGTGCACAGCTCCTGGCTTGGGGCCAGGCTGGAAGAGTGCAGGCACAGGGAGGATGGATGGGGAGTAAAAGGCCTGAGGAGGCAGTGAGAGAACGATGGACCCCAATCGCTTCGTTAAAAATTAAATATTTTGCCCATCACATGAAATTAGAAACATTTCAACATAAAGACAGAATGTGAAGAAGGAAATAACAATACCCAGAGAGAATTACCATTGACTTTTTGGTGTATTTCCTTCTAGTTTTTGTTTTTCTATGTGACGTTGTATTCTGCCTTTGTCAAATATAACCCTAGACCGCGGCCATTCCCCTACGTAACTCAAAACTCTGTTTGTAAATACAATTTGCAAGTGAACTGAGGATGACTTGTAAGAATGTGAACATCTTGCTATTTGCTGTAGAAATTTAAAAAAATACATAGGTATAAAATGAATAAAGATTATGCACATTTTCAAGATTCATGGAAACTCCTGATAACACTTTGATAAACTTACACACACACACAGATACATGTGTGTATGGGTGTGTCTTCACACATAAATTTACAATTATGAGATCATAAGACACATTGCTTTTTAAACTTGTCTGTATTCACCTAGTATAACATGGATCATTTTCTGATGGGTCCATAGAAATCTATGTCATCCTGTTTAATAGCTGCATGGTCTATGTGGGAATATTATGATTTCTTCACCCAGCCTCTAGTGATGAACATCTAATTTATTTCCACATTTCTATTAGAAATAATAAAAGCAATACATGCTTTTTAAGATTTATAATTAACAACCAAATGAATTGGAATAAAAAATTGCTCCCAGTATCTTATCTTTGAGTGTCAATTTTTAATGACTGCATCATAGCTGTTGCAGGACAGGTACTGGCTTCCTTGGCCACCCCCACCCCCCCAGTGCTGGCTGTCACTGCCATGATGAGCATCAGTTGCCCCCAAAGCCCTCACACACAGGTTAATTCCCTGGGGGTGATTCTCAGCTGCTCTTTACTATGTACTCTCCTGATCTCTTTTCCCCTTTCCTACAGGCTTACCTCTTCCCAGCTATGGCCATCTTCAAGGCAGAAGATGCCAGTGGGGAGGCAGCCGCCATGTTGAACAATATGCGTGTGTATGGCACCTGTGTGCTCACCTGCATGGCCACTGTGGTCTTTGTGGGTGTCAAGTATGTCAACAAGTTTGCCCTGGTTTTCCTGGGTTGTGTCATCCTCTCCATCCTGGCCATCTATGCTGGGGTCATCAAGTCTGCCTTCGACCCACCAAATTTCCCGTGAGTGCTGCCCCTCTTGGCCTGAAGCTTTGCCCTCCTCTTTCCCTGGCCCCTTTCAGGGTCTATACATCAATCTCTGCCAAACCTTCTCTCCCTACCTCTTAGAATCTGAGTGGTGTGGGTTGGCAGCAGCTCCCTTGGGAGGGAAGAATCCCTCTTGGTTTGGGGGCAGTCTTTTCAAATGAGCTAACCCTTCTGGAGGTGGGAGGGTCAACTGCTTGATGGTGGGATGGGCTTGGGAAGAACAAAGTGGGAATGGCTTCTAGAGTGAGCATTCAAGTGGCAGGGAGACCTCTCCTGGGTGGGACACCTCCTGGAATGGCTCAACCTCCTAGTATTAGACAGTTTCTCTGTAGTGGGAAAGGACACAGAAAAGAGGACCCAGGGACTCAGATCTCTGTTGGTTCTGCTACTGTCTAGGAGAGTCTCCCGCATCCCATTGGCCAGAGGACAGCACCCAGAGACTGCTGTCCATGGTGCTGAAACACAGGATTGCCCTGCTGTGTGTGTGTGTGTGTGTGTGTGTTTTGACAGGCAGAGTGGACAGTGAGAGAGAGAGACAGAGAGAAAGGTCTTCCCTTGCCGTTGGTTCACCCTCCAATGGCCGCCGTGGCCAGCGCGCTGTGGCCGGCGCACTGCACTGATCCAATGGCAGGAGCCAGGTGCTTCTCCTGGTCTCCCATGGGGTGCAGGGCCCAAGGACTTGGGCCATCCTCCACTGCACTCCTGGGCCTCAGCACAGAGCTGGCCTGGAAGAGGAGCAACCGGGACAGAATCTGGCACCCTAACCGGGACTAGAACCTGGTGTGCCGGCACCACAAGGTGGAGGATTAGCCTATTGAGCCATGGCACAGCCCCTGCTGTGGTTTTGCTTTGACAGCATGTTAGAATTGCTTGGGGGAGACAAAAAAAGAAAAAAGAAAGAAAGAAAGAAAGAAAGAAAGAAAGAAAGAAAGAAAGAAAGAGGAAAAGCCAATGGCCACATTCCATCCAAATTAAATCAGAATCTCTGGAAATGGGGCCCCAGCATCCATGTTTTTCACAGCTCCCCTGGTGGTTCTGTTGTGGAGCCAAGGGCAAGGGAGTGTGCCTCCCCATCTTCCTCCCTTGTTTCTCTCCCTAGGATCTGTCTCCTGGGGAATCGCACACTGTCTCGCCATGGCTTTGATGTCTGTGCCAAGCTGGCTTGGGAAGGAAATGAGACAGTGACCACACGGCTCTGGGGCCTTTTCTGCTCCTCCCGCTTCCTCAACGCCACCTGTGATGAGTACTTCACCCGAAACAATGTCACAGAGATCCAGGGCATTCCTGGTGCTGCCAGTGGCCTCATCAAAGGTCTGGGGATGGGAAGAGGGCTGATACCCAGGGAGTGCTGCAGGGATCGTAGGTCAAATGGTCAGGATTAAGGGGTTGTCCTGGGATCCAGTTAAATTCAATCAGTTTTAGTTGAGCATCTAGTCTGGGCTATGTTTTATCCTTGGTATCATGGAGGGGTAGAGATGAAAGAGAGAAAAGTATCTCACCACTCACGGCAGAAAAGTCATCAGTTTGACAAGTGTTCACTAAGTACCTCCTAAGTGTCTAGCCCTGTGCTAAACACTAGGAATACAAGACAAATAAGTCACAGTCCTTGGCCTCCAGGGGTCTAATGGCAGAGACAGATGTATTAGCAAATAAATTATGACGTGCCTAGACGTGCATTCATGGAATAGAGATGTATCCTCAGAGACCTCCCAGGGGAGGGAGCTTTCTGTGCAGAAGATGGCAAAAACAGACTTCCTGGACTCGCCCGAAGAGGGCTTTGAAGGACAAAAAAGAGATTTTCGGTTATGCTAGGGAATAAGGGAATTACAGACGAAGAACAGCTTGCCTAAAAGCATGCAGATGCGGAAGAGCATATTGTGTCCTTCCAACCACAAGTAATTCAGGATGACTGGGGTCTAAGTGCAAAGGCAGGAGGAGCAAAGAGTGGTGCTGGGGAGGATGCCAGGCCCCGGAAGTCATGCTGAAGAGTTCGGCCCGTACGCCAAAGGCACCCAAGGGTTTTGAGTACGGAGGGCATGTGGTCGGACCTTCATTCCTGAAAGTTTGCTTTGGCTTGTGCTATGAAAAGGGTTAAGAAGCAGGAGAGAAAATAGGTGGAGGCTGAGGCTGGTGGTCTGGGGGAGATGATTTAATGAAGTAGGGTGATGGGACAATGTCAGTGGGGGTGGGGCCATGGTTCTCAACCTGGGCTGTTTCACCACCCAGGAGGCACTTGGCCTTGCATATCTGCAGACAGCTTTGGTTGGCAGAAGTGAAGGGGTATACACAGGGGCCAGGGTGTTGCTAATCATTCTGCAGGGCATGGGGTAACTCCTCCACAACAAAGAACGATCCAGCTCTAAGTGTTGCTAGTGCCAAGGTGCAGGAACACTGGAATGGAGGGAAGGGGCATATTGAGAAATGCTAAGAAAGGGTAAGTGGACAGAAGTTGGGGATGGCTTTGAAGCAGGGAGGGGAGAGGGCCATCGAAGGCAATGCCAAGATCAGAACAGGTGCTTATGCCCTTTGTTGAGACAAGGGATCTGGGAAAGGAACTGGAGTTGGGTGGATGCGTGGGCAGATCAACTTGGACACACTGAGTCAGTCTGAGTAGGTCTTTATGTGTCTATTTACTTCAGTAGGTTGGACTAGTTGAGGGCAGGGTCTGAGTCTGATTCAGTTGTGTAACCACTGCATGGGGCCTGGCTCAGAGCAGTCCCTTCGGGAATGTAACACAGAGCCACAGCTGACGGGGGAAAGCAGGATGTGGTTGACCTTGACTCTTACTTCCTGCCCACTCTACCTCCTGCTCCCAGACTGCTGGTCCCCAGCCTCTTGACTTCCTCCTGAGCCTCCCATCTCTCCACAGAGAACCTCTGGAGCTCTTACCTGACCAAGGGGGTGATTGTGGAGAGGCGTGGGATGCCCTCGGTGGGCCTGGCAGATGGCACCCCTGTCGACATGGACCACCCCTACGTCTTCAGTGATATGACCTCCTACTTCACCCTGCTGGTTGGCATCTACTTCCCCTCAGTGACAGGTGAAGCAGGGCTCGGGGTGAGTGGGAGGGACCCAGCTGGGGACCGGCAGGGTAGGATGATGTTGGAATTCGCAACAGCCCCATCACATAAGCAGGAGCTGCTGATTCTGTTTCCATTGGATGGATGAGGGAATTAAGGGCAGAAGGTGGCGAGGAACATGCCCAAGGCCTTACACAGTCAGTGTGCTGGGACTAGACCCCAGGCTCCTATCTCTGAGCCTGTGTGTTTCTTCTGTCTGTCTTGGGACCTGTGGCCCTGGCCCCTATGCTAACTGCTCGTCTGTTCACAGGGATCATGGCTGGTTCTAATCGCTCTGGGGACCTGCGGGATGCCCAGAAGTCCATCCCTACCGGCACCATCCTGGCCATCGCCACCACCTCTGCTGTCTGTATCCTGTGCTGTGGCACTGGGGCCATCCTGGGTGGGGAGTGCTGGAGGGGGGGGGCAGCCTAACCTGGCCAGTGCAGGGGGGCAGGGAGGAGGGGGCACTTCACTTCGGGGATTTTTCCTTCATTCTATTCTACAGATATCAGCTCTGTTGTCCTGTTTGGGGCCTGCATTGAGGGGGTCGTCCTGCGGGACAAGTAAGTAAGAGAATTAGGGTTGAGGAAGGGAAGAGGAAGGTGTTGGGACCCACGCAAGCAGCCTGTGGGAGACGGGCCACGGGGGTTGCTTACACTGTCACCTCCTTACACTGCATTTCGTCTTTCTCGTGACACTCCGCGTCTGGAAGCTTGAAAGCAGCCTCATTTCCTCTAGGATAATGATACTTTCTTTTTCTTTAAAAATCTAGTGATTCACTAATTCATCTAGCATTTATCGTATGTCTACGTGGGCCGCTGTCCGAGGTTCGGGTTGTGTGGTGAAATAAGTAACACCTGGTTTTTGTCCTGAAGGAGCTCTTTGTGGGTGTTGACCCCACTTGCAAGTGAAGTGATAGGGTGGCCATGAAGGAAGTCAGGGCTCTGGGAACACACAGGGGGCTGTCCTCAGGTTGGAGAAGCCTTCCCAGAGGAAGGGAGGATACAGGTGTCTCAGGCACATCACTGTGGATTCTGCATCTGGGATTCAGATAACCATGGATTGAAAATATTTGAAAAAAAATGGTATCTGTACTGAACGTGCACAGACTTTTTTCTTGTGAAACTATTCCCCAAACAATACAGCACAGCAGTGACTTATATAGCGTTTGTGTTGCATTAGGTATTATAAGTCATCTAAGATGGTAAAGGATAGAGGAGGATGTACATAGGTTCTGTGAAAACTCTACTCCATGTATATAAGGAGCTGGAGCATCCATGGATTTGGTATCCACAGGGGGGCTAGTGACACTGAGGAATGGCCATCCCACGGTCCATGCTGAGCAGAGATCAGTTGATGAAGAGGGTAGAGGGAACCTCAGGGGAAAAGTGGACAAGGGCTGGGGGAGGAAGGGCTGTGCTCATGTGCATGCGAGGGTGTATGCACGTGGTTCCAAGCCTTGTGCACATACGCCCAGCAGAGTGAAGGGAAGGTCTTATCACAGAATCACCTTCCATGGGCACCACCTGGGATTCTGTAAAGTGATGTCATGGGGACATAATTCTGTCGCCCTAGACTGGAGCCAGGTCTAGAGATGCGATTTTCAGCTGCAGGAGACTGGAAATTTAGTATATACATGAAGACAGAGGAAACCAAAGAGATTTAAACATGGAAGTGACCTGGCCAAATGGACAATTTGCACACCTTGCGTTTGTTAGTTTGGGGCACTTCAACCTGGTAATCTCATTTAATCATAGTCCTCATAGCAGGTCCTTCAGCACAGCCCTGCATCTGGTTCCTGGGACACTACAGCAGTGGGCCGTTTGAGCGCACTGTTCTGCTGAGGCAGCAGCTCCCATTTTAGGACACTGTCATGGTTAGAAAATTCTTTTCTTTCTCACACCCTGACCCCATGATGAGCCCAAAACTCCCATCTTTTCTTAATGTTTTACATTTTTATTTATTTATTTTCATTTTATGAGAGAGAGAGAGAGAGAGTGTGTATGTGTGTGTGTCCATCCACTGGTTCACTCCCCAAATTCCTGCAAAAGCCAGGGCTGGGCCAAGCCGAAGAAAAAAACCAGGATCCCAGAACTCCATCTGGGTCTCCCATGTGGGTAGCATGGACCCAACTATCTGCTAGCTCTGAGGATGAGAATTAGCAAGAAGCTGGATTGGAAGCAGAGGAGCTGGGACTCGAATCAGGCACTCGGGTACAGGATGCGGTCATCCCGTCCCAAATGGCGATCTACCCACTTCACCACTCTGTTGACTACCTGCCTCACCCCCAGAACTCCCATCTTTCAGATGGAGACACTGAGGTTCTAATGGGCTGAGATTGTCCCAGGATAGCGTAATATTAACATTTGACCATTTGCTAGGATCGATCGCGTTAGCACCTTTGATCCTCTCATCATGGTAATGAGGTGGGTGTGTAATGACTCTCGTTTTACAGCTGAGGAAGCTGAGGCCCAGAGTAGCCAAATGGTTTTCCTGTCTGTGTGACAGACAGGAAGTGCCCAGGACTTTTAGGGATTTGTGACTCCTCTCGCCTGTCCAGAGCCGCAGCCTGTGGTAGGCATGCAGTTGACCCTGCAGTTGGTGTGGGGAACCTGCCCTGGAAATCAGGTGGCATTGCTCACCTGATATCTCCTGTCCCCTTCTGCTTCATTCCAGGTTTGGCGAAGCTGTGAATGGCAACTTAGTGGTGGGAACACTGGCCTGGCCATCTCCCTGGGTCATTGTCATCGGATCTTTCTTCTCCACCTGTGGGGCAGGGCTGCAGAGCCTCACGGGGGCCCCTCGCCTGCTGCAGGCCATCTCTCGGGATGGCATAGTGCCCTTCCTTCAGGTCAGTTTTGGAAGGTGAACTGCCCACTCCAGTGGACCAACCAGCCAGACTTCTGTCCAGAGAGGCCTCACAGTGAACCTCACAGGGCCGCCACCAGCCTTGAATTGCCTCCTGGACACATCTGCTCTACATTGAGGAAGTGGGTGGCCATTATTTGAGATTTGGCCCATGGTTGGTGCCATGAGCACTATCCGAGCACTTTGAGTACTATCTGGTCTTAGGGAAAAATTAAATGGCCCTTCTTAGGCTGAGTGGTTGGCCCGGGACTCAGAGAGGTAGCCAAAGGGCAAGAAGAGGGAGTACTGTCCATGGTTCTGAAAGCACAGCTGTGTGAACCTCAGTCACAGCCATTGCTGGCCGACCTGCTGGCTCCTCTCCCACCCGTCCCACTGGAGCTTCTTTTCCCCTTCAGGGGTCATTTGAACTTGAGCTCACGGGGCCACCAATGTCAGGGTGGAAAGGACACAGCAGGAGCCTGCCACTCCCTTGAGTTCCCCAGAGGGTGAGAAATGGAGCATCCTCTGCCTCCTCCCACCCCATACCATATGTTATGGCATCCTGCCTCTGCTCCAGGGGTCCCCAGGACTGGTGGGGAGAGTGAGAAGTCCTTAAGGTCCCAGTCCCCATGATGGTTGCTCTGTCCCCAGGTCTTTGGCCACGGCAAAGCCAACGGAGAACCAACCTGGGCACTGCTGCTGACGGCCTGCATCTGTGAGATTGGCATTCTCATCGCCTCCCTCGACGAGGTCGCCCCCATCCTCTCTATGTGCGTGTCTGGCCTCATGCACTCCCCATCACCTCTGCTGTGACCCTTGACCACACACCCAATGCTAATTACCCCAGGAAGTTCCCCGCCGTTCCCAGAAGCCTCTCCTTTGTTATATAGAGATTCACCCCTACTCATATCAGGGTGTGTTGTAAGGGGGTTTGGCCTTTAAACTCTTTCCTAATCACCAGAGGCTGATTCTTCCATCTCCCTGGTCTTTCCCCTTTCTCTCCCGGTGTCTCTGTTTCTGTTTTTGCTTTCCTTTTGCATCTCGGTCTCTCTGGGGGGCTTTTCTGTGTCCTAGGTTCTTCCTGATGTGCTACATGTTTGTGAACCTGGCCTGTGCAGTGCAGACCCTGCTGAGGACACCCAACTGGAGGCCACGCTTTCGATATTACCACTGGTGGGTGCCTGTCCCTCCCCCCACTGCTGAACCGTTCACTCACCTCTGCCCCAGTGCCCACCTTACCCTGGCCCATCTTCTGGCCCCACACCCAGCACCCCAGGCACCCACTGCCCCACCCCCTCCTTCCACACCTGATCCCACACCTGAATAGAGCATCCCATTTTCTCCAGACTTGGTAGTCCAGCTAGCTAGCTCCAGGTTCTCCTTGTAATCCTAGATAATAATGTACAGTCATGAGCGGTCTCAACTCTCACTCCCCTGCTGTCTACAATGCTCCATGTTTCAGTAGAGTGTGGAGGTTGGGACCCAGCCTGGCCCTGAGTTCGAATCCTGACTCTGCACTTCCTAGCTGTGAGATCCTGGGTTGATGCTAGGGCTTCTCTGAACCTGTTTTCCCACCTGTGGAATGGGCATGACAGCCGCCCACCACCCTCATGGGATTCTCGTGAGCGTTACAGAAAGTGCTCATCACACAGTGGCTGTGGTGCTTCTTGTTTTACTGCATGGCTATCCTTGCCCTCAAGGACTGCAGGGGCAGATGGCCAGGGGGCAGGGACTGGCCCAAGGGAGCCCGGAAAGATGCGGGCGTAATGGGACTAGAGCTGGGGCTGCCAGACTCTCATCTGGGTGCTCCTGGCTTGCCGGTGGTCTCCCTCCAGGAGGCCCTGTCTCAGAACCGAGCTGGCCAAGGCTGTCTGGCAGGGACAGAGGCACAGGGCCTGGAAGCACGGTGACTCAGGAGTGAGCCAGGCTGGGGTGGTGCCCGTCATGGCTGCCCCGCGGCCCTCCTGGATGTGCTGGTGGGAGCTCCCCCAGCCCTGTGCTCTGACTTGCCGCCCGAGCCCTGGCTCCAGCGACAGCTCTGTCAGGGTTCAGAGGCTGGGTCTCCTCGTTGTCCAGGACCCTCTCCTTCCTGGGCATGAGTCTCTGCCTTGCCCTCATGTTCATCTGCTCCTGGTATTACGCGCTGGTGGCCATGCTCATTGCCGGGCTCATCTACAAGTACATCGAGTACCGCGGGTGAGTGAATGCCAGGCGGGCTGGGATAGGGTGAGGGGTGGGACTGGAGGGAGGGGTGGGGCAGTGGGTGCCTGGGGTGCTGGGTGTGGGGACAAGGCAGGGAGTGGGAGCCGGTGAGGCTGGACTGGCAGGAGCTGGGTGATAAGGGTGGGGTTGGGACTTGGGGGACAGGGCCAGGAGCTTTGTGAAATGGACAGAAGTGGTTTAGGAGCCATCTAGCCAAGGCTTTGACTTTGACCCAGCCTGGTGGCTGCAGTGGCCTGCACGTCCTTTCAGAGCCCAAGATGGGTGGCACAGCCCAGGGGCAGCCACTTCAGGTAGTTGGTTCTCCCTGCGACCCGCTGGTTCCCTGCCCTCACGTGGTCCCCTTCTCGGCCCCCAGGGCGGAGAAGGAGTGGGGTGATGGGATCCGAGGCCTGTCTCTCAGCGCTGCCCGCTATGCCCTCTTGCGCCTGGAGGAGGGGCCCCCGCACACCAAGAACTGGAGGTGAGTGGGGAGGGTGTGTGTGTGAGGGGCTGTTCTGCTGCGTGGCCCCGTGGGTCCAGCCTTGTCTGACCCCTTGCCCCCTCCCATAGCAAGGCTGAGCTGAATCCCAGACGTTTGCTCACCCACTCCCCACCCGCCAGGCCAGCCTGCTCGTTCTCTGTTCACTCACTGTTCAGAGCTGCTACAGGTGGCACAGGGCCACGCAGAGCCACACGAACACCCTCCCAGGTGCCGTTGGCTCTGGGGGAGTGGACTCGCTCACACTCAGCGTGACGGGCTCTCAGGATCTCAAGAGCAGCGACGGACTCGTCCATTCCATTCCAAGTCAGCATGTCAGGGGCCAGAGAGGGTCTCAGGGGTCACAGAAGGCAGGGTCGGGACCGGAGTCTTTGCCCCCCGCCCCGAGCCTGGCTCGCTTTCTCACCAAGTGCTCTGCAGGCCCAGAGCCTCCCTCATCTCTCCAAGTCCTGTACCACGTGCTGGGGACACTGTTGGCTCGTCCTCGCTGCTGCCAGCTAGACTGCGTCTCCCAGACCAGGGCTGTGCATGACTTGTCTGTGAATTCTCAGCCACTTGGCATGGGTGGTAGCCGGAGTAGGTGCTTAGGGCAGTTAGCTTGGTGGTGGTCAGACGAACGGGAGGGAGGGACTAAGGAGTAAAGACATGAGTGGATGCATGGAAGGGTGGATGGGTGGGATCTGTATGGGAGGGCAGCTGGGTGAGGAGATGGATGTGTGTGAATGGAGAGTGGGGGTGGCTGGGTGGGTAAATGAGCGAATAATGCATGCGTGGGTAAATTAATGTGGCTATGAGGGGGCGAGTGGAGAGCAGAATACATGGGGGGTAAGATGGCTGGATAGGCGAGGTGGGTGGGGAGAAGGACGGGTGGGCGCGTGGGGAGACGGGGGATGTTCAGATGGCTGGCTGGGTGCTGGGGCTGTCGGTGGGTGGGGGTGTAGGGTGGCAGTCGGTGGACTGGAGATGGGAGTGGGGGGTGACGGAGACTGGGATGTGGCTCTGCTCTCTCTCAGGCCTCAGTTGCTGGTGCTGGTGCGCGTGGACCAAGACCAGAATGTGGTGCACCCCCAGCTGCTCTCCTTGACCTCCCAGCTCAAGGCCGGGAAGGGCCTGACCATTGTGGGCTCCGTCCTGGAGGGCACCTTTCTGGACAACCATCCCCAGGCCCAGCGGGCGGAGGAAGTGAGTGGAGGCCCTGGGAGGGTGAGGGGAGGCCAGGGCACAGGAGGTGTCCTTTGAACTCCTCTTGCCGTGGGCACCTGGGGGCCGAAGGGGGCTCAGGCTTTTTTGTCCTTTTCTTTAGAAGAGAAGCCAAGGGCTTAGAGCTCCTTAGAATTCAGCTCACAGAACCAAAGCCCTTCGGGAGTCAGGATGGCCCATCTTATGGATAGGGAAACTGAGGCTGAGAGAAGGCAGGTGGCTTGTCTAGGGACAGAGCACCCAGGCTCACGTTAGGACTGCTGGGCTCCTACTCAGACTTCTTCCTGCCCAAGGTTAAATCTTTCTGTGTTTTTGCATCCAGACCCCACTGATCCCTACCTTGTCGGGAGTCGGCAGGGGGAGTATCCATGTTTGGCACAGGGAGCAGCTGAGGCCCAGTGGGGGAAAGCAGTTTGCTGAAGCCCACAGAGTGGCTGGAAGCACAGGCAGGGTTTGTAGCTGGATCCCTGGTTCCACGTCACCTGCTCAGGGCTGCAGCCTCTGGCCCATGTGCACAGAGCCGCGTGCGCAGTCGGCGGGGCCTGGGGTGGCCAGAGTCTGCACTGAGCACACTTGGAGGTGTTTGGAAGCCAGTGGGCAGCCGAGGAAGTGAGTTCTGGCTGCTGCTCAGGCCCTTCTGCCCCCTCGGGGCTGTGGCTGGGATGGGAGAGAGAAAAGGGAGCCTGGGGGAGGCGAGGCGGGGTGGGGGAGGGCGCCCCTAATGGCTTGTGACAGTTGCTGTTTCTGCCTCACTGGCCCGCTCACGCAGATCTGTCAGGGCCTGCAGCTGGGGGCCTCCACTGGTCAGTGCGATTCAGTGCTGTGGCCAAGGGTGGCCCTGTGCCAGGCACTGGGCTGAGCAGTGGGCGAGGGACGTGTTTAAGACCAGGTGGCGGCCCCGAGATTGAGGGCTGGTAGGGAACACAGGGCAAACCCAGCAGCCCTCAAACCCGCTGATGCTGAGCAGTGCTGCGTTAGAGCCGGTACCAGGTGGGACTGGGAGCCCCTGCATACACCACGCCGTGCCCTTCTCCCTGTTCCTAAGTGGGGTCGCTGTTATGACCCCATTTGACAGACAGGAAAGCTGAGACTCCTGGAGTCCAGGTAACCTACCCAGGGTCACTCCGCCAGGAGGTGGGGACAGGGCTTGGACCTCTGAAGTCAGGGTGGTGATTAAGAGGGTGGGGCTGGAGTCCCGAACCTGGACTCAAAATCCCCTCATTAGCTGTGTGTTCTTAGGTGACCCCTGTTTGTTTTTAAATATTTTATTTATTTACTTGAGAAGCAGAGTTACAGAGAGGTAGAGTGTGGTCCACTCCCCAAATGGCCACAACAGCCTGAGCTGGGCCAATCCGGAGTCAGGAGCTTCTTCCGGGTCTCCCACGTGGGTGCAGGGGCCCAAGCACTTGGGCCGTCTTCCATCGCTTTCCCAGGCCATAGCAGAGAGCTGGATCAGAAGAGGAGCAGCTGGGACAGGAACTGGCACCCATATGAGATGCTGGAAGCTCAAGAGGGTACGTCGAAGTATTAACCTTCGCCACAGCGCTGGCCCCTGGGCGAGTCTTAATTTCTCTGAGTCTCAGTTTCCTGACTGATAAAATGGGCACAATAACACTCCTTTCGTAGTGCAGGTCCATAAAATACTTACTATTGTGCTACTTGAAAAACTGTTAAAACAAGCTGCTTGGTCATGCAAAGAAACCCAGTTTAATTCTGGTCTGGGTGGGGGTGGTATCTGAGGAGGCTGGGCCAGTGGGGGTGGAGCGTGCTGTGGGGTGGGGGTGGGGGACTGTGTGACAAGTGGGAGGGGAGGGTGACGAGAGCCTCGATTGATCAAAGGAGCACGGATCCTAAACAGCAGGGAGCCAGCGGGATGCTGGCGCCCCAGGCTGACATGATCAGAGCTGAGCTTTGGGAAGATGGGGGCGGAGGGAGGAGCGAGGGGGAGGCAGGGAGGCTGCAGGGGCCCAGCCAGAGCCCGGGGGGGGGGGGGGGGAGGGGCCCGGAGCGAGTCCGTGCCTGAACCCGTGCCCCCACCCGCAGTCCATCCGGCGCCTGATGGAGGCGGAGAAGGTGAAGGGGTTCTGCCAGGTGGTGATCTCCTCGAACCTGCGTGACGGCGTGTCCCACCTCATTCAGTCCGGGGGCCTCGGGGGCCTGCAGCACAACACGGTGCTCGTGGGCTGGCCCCGCAACTGGCGGCAGAAGGAGGACCACCAGACCTGGAGGAATTTCATCGGTAACGCGGGGCGAGCAGGGGGCTTCTCTTGAGTCCGAGGGGTTTCCCAAACACAGCCTGACCGCTGTGCACTTGGCCCGTGCCGGCGACGAGCTGGGCCTGTGCCAGCCACTTTGCTGGCCGCTGGGGACTCGGCTGTGAATGAGACGATGGTCTTGGCTTCTGCGGGCTCACAGGCCCTGGGAGGAGGGGTGTGAAGGGCAGTGCGGAGAGCGTCAGCTTTGGAGTTCCAGTGGCCAGGGGGCTGCGTCGGCTCTGATGCTCCCTAGCTGTGTGACGGCGCACACGTGACTCACCCTCTCTGAGCGGCCGACCCCTCGGCAGTGCCGGTGCGCGGGAGCAGTGAACTCCCTCCCATCGTAGCGTGCGTTCTGTGCGCCCGGACAGCGAAGCCAGCTGAGTCTCTCGTCCGTCTCGGGAGGGCGAGGCCTTGTTAGTTCTGCGCTGTTGGTGTGAAACTGAGGCACAGAGGGAGTCTGGAGTGTTCTCCAGGTCACGCAGCTGGGATGTCAGGGTTGAAGCAGCCCCTCCAAGCGTGGGGGGACCGCGGTTAGGAGGAGGGGTCGGGAGGATTCCGTGAGGCCGTGCCGCAGACGGGGCTGGTGACGTTGCCGCTGGACGGAGGCAGAAATGCAGCTCCAGAGAGAGCGATGCTGGCGACAACCACGTGATGCGCAAAGGCTGAAGCCAGGCAGGGTGGGGCGCCGAGAGGGCCCCCTCTGACCCTCTCTCTGCCCCACCCCCACCCCAGAGCTGGTGCGGGAAACCACAGCTGGCCACCTGGCCCTGCTGGTCACCAAGAACGTGGCCATGTTTCCCGGGAACCCCGAGCGCTTCTCGGAGGGCAGCATCGACGTCTGGTGGATCGTGCACGACGGAGGCATGCTGATGCTGCTGCCCTTCCTGCTGCGGCACCACAAGGTGAGCGCCCAGCACGCGCGCCCGCTGCGGGCGGGGCTCAGGGGCCTGGCCGGGCTCAGCGGCCCGCACCGCCTCCGGCCCTGTGAGCTCCTGGGGAGGGGAGCGGATGCTGCCGCACTGCCTCCGCTCGGGGACGGTGGGCGTGACTGGGTGTCCTGGGGAGGAGTGCTTGGCTGCAAGGGTGAGGGATGCCCCCCCCACCCCGCCACAAACGAGTGAGACTTTAACAGGGGACCCCAGACCTACGCGGGGGCTTCTTTGCAGGGAGTGGTCCCGGGATACAGGAGCTCAGGCCCGCTCGTGTGCGCTGAGCGCGTGGGGAGGGTGGGTGCCCCTCCGGCGCTGGCTGTCCTCCAGGCGTCTTCCTGGACCACCACCCCCGCCCCCCACCCCGCAGGTGTGGCGGAAGTGCAAGATGCGCATCTTCACTGTGGCCCAGATGGACGACAACAGCATTCAGATGAAGAAGGACCTGACCACCTTCCTCTACCACCTGCGCATCACTGCGGAGGTGGAGGTGGTGGAGATGGTGAGTCCCGGCGCCGCGGGGGCCCCTCCTCGGGTCTCTTTCCTCTTTGCCCCAGCACCTCATAGGGCAACCCTGTGCCGTGCCATTCGGCTCCTGATGCCAGATCTCTTCCTGCTGATCGAAGTCCCTCCCTCCACCCCTCAGTTGCGTCCAATAGGGCTCATTCCAGGTCAGGCACAGATTGTCCACACAGCAGCCAGTGAGGTGGATAGCTTATCAGCAAGTCCCTTTTATAGATTAGGAAGTGGAGGCACCAGCAGGTCTAAGTAATTGGCCCAGCACTACGCGGGGAGGGGCAGTCAGGATTCGAACCTGGGCAGGCTGACTCTAGTCTGTGTTCCGGGTGACGACACCACAGCCTCTCATGTGTGTATCCATCCACCCACCTCTCCGCGTTCATTCCTCTGCCTCTGTACCCATTGATATTTCCACTCACTCAGCCCTCCATTCACCCGTGGATATACTCATTCATCCTTTTGTTCCTTTCCTTACTTCCTCCCTTCTCCATTCACTCAGGTGATTAATTAGTCCACTCATTCAGTAGTTCCTCTGTTCACCTGCCTGGTCCCGCACTGGGCTGAGGAGGGAGCAGGCTGCCTGCCTTCCAGGAATGTTGCCCTGTCTGCTCAGTCCTTGCCTCCGCAGCCCTTGATGAGGTTAGACACCGGCTGGCTTAGATACTGGCTGGCTTAGATACCGGCTGGCTTAGGTACCGGCTGGGTTAGGTACCGGCTGGCTTAGATACCGGCTGGGTTAGGTACCGCCTGGGTTAGACACCGGCTGGCTTAGACACCAGCTGGCTTAGGTACCGGCTGGGTTAGGTACAGACGGGGTTAGATACCGGCTGGCTTAGATACCGGCTGGCTTAGATACCGGATGGCTTAGATACCAGCTGGGTTAGACACCGGCTGGCTTAGGTACCGGCTGGGTTAGGAACAGACGGGGTTAGATACCAGCTGGGTTAGGTACTGGCCGGCTTAGGTGCTGGGAAGCCTGAGTCTGGCAGCAGGAAGGGGCCTCCCTGTCCCTTGATCTTTCACCCGGGCACAGATCTCGTGCTCTGCTCCCCTGCCGCTCTCACCTCCCACCCCCACCCCTGGCCGCCCACAGCACGAGAGCGACATCTCGGCTTACACCTATGAGAAGACGCTGGTGATGGAGCAACGCTCCCAGATCCTCAAACAGATGCACTTGACCAAGAACGAGCGGGAGCGGGAGGTGAGGTTGCCTCGGCTGGGCTCTCAGAGCCTCAAGCTGCTGCCAGGAACCCTTTCGTTACTGGATGGTGAGGAGGTGGGGGAGCCAGGTCGTGGGGCAGCAGCACTGCACTGTGGTAGTTCTGGGAAGCGCGCATCCGGGCTGACCAACAGCTGTGGGGGAGGGGCGGGGAGGTCTTGGCAGGAGGTGGCCGGTGACCTCCAGCAGAGCTGTCAACCTGTGTCACCCCCCAGATCCAGAGCATCACCGATGAGTCTCGAGGCTCAATCCGGAGAAAGAATCCAGCCAACACTCGGCTCCGCCTCAACGTCCCAGAGGAGACAGCTGGCGACAGCGAGGAGAAGCCAGAGGAGGAGGTGTGGCCCTGGGTGGCGTGGCCCCAGCTAGCGGGAGCACAGCCTTTGGCCTCCCAGGAGTCACCCGCTGTCCCCTCATTCATTCTGCAGGTGCAGCTGATCCATGACCAGAGTGCTCCCAGCTGCCCCAGCAGCTCGCCGTCCCCAGGGGAGGAGCCTGAAGGGGGGGGCGAGGTGGATCCCGAGAAGGTGCATCTCACCTGGACCAAGGACAAGTCTGTGGCAGAGAAGAACAAGGGCCCCAGTCCTGTCTCCCCCGAGGGCATCAAGGACTTCTTCAGCATGAAACCGTACGAGCACTGGGCTGAAGGCTGGGGCTGGGGAGGACCCAATGGGTCTTGCTCCCCACGGCAGAGCAAATGGGCACAAGGGGTCCTGGCTGGCAGCCTGGAGGCCCAGCCCCGGCACCGCCTTGCTCTCCCCATTGGAGGACTTGGGAGCCAGGGTCAGAACTTGTGGCAGGTGCAGGCAGGGGAGGTGGCGGATGTGGAGGCTGGGGGAGCAGGTGCAGATGAGTGTCTCAGGCCCCTGCCTCTTCCTCTTTTTCTGACCCCTCTCTTTCTCTCTCTTTGCTTCTCTCCTGTTACCTGAAGGGAGTGGGAGAACTTGTAAGTGCGTCTGCCTTTTTTCATTCTCTGTGGTTGGCCAGGGTCCCTGCTCTGCTATTCCATCAGGAACCCCTGGAGTCTCTGAATAGCCCAGCTGGGAGCTGTCTGGGGTTGGTGGTCCTGGCCTTGCCGCCGGGGCCGGAGCCCCAGCGGCCCAGGGCGGCCTGGGAGGGCAGCTGGCTCCAGCGCCTCCTCCCCGGGGCTCACGCGCTGGCCGCCTGCGTGCTCCCGCAGGAACCAGTCCAACGTGCGGCGCATGCACACGGCCGTGCGGCTGAACGAGGTGATCGTGAAGAAGTCCCGGGATGCCAAGCTGGTGTTGCTCAACATGCCCGGGCCTCCTCGCAACCGCAACGGCGATGAGAACTGTATCCTGGGCTCTGCGCGGGGGCGGGGCGGGAGGCAGGAGGCGGGGGGAGGGGGGTACGCCGGCCAGCCGAGCCGCGCCTGCCTCCAGGTCAGCACCCCGGCCAGGGCCAAGGTGGGAAGGGCCCCGGGGCTTTCTCCTTGACTGCCTCGCAGACATGGAGTTCCTCGAGGTCCTCACGGAGCACCTGGACCGCGTGATGCTGGTCCGCGGCGGCGGCCGCGAGGTCATCACCATCTACTCCTGAGAGCCGGGACCTGCCGCCCGGGCCCGGGCGCGCCCGGCCCGCGCCCCCCGCCGCTGTCACCGTTTACATACAGACCCCGTGCCCGTGCCCCGGCCCCTTTTCCCGCTGCCTGAAGCCCGAGGCCACGCCCGCCGCGGCTGACTCGGAGAGGGCACGCCGCGTTGGCCCGGGGGTCTGTGGGCCCCGGCTGCGCTGCCCCGATGCTGAGCCCGGCCTCGCCCCGCTGGAGGAGACGCTGCAATAAAGGTCGGGAGGAGGCGCGGGGAGCGGAGGAGCTGGGGCCCGAGGACCCCAGCAGTCGGCGCGGCCCCTGCCCCTTCCCCGCCGCGCCGCGGTCCTCGCGCTGCGCTCGTGCGCTCCGGGCGGTCCGAGGCGCCCTTCTCGCCGCGCCGCGGGGGCCGCGCCGGCCGAGCCTATACATAGTGTACAGGAGACATAGCGTGTATTTTTAACGTCCCCATATTTACATGACGAGAAGCGCAACGGACTTCTCTTCGCGCCGCTGTCGAGCTCTCCCGCCGGGGGCGCCCGGGGGAGGTAGAGCCCCGGGCGGCGGGGTTTCCCTAGCCGTCTGCGGGATTCTGAGAGCCCAAGTGCTTTAGGCCCAGGCGGGGGTCGTGGTCCTGGCCCCTCGACACCCCCGCCCTGCTCTCGCCTCCTCGCCTCTTGCGCGTGCCCTCGGCTTCCCCTCGTCCCTCCTGTTCTTTCCGGAGACTGAGACAGACCAGCGTCCGACTTCTGGATTCACCCTCTCTCCCCTCGGCTCTTATGCAAGTTGGGGCCAGGATAGGGGAGGGGCGCTCGTCCAGGAGGAGCGGGCGAGACAGGCCCGCGCCCCACCGAGGAAGCCCCGCCCCGGTGCCTTCGCCGGGGAGCAGGCGTCTCTCCCCAGTCGGCTTGTCGCCTGCTCCCCCTATTCCACGGCTCCTCGCCAAAGACTGAAATCGTGGAGCTGGAGGGCGCCTCCTTCCCAGTCTCCTCCCTGGGACAGGTGAGGCGGCGGGGGGTGACTCTGGTTTAGGGAGGCCCCAGCACCACCCGTGATGTTCCCTCCCCTGTCCCCAGCTCCCGCCTCGGGGACCCAGCCACCTTCTGGGTTCTGGGGCCCGAGCCCGCTGCCCAGCGGCGGCCGCCAGCTGTCTCCTAGGCTCCTGAGCCTGGAGGCGGGCTGGAGTCGCCAAGGCGCCTTGCTCTGAGCGCCTCTCTGCCCTCCTCTACCCGGGACCCGAGGCCCTCGGCTTTCCCACCTCCAGTCCCGGGCGCTTCCGCTCCACAGCCCGGTCAGAGAGGCGTTGGCTGGGTTCCCTTCCCCCAGGGCACGTTTCGCAGGGGGACAGGCACTGCATGCTCGTTCCAGCACCCTCTGGGACTGGGTACAGTACCTCCAGCCCCAGAGCCCTGACCTGCACACCTAGTTAGGACATCCTGCCCCCGCCCCAGAGCTGGGGACCCCGGGCACTCCTGACCTCACCACCTCCTGTCCTTTGAGCCTGAGGCAGAGCTGCAGCTGGTGCCATCTAGACAGGGGTGCGTGCGTGCGTGTGCATGTGTGCGTGTGTGCGTGTGCAGAGGGGAGGTCTGGAGGGCTGCTGGTTAGGTCAAGGCCTCTGGTATTTCCAACAATCAGGGGGCTGCACAGATTCTCCCAGCACCAATCAGGAAGTTGGAGGCTTTAGACACCAGCCCCCTGCATCCTTCCAACGACCTCCCTCTGAGAACACAGCTGGGTCCCTGAGCGCCTGGGCGGCTGCAGTGGGCTGGATGGAAGTGGGCAGGGGCTGCGATACCACCACGTAGGGAAAGAAAGTTGCACTCTGGGCCCAGACTGTCTGGTTGGCAAGAGCTAAGTTTCCGTTGATGAAAAAAACAAATCCCACAACAAAAACCCAAGTTCTCTGTGCTACACGTGCAATATTTGTTATGAATGTTATCCCAGTCATCCATCAGATTATCTTTATAAAAACCACTGTAGCTAGGTGTTTCATGTCCATCCAAGTGACTTTTATTCTGAGTGCAATATTTCAATAGCCTTGTAGTGGTGACTAGTGTTGCTTCCGTTTTAGCCAATCCGTGTGCAGAGCCCTTGTAAATAGGAGAGGTTGCAGACCAAATCAGAGTATTTATTACTATTATCACTATTATTACTAGGCCTGCCTTTCACTTTGTGTTCTGGTATTCCGCATCCTGCCTCAGTACTGCTCTTGTGTTCTTTGTGCCAATACGAAAAGGAGAGGGTTGGTTCTTTCCTTCAGTGTTGAATGCTCCCATTTAATGCTTTATGGCTTTTACTGTATTTTTTAGATTCCTGTCTGCACAAAATGCAATAAAAATAATTTTATTATACCCTTCACAGCCTGAGGTGTGCTGACACTCCAGGGGGCCCCTCCAGGACCCAAAGGCATACTCAGCAGCGCCACGGGTCCCTGACGGAAGGGGTGGCTGTGGCCCAGCTCCGGTCCATCCTGGGCTGCACAGGGGGTCAGGCTCAGTGCTGCCGGCACTCGGGTCCCTAATCCACGGGAGGCCTGTGCCGCCCCCTTCACCACACTTACCCCAAGTTCACGAACGCTCCTTCAGTCTGTGACTGCGGGTCCCTGGCACAATGGGTGACACAGCTGTGGCAAAAGAGAAACCAGGACAGGAGAGGGCTGCCTCGCCACGCTCCCGCCTGCTGCCCAGTGCTAAGAGGCTGCGCCTGCTGCCACCCCGAGTGTCGCCTGGGGCAGACCTGAACACGGCGCTGTCAGGAGCCAGCAGGCTTCTACCTAGGTGGGCCGCGCTGGGCTGCCTGAGGCTGAGGACAAGGGACACACCAGAGCTCTGAGGGCAGGGCCCTCCCCTGGGATCTTGGGAAACAAAGAGGAGCACAGCTTTGACTTTTTCATTTTAATTAAAAAGTAATCATTTCATCTTATTAACACAAGGGTTTTAAAGAGGAAAAAAAATTCACTATGTAACATAAACAGGTCAGAACATGAAATGCTGCCATCTGGGGGACCTTGAGTTTTGAAACCATTTCTTGGTCACTGGCAGGAGCTCCGCCAAAGCTACAGCGGCTCCCTCACCCCTGCCAGGGCCCCTGAGGCTGCCCCACAGGGCGCCACTGCCCACAGTCCCTAGGGAGAGGGCAGCTCCCCTCTGGCTCACTCAGGGCAGCGCCAGAAGCCCTCCCTGCAGTTTTGCCCCACGCCACAGCGAGGCACGGCACCTATGCAGTACGTGTGCACACAATGCTCCCACCTCCCGCTGCTCAGAAACCAGAACCCGAGTCTGGAGAGAGAGCCCGGGTCTTGGAGTCCAACGCTCACACCCATCAGCGAGAGGCGGGGAGTCCACGGCCAGGGCCGAGAGCTGCCCCTCAGAGGGCGCAGGCAGACTGTGAGGGAAGCACGGGCGCCCAGAGTCACAGTCTGCGTCAAACTGCTGGTGACTGGAGCTGTTCAGTCCACTGGAGATCCTCCCGCAAAATGGGGGAAAAAGCCAAAAACCAAAAACCACCACCCTGCCTAGGGCAGGAACTTTCTTCCTTTGTAGCTGCCTCGGCCAGGATCCCGCACCGCAGAGCGGCTGACCAGGAATCCCAAGGCAGACCCCACGTGGGGGGAGGGCACGAGGACACGGAGCCTCCACGTGCAGTGCTTCTCTGCAACCCCAGGGGAGCTCGAGCTCCTGAGGTGCGTGGAAAGCCTTGGTGAGTTCAAAATGAACAACGGTGGCGGCCACCACCATGGCCAATGCCGTCCCCAACGCTGCTGGCTGGGGCTGCTCCTCCTGCCTTTCCACCCCCAAATCCAGCAGAGAGGGCCAGAGACGCTCCCTCAAGTATACGCGGAGCCCAGACGCCTGTACTGCCCCGTAACCCCAGAGATAGTTATCTTCTATATAAAAACAAAAAACAGAACAGGGAAGATACACCCCCAGGTGTAGTACAAACTTCGACTCTGTAGGGAATAAGTAATACAGCTTTGGGCAGAAGAGAGCAGGTGGCAGAAACTCATGACAGTGGATGGAGACCTGGAGAATGTGAAGGACGTCCTCCAAGCAGCTCTATTTAGAACGCAGTAGCTGGGAGGAGGCCAGGGGCCCCTGGGACGTCAGTAATGCCTCTGGTAAGAGCCCATGGGGGCCTGGGGCCGTCCCACCTGTGCCGTGGTCTGGCTAACCAGGTGGGAGAGAGCAGGGCCACTCTGGATCAGGGTGTCCAGAGCCTTCTGTACACTTGGATTGTCAAAGTTGATACCTGTGGAAGACACAGGCCTCTGGCTAGCCATGTTGCTAGTAGGTGCCAGGCGACTGGAAGGCTGACCAAAGAGCCCTTGGGAGGGAGCCCCAGGCCTGGGGCCCATGTTCCGAGCAGATCCTGCCTGTCCCAACATGTTTGGGGGCTGACTGCCAGAGGCCTGTGGTCTCTGTGGAGGCTGGCTGTTCGCTGCTGTGGGAAAACTCTGGTTCTGGGCGCTTCCTGCAGCAACCGAGGGGGAAGCAGAGCTGCTGTTGGCCGCAACTGTGCCACTGTTGAAGAGGCTGAGGATCTTGGCCTGAAGCTCTTGCTGGGAGGTGGAGGGTGCAGCTGGAGCAGGCGTAGCAGAGGGCAGCACTTGGCCGCCCTGGAGCGGCTGGGAGCTTGGCTGTGTCTTCAGCGAGGCACCCGAGGTCGCCCCAAGTGGCTGGCGGGAAATCGGGCCTGGAAGACAGAAGAGGGAGGCACGTGGCTGCAAGCACCTCAGGGGCAGGAGGCCTCGCAGCCAAGGGAGGAACAAGCAGTGAAGTCACAGCGGTCACACAGGACACAGAAGGCAGCATCGTTTCCCAAGGGGCCACGCCAGGGTGGGCACCGCTCACAGCACACAGCCTCGTTCTCCCAGAGAACGGCTTCAAAACCGAATGAAGACAAAGAGCATCCATCTTGGCTCCCAGGGCGCCAGCACCAGCCGTGGGCCGTCCACCCACAGTAAGTGCTGCATCAGATTCCGTGTGTCCCGTTACCGCGGCCGCACAGACAGCGTGCGGGGGAGCCCGAGGGCCAGGCTCATTTCCCTTCCCCACCCCAAGGAGCCCAGGACTTGCCCCTCCCCACAGGGCCTGCGGACCGGAGACATGCAGAGTGGGAACTTGACCTCGGCCCTGCCACGCAGCTCACCGGGCAGAGCGTCGGCGCTGCTCCTCAGCAGTCTCTCCTTGCGCTCCCGCAGGTAGTTGATGATCTTGTCCGTCTCCTCGGCCGTGAGGTACCTGTTGTCCGCCAGCAGGTTGATGAGGCTCTGGATGGCCGGGGGGTGCCCCCCGCGCACGCCCTCTTCCGGGCCTCCTCGCTCTCTCTCCTGCAGGATGGCGTCATCGGCCATCTTGGCTGCCTGCCTGGCAATCTCCTCACGCTCCTTCTCCCGGCACTCATTCTTGTAGCGCTCGTAGTTCCTGGCCACCAGCACCATGGCGTCAGCCTGCGGCATGTTGCGATGCTCTATGGGAGGGAACGACAGCAGTGATTGCTCCCGGCGCACAGCGCCCACCTGCTGCACTCTGCCAAGCCTCTCCTCACCTCAAACCAGCAAGAAAACCATTCCACGACAGAAGCCTTGAGGTTGGGAGTGCAGTGGGGAGGCGGGAAGACAGGTGAACGGGGAACACAAACCTGTGGATAGCGCTGGTTCTCTGGGGAAATTCCTAGATCACAGACTTGTAGTAAAAACCACACACACACGGCAGCCTCCCTCAGAGTCACACAGACCACGTGGGGAGCAGCCGTGGGGGCAGGCCCGTGGCCTCGAGGCCAGCAGCAGGCGGCCAGAGCCCCTCTGCAGAGCTGGCTCTCCACTTCGCTCCTCAGGACAGAGCTGGCCTACTGGTTTTGAATCCACCCGCTCAAAGGATCCGGATTAAGCCCAAACTGTGACCCAAAATCACCTCCTCCCCCTCCCCCAGGAGGCAACGTGGTTTATAGGAGGCTGAGCAGCCTCAGGGCTTTCTAAAAGGTCTTCACACATCTCGAGGACTAGTCCTGAGACAATGGCCTCGCTGGAACTCCTTCTGAGCTCTATGGCCGCAGACGCACCGTCAGGCACACAGCAAGCCTGGCTGTGGGAGCGCTGGGCAGGGCATCAGGTGGCACAGCTGCAACACCATAGGCTTCATGTACCACGAGTGACCCCCGAGAAGGACTTCAGGAAACCCACTGTGGGCCCTGTGGGGGTCAGGCCCTCCTCCCTGTCCCCACAGCCCCCTACTCACTTCCCTGGCACACTTATAAATAGTATCCTCTAAGCCTGCGACTTTCCATGTCCCCCAGTTGAAAGCTGGGAGAAGAGAGGATTCAGTCTCGTCTGGGTCGTGTGTGCCAGACGTGCCCTGGAGCCAGAGCTCACTGGCCAGTGCCAAACACGTGCACTTCTTTCCGACTCTCTTTAAGAACTTCATGCTGAGGACTTGAAATGGGACACAGAAATCAGTAAATCCGACAAACCAGTCCCCACTGCCCTAGAATTAGTTGTCAAAAACTACCTAGCACAGCACTGTAGCATGTATCTAAAGGCCAAGTGGAGCAGGCCCAGAACTGTACCCAGAGCGCCCGTCTCCTCCACGCACGCAGAGCAGCAGCCTACCTCATCTGGGCTGACACTCGAATTTCTTGCCCCAGACCTCCTCCTTCCGAGCAGAGCATCACAGAATTACTCACCAGGGACGACCTCTGGGAACACGACCCACTTGAGCCCTCGTACCTTGTGGAGTTCCAAACATGATATTGACTGTACAAGAACGGTGAATCTGGTGCTGCTGGGTAATGACGATAGCAAAAGGAGAGCCTCCTCTGCTAACATCCTCCAGGGCTTGTGACAGCGACACTTCAGTGTTGAGGAAGATCAAGTCCACCACCATGCCCAGGTCTCGGACCTTCCGCCCCACAGATTCAGCATAGTCTCTGTACGAGCAAACAGAATTCAGGTTAGCACCCTGACCAACCTCAGTCCTGAACACTGTACTGCAGCTGGCTGTACTGCTCCCACAGAGGACTCAAACCCGAGTCCACCCAGCGCTTCCCTCAGGCTATGAGGATCTGGACCAATTCTCTCTTTACGCGGGCCCAGAACGGCTCTGACTTGCTAGGGTGACATGGAGTTGACAGCTGCCAAGTTTTCTGTCCCCTTCTCTAGTCTGCCAGCGCTTCCTTAACATCATCCTGCTGCCTGAGACCTGCGGAACTTATCTGTCCTCGGGGAGACGGCAAAGCAGTGGAAAAGACATGGACTGTAATACTGGAAACGCAGGGGCTGGCGCCGTAGCGCATTAGGTTAATCCTCTGCCTGAAGCATCAGCATCCCATATGGGCGCTGGTTCTAGTCCCAGTTGCTCCTCTTCCAGTCCAGCTCTCTGCTGTGGCCCGGGGAGTGCAGTGGAGGATGGCCCAAGTGCTTGGGCCCTGTACCCCATGGGAGACCAGGAGGAAGCACCTGGCTCCTGGCTTCGGATCTGTGTAGTGCTGGCTGTTGAGGCCATTTGGGGAGTGAACCAATGGAAGGAAGACCATTCTCTCTGTCTCTCTTTCACTGTCTGTAACTCTACCTGTCAAATAAATAAATAAAAATCTTTTAAAAAATACTGGAAACACGAATTTTATTCTCAGCCCAAACATTTGCCGGCAAAGTTATGGAACTTTAAGCAAGTCCTTTTAACTCTTAGAAACTTCATTTTCTTAACTAGTAAGACAGGAATACGACGACTCAGTCCACTGTGTTTCCATGAACTTCCTTCTAACTACTGACATTCTCTTTTCATTGTTGTCATCTGCTCGAGTAGGCTGTAAACTCCACCAACACAAGGGGTGGAGCGTGCTTTGGTTGTTATCATTATAGCCCTAGTACCTAGCATCTACCATGCATAAAAAAACCGTGTAACGTGATTCTGATTCCTGGAGGATTAAAAATAGTCAATGTGATGTGCTTGCCATGGGGCAGGTGCAAAGTAGGTGCTCAGAAAATGACTGCTATCATTATGTACCCCAAAAAGCTGCTTACAGCTAAAGCAGTGTCTGTCTACAAACAAGGCAGACCCGATCCTGTGAACTCTGCCTGCTGCTGTCCCGACACCCATTTTCCTAGTCACTCTCTTGAAATTAGCTCTTTAACCCCAAACTGCTAGAAACTACATAAGTCACTGACAACCTCCTGGGAAAGAAACACGGCTGCACTAAGCCTGCAGGCCGCTGTCCTGGCTTCTGCTCCTCTGCTCTGCCTCTTCACAGACCGAGTGTACACAGAACGGAGGAGGCAGCACTGTGAACTCTGGCTTGGCTAACGTGGGCATCTAACAGTTCTGCGAAGCCAGCGCACTTTACAAAGAAGGCTTCGTTCTTGACTGACACACACAGAAAAGCGTGCCTCCCAAAGAGCTCAGTTCAGGGTTGTCCCAGGAAACAGGTTATCCACGGCTTCACTGGACCAGCATCTACTCCCTCTCCCTATGGTCTACAGGGCTACTCCCACTTCTAACTCCAGGGGTAGGCATGTGACAGCTCCGGCTAGTTAAGAGCATTCTGGACTACCTGGCCAAAGTGACAGGTTCAGGTGTAGGAAAATAAGCCAGATTAGTCCAATGAGAAGGAACTCCAGGACTTCAGGTGGAAGGACGGGGAGAGAAGCTCTCTTCCCACGATTTTTGCTAAGCTAGGACTGTCTGGTATCAGTGCCATCTGCCTTTCCAAGCAGAAAACCTGCCTGAGAATGAAGGCAACACTGAAGACATCAGTGCTTAGAGACCACCTCTTGATAACATAGTCTGACCCTGGCTGTGGCCACACCTGAGCTTCCTATCCTCTCTCCAGTTAAATAAACTACAAATGTCCCTTTTGGGCTTACGTCAGTTTGAACTGGGTTTTCTGCCACCTACAACTGAGAACTCCCCAGCTAACAAAGCCTAGGAAGGCCAGATTACACAGCCCAGCGTCAGCAGGTAGCGCTGCCAGAGAAGCCTGCATTTCTTTCCTGACCCTTTTCCTTACTTGGGAGAAGTAGCTAAAGGGTCCTTACTTAGTCTGCTTGTTGACCACAATCACAGAGCAATCCACAGGCCTCTCGGCATCAAAGCGTCTCTGGATTTCCTCAAAATACTGACGATAGAGCTCCTCTCTCCGCCGTTCCTCACGTTTCAGACGCTCTGTAAGATACCACCAGGGAAAGCTGAAATCAGCACTGGGAACGGCAAGCTGCTTAAACACAGAGGTCGAGACATACACACACTCTGAACTTCTCAAACCTACCTCCTAAAAATAACTATGATTATTGCCTTTTACAACTACAAATTCATCACAATGGAACGGGTAGACTGAAGGGCATGGCTGTTTCAATGCCTTTTTTTTTTTTTAAAGATTTATTTTATTTATTTGAAAGAGAGATTACAGAGAGAGGTAGAGACAGAGAGAGAGGTCTTCCATCTGCTGGTTCACTCCCCAGAGGGCCGCAATGGCCGGAGCTGCATGATCCGAAGCCAGGAGCCAGGAGCCAGGAGCTTCTTTCAGGTTTCCCACGTGGGTGCAGGGGCCCAAGGACTTGGGTCATCTTCCACTGCTATCCCAGGCCAAAGCAGAGAGCTGGATTGGAAGAGGAGCAGCTGGGACTCGAACTGGCACCCATATGGGATGCCGGCGCTTCAGGCCAGGGCTTTAACCTGCTGCACCACAGAGCCAGCCCCTCAACGCTTCTTATAGCATACTGGCAAAGTGCCCTCAGAGAGACTGCTACTAACTTATATTACCACAGTCATGGACCACCTGGTGCAGTGTGGAGATGGTCTGGCCCGGGGAAGGCCTGCACACTCATGTGGTCATGGCTTGCCAAGCAACCGCAGGCAAGACTCGAAATCCAGTGAATCTACTGCAGGCTCATTTTTAAATTAGTAATTCTGTATGGCCCACAAATGATGTTATAAATATCCAAATGGCTCTTGGCAGAAAAAAGTTTCCCACCCCTCGTAGTGCCTAAGTCTCCATACCTTTGTCAACACTGGGTATTGATATTTTTATTTTTGATAACTTGAAAAGAGAAAAAATAATATTCCATTGTTCTAGTCTACATTTTTGTTGATGTTTTTTGGAAAAAAAAAAACAAAACACCCATGTAGCTAAGTTTCACAACAAATTAAAAGTGCTGTTTGTGATGGGTGCTCCACGTAGGGGTCAGAAGCCGTTAGAATGCCCAGGCGCCACACCAGAGTCTGGGGCTGACCTAGGGTCCACGTCCTGGTCCCGGGTTTCTGCTCATGCAGATCGGGGAAAGCAGCAGCGAAGGCTCGAGAAGCGGAACTGCTGCTTCCCCCGTGGAGACCTGTGTGATCCCCGCTCCTGACTTTGCACCCTGGCTGCTGCAGGCATTCAGGGAGTCAATCATCAAACAGAAGCTGTTGGTCTCTGCTCCTCAAATAAACACATAAAGTCATACAGCACAAACTTGGCCAGGTACAAAACAATTTGAAAATTAAAGACAGCCCTGAGAAAAAACGTAGGCTTTGAAGAAACATGCTTGGGCCCAGCATCATGGCATAATGGGTGGCTGCCGACTGCAATACTGGCATCCCATATAGGCGCAGCTTTGAGTCCCGGCTGCTCTGCTTCTGATCCAGCTCCCTGCTGATGCATCTGGGAAAGATGCAGAAGATGGCTCAGGTCCTCGGGCCCCTGCACCCACATGGGAAAGCTGGATGAAGCTCCTGGCTCTGGCCTGGCCACTGTGGCCATTTGGGGAGTGAACCAGCAGAAGGAAGATCTATCTCTCTAGCCCTGTCTCTGTAACTCTGCCTTTCAGATAAATGAAAATATGTGTGTGTATAAACACGCTTGTCTTTACTGAAGAGATAAAAATTATAAACAACCAATGCCCCCTCCAACACACACACACACACACACACACACACACACTTCAGTCAGTTAGTTATCTGGTTAACGGGCAGAAGGCACAGCTTCAAACTTCTGTTCATTTCTTATGGCTGCAATTCCTTATTTCTTGTTGGATGGCTACACCAGTGCACTAATCTGTACTTCAAAATCATTTTCAAGCTTGTACTTCTTGTGAAGTGCCTGGCCGAGTCACGAGCACCCTGTGACTCGCCGGACTCCTGGCTCATCTCTGACTTCCGCAGAGCATTCTGCCAGGAACGGGACCCTCTGCTGCTGCTACTTTACCTTTCGCACGAGACTGACTTTCTGGACCCGGGGGACCTCGCCCATCAAAGCTGTCTCTGTAACGGTCAAAGTAAGAGTCCTCTTTTCTCCTGCAATAGTCATCCATTCGCAGGTATCTGTCGTAAGAGCCTTCTCTCCTGAAAGGTTAAGGAAATTTTTACAAAGTTAAAAATTCTTCCCAGCCTGCAAAAGTCAGCTACAGAGAATCTTCAATACCCAATCCCCTCAGAGTTAGGCATATGAATTTAGGGTTTGTCAAATGAATTTCTATCTAAGACTCACTGCTTCTTAGCTCTGTGGCTGAGTTGACCTGTCTGAAGTGTGGGTAGGGTAGGGTAGGGCGGGGTTAGGGTGGAAGAAGAACACAAGTGATATACAGAAAACATTTAGTATAATCTCTGGCATATACTAAATACAAGTAACTCGCAATTTCTTCCATAAAACATTTTTTTCTATGAACTTTTAAAAAATACTTTGTATATAATAATTTGCCCTATTACCCTCTTGGAAAGTATTTTATTTATTTGAGAGACAGAGAGACAGAGACAGAAGTAGACAGCGCCCATCCACTGGATCACTATGCAAATGACCACAGTGATGGGCTGGGCCAGACTGAATCCAGAGCAGGGGACTCAATCCAGGTCTTCCATGGGGCCACCCCCTCCTGCCTTTTAAGGTGTGCATTATTGGCAGGAAGCTAGAATTGGGAGAACAGGGTACTGAACCCAGGCATTCTGATATGGGATGTAGGTAGCTTAACCAGCGCCTTAAATGCTAGGCCAAACATCTGCTGCAACACCCATTTCTTATTACTATTTTTTATTTATTTTAAAATTTATTTTAAAAATTTATTTCTTTACTCGAAAGGCAGAGTTACAGAGAGAGAGAGAGAGAGGCAGAGAGAGCGAGAGAGAGATCTTCCATCCATTGGTTCACTCCCCAAACAGCCACCAACAGCCAGGGCTCCAGGGCTGGGCCAGATAGAAGCCAGGAGTCAGGAGCTTCATATGGGACTACCATGTGGGTGCAGAGGCCCAAGCACTTTGGCCATCCTCCACTGCTTCCCCAGCAGAAACCTGGATCAGAAGTGGAGCAGGCAGGATTCCAACTGGTGCTTATATGGGATGTTGGCATGGCAGGCGGTGGCTTAACCCACTACACCACAGTGCTGGCCCCACACCCAATTTTTTTCTTTTTTATTTTTTTGACAGAGAGCTAGAGACAAAGAGACAGCTCCCACTCACTGGTTCATTTCCCAGATGGCTGCAATGGCTGAGGCTGGACCAGGCCAATTCCGGGTCTCCCGCTTATCTGGCAGGAACCCAATTACTTGAGCCATCACCACTACCTCCAGGGCTCTGCATCGGTATGTGGCTGGAGTCAGGAGCGGGAGCCAGTGCTCTGATGTGGGAAGCAGATGTCTTAACCACTAGGCTAAATACCATCTTAGCCACTTCCAAGTGTGTAACTCAGTGGTACTCTAGTCACAGTGTTGTGTCATCAGCACCATTATCTACTTCCAATATCAAAAAGAAATTCTATTCACAAAGCAACTCTCCATTCCCCCTCTCCCTAGTCCCTGGTAACCTCTAATCTATTTTCTGTGTTTATGAATTTGCTTGACCTAGATATTTCATGCAAGTGGAATCACAACACCTTTTGTTATCTGGCTTATTTCACTCAGCAGGTTTTCAAGGCCCATCCATGTTTTAACATATATCAGAACTTCCTTCTGTTTTATAGCCGAATAATATTCCACTGTATGGATCTATCACCTTTCTTATATTCATTCACTTGCTGATGGACACTGGGATTGCCTCTACCTTTCCGCTATTATGAACAGTGTTGGTAGGCACATTCATGTACATTCATGCACAATTCTCTTGGATACACTCTCAGTAGTAGACATGACAGGACTGTGCAGTAATTCTATACTCAACATCTGAAGACTGCCAAACTGTTTACACAGTGCCTGTATAATTTTATATGCCCACCAGCAGAGGGTTCCAATTTCCCCATGCCTTGCCAACACTATTTATTTTCTCTGTGTGTGTATGTTTTAATTTTAATTTGATAGGTGGATAGGTGGGGGGAGAGAAGGAGGAAGGGAGGTAGGGAGGAAGGGTGGGAGAGAGAGAGATATTGATTGATTGATTGATTTCCCATTTGTTATTTCACTCCTTGAATACCTGCAACAGCCAGGGCTTGGCCAGGCTGAAGGCAGGATAGAGATATGTAATTTGGATCTCCCAAATGGGTGGCAGGTACCCAACTGCTTGGGCTATTATGTGATGCCTCCCAGGGTACACATTAGCAAGAATCTGGAATCAGAATCAGAGCCAAGATGCAAAACAAACGTTCCAATAGGAGATGTAGGTCTCCAAAGTGGCTGCTAAACCGCTGTGCCAATTGTCTGCCCCTTCTCTGTATTTTTAAGAAAACTACTACGGCCACCCTAGTGCGTGTGAAGTGGTAACTCACTGTGGCTTTCATTTCCATTTTCTTGATGACTGATGATGCTGAGCACCTTTTCATACATTTACTGATTGGCTGTGTATCTCCCTGTGTTTCACACTGCCACTCTAAGTTTACTCTGTCTCTTCACATAATGGTGTCTCTCACAGGTCACAGGAAGAGGCCCACATGCATTCACTAAGCATAATTCATCAATCACTCACACATTCAGCAAAATTCATTGAGTGGCACATCTCCCCTTGATAAGACACTGAAAATACAAGGCTGACAAAGTCACCGTCCTTACAGAGTTTTCAATGAGTTAAGTAGAACACGCTGTTACAAAAAAGCAAGCGGAATGGCTGCGAATATACCTGTACATAGGCTCTCGCGAGTCTCTCAGGTCTCTGTATCTGTCATACATGGGGTCCCGGTGATCTCGAAAATCCCTCGAGTCTCTTAAATCCCGAAAGTCTCTGAGCTCCCTCATGTCCCGAGCGTCACGCATACTCCTGCTGTCTCTGTGATCCCGCAGGTCTCTGCTGTCTCTGTGGTCCCGCAGGTCTCGGGGGTCTCGGATGTCTCTGCTGTCCCGGGCATCTCGGCCATTTCTGCCATCCCTCGGCTCTCTTCTTGGACTTCCCCGAATGGGAGATCGGTCACGCCTTGTATCTCGACTGTCTCCAAAACCATATGGATCCCTGTGGAAGACAGCAAGAATATGCTAAGACAAAGAAATCAAAGGGAGCCAATCCCACAGCTCCTTATGGGAGAAAGCCCAAATCTTCCAAATATTTTTCTCTACAACATGGCAGTCAAACCAAGAGCACAATTAAAACTTAAGGACAGCTACCCATCTGGCCAGTAAATAAAACCTAGTAGCTTCCAGAATCTCAAAAGACTGGAACTGCAAAGGAAGAATGTGCAGCTGAAAGAGGTTTGGGCTGGGGTAATGGTGTTTATCAAGCTTCAGAGAGTAATTCGGTATTTCTCACACATGCCAAATCATCTCAATTTCAACAGGTTTTCAAAGTAAAAGTATTGGGGGCTGGCGCCGTGGCTCACTTGGTTAATCCTCCGCCTGCGGCGCCGGCATCCCATATGGGCGCCAGGTTCTAGTCCTGACTGCTCTTCTTCCAGGCCAGCTCTCTGCTGTGGCCTGGGAGGGCAGCAGAGGATGGCCCAAGTGCTTGGGCTCCTGCACCTGCATGGGAGACCAGGAGGAAGCACCTGGCTCCGGATCGGCCCAGCGCTGGCCATGGTGGCCATTTGGGGAGTGAACCAACAGAAGGAAGACCTTTCTCTCTGTCTAGAACTCTACCTGTCAAAAAAAAAAAGTATTTCCCCATCAGACTTGTCTTAAAAAGACATAAGAGCAAGAGCGGCAGGTGCTGTGGCATAGCAGGTAAAGCCTGCAGGGCCGGCAGCCCACATGGGCAGCGGTTCGAGTCTCAGTTGCTCTTCTTCCAATCCAGCTCTCCACTGTGGCCTAGGAAAGCAGAAGATGGCCCAGGTCCTTGGGCTCCTGCACCCATGTGGGAGACCTGGAAGAAGCTCCTGGCTCCTGGCTTCGGATCGGCACAGCTCTGGCCGTTGCGGCCATCTGGGAAGTGAAACAGCAGATGGAAGACCCCTCCCCCCCCCCCCCCCCCCGCCTCTCTGTAACTCTGCCTTTCAAATAAATACATCTTTTTTTTTTGTTAAAGGGGGGACAAGAAATCTGGGGGGACATAGTGAGGGTTAAGAGTCATGAAGAAAAAACAGAGAAAATGGCATAATCTCACACAAAGTGATCAAAAGAGTTGCCCTTAAAGCACAGAAAATTTCACGAAAAGTTATCTAACAGAATCATCAAATTAAGAGGGGGAAGCACAGTATGATACATGCAGTTAAGGATCAAAACCAATCAAATTTGGTTCCCTTTTGTCTAAGGTCTTTTAAAAACTGAAGCCACAGACATGCTTGGCCTGCTGACTCAATGTTTGTCATGAGACATTCATCCCACCGGAAACTCATCCCCAACATATCTAAAATTAGAGACTTCCTATTCCAACCCACAAGCAGTCCCATTCCTGACTTTCTCACTTCTGCCAATAATCCACTTTCTAGCTACCTAGGTTTGTTCTTGAATGTTAACTTTGATTCTTCCTCTCCGTCCCCTTTAAGTCAGTAGAGTCCTTTTTACCTTTCTATTCCTCTAGATTTATAGGTCCAATTCAAAAGCTTATTTATATTTATATGCCAGCACCAATAAAAATTTCCAAAAAACAAAAACTAATATTTTGGATTTCAAGTCATTTGACACACAAATATTGTACTACCCATCCAAATACGCCAATTTCCATCGGTGGCTAATCTCAGCTTGCCCCCTGTGCCTCTGGGAACCCTCGCCTGACAATACCCTCTTCTAACTATCACCTCCTCATTTCCCGATTGTTTCCTTAGTTCGACCTAAGCTGTTCTTCTCACTTTACTCACATGTCTCTCGGTGTTTCTGTTCGTATGGCTTCTCTATCTGGAACAGTTTTCCAGGACTAACTCAAGGACCACCTGATCCACAAAAGGAAGATCATGTCCCGCGTCTCCCAGAATCCTTCCCTCGCTTTCCCAGTGACTGCTGATCTCCCCTCCTACTCTCAGAGCACTATTTCTGTTACTCATCCTGACCTGGTATTTACATTTTCACAACCATGTCTCATGTCTGATCCACTCTGAGATCCGTCCTGAATGCTTTTAACTTCTCCACAATATGCTGCTCCTCCAGTCCTTCCCATCTGAGTAGACGGCACATCCAGTTACTCATTTGCTCAAGCCAGGAAATTGGACGTCACCCTTCAAGATTTACCTACTCCTTTCAACCGTACGTCTGAAGTCTGCCCATTCTCTCTGAAAACTGCTACCCATTCTGTTCACTTCTCTGTATCTACATGGGCACCACTGAAGGCCAACCGTAACCACACACTCTAAAGCCAAAGCCAGCGGGAGCTGAAGCAGCCCCCCAACTTCTGTTCTTAGCTCTTCTCTAATCTTTCCTCACAAAGAATGCTCTAGAGTGAGCTTTTAAGTATGTAAAACCCTTCATTGGTTTCCCACAGTATTTATTTAGGATTCATTTCAAAATCTCAGCCAAGGTTAGGAAAGTCCTTTATGCCTTGGGCTCCTGTCTTGCCTATCTTTGCCTCAGGTCACCACTCTGCAGCCACACTAGCCTTTCAGCCACAGCGAGCCAAAGCCTCTCCTGATCCCTTGAGACCTGCGCTCACTCTCCAGGTCTCAGCATGTCAATGTACAAGTCTACCTTCTGCTCTTAAATTCTCACAACACCTTTTTTTTTTTTTTTTTTTTTACTTATCTCATTTGATTTGCTAAGTTTACCTATTTAACACCCATCTGCCTAGGCAGATCACAAGCTTCCTGAGGACAAGGCCTGTGTCAGCTTGACTCTGCACTGTAAATCCACTAGAACATCTGGCACACAGCTGAAGCTCCATAAACATGTGGAAAGAATCTTGCTCCTGTACATACTTTTATTACTGAACTTCCCACACTGTTCTGTAACTACAATTATGTGCTGCCTAATGATAAGATTATATCAACTTCTGATGTTGTAGCTTAGGTTGTGTAAGTATACTCTGTGATAGTCATGCAACGAAATCACCTAATGACCCATTTTTCAGAAATTATCTTGATGTTAAGCGATATATGACTGTATTTGTTCACATGGCTTCCCTAGAAAACAGTAAGTCTCCTGAAGGCTTTGGGTCCCCACGACACAGCGCTGAGTTCAGCAGTTTAATGAATTGAATTTTTCTACTTAAAACTGTCAGCCTCAAGAGCAGGCACCAAGCTTTGTTTTTATCATCTACTGTGATTACACCACAGTAGGCATCCACCATGATGCTATCAGCCCCAGAATGCTTCAATTTCACTTCATTTACATGGGCACAGAAGAAACAAGTTAAATGCCAAGTCTTCTTTTTACAAAAGTCCCTGTCATATATTTTAAGATTTATTATTACTCCTGGTTGTGGTAGCAACCACACAGCAAACTAGAGAACTTAAATAAGGATAGCTAAACATTAGTTTCCACACTAGAATAACGTGCCGACTAATCAAGATGATTTCAATTTTCCCTATTATGTCAAAAAATCCTCCTAACACTGTAACATCTGACGTAGTGCATAATGTGGGCAAACACCAAGGGTCCAATGGGAAGGACACTGCAAAGCATTTCTGGATCATTAATGATCGGTGGATAAACTGGCCTTGGGGAGCAGTTAGAAGTCGTCATTAGAGGCAGAATCAGATTTCAAGTGTTCTTGGCAATCAGAGCTGAAATATCATGAACCTGACAGACCACAGACCACATAAAGTTTTGGTCTGGTGAAGTAGGGCTGGGAATGCAGTCATGAACACCATGTCACAGCACATTATTTACAGTCTTAGGACAATCAGATACCATATTGGGCTCTAATTCTTTTTGATCTATTGGAGAACCTTACTTACCTGTCTGAATCCACCCCTGCAGGACGACCATAACCCTAAACCCACAAAGTCTATGTTCATGCTTCCAGCCTGCGACAACAAGCCCTTCCCTTTTCCTCTCAAAGAATCTAAAGTTTGTAGGCAACAAAATTACTAATTCCCTCTCCACTGCCTTCTGGGCAAAAAGGCAGAAGAGGTGAGTCAGGAGAGAGAAGAATCTAAGCACTGATGGAAGTAGAGATAGAAGATAATTCTCCACAACGAAAAGGCAAACGTTTTCCTTGCTCCAAAAGATGAACACTGGCACATGTTCCTCTGGAGACAAAAACAAAACAAACAACCCTTTAGGGTCACTTCAGGACCCAAAGAACTCCTCAGAACAAAAGGGCGCCTGCTGCTGGTCCCAACATCTTCCTCAAACCAAGAACACAGCTAACAAGAGTTGTACAGTGTCTGGACTCAGAGCGAGGAGAGGACAAAGCCTCCTGCATGAGAAGCTTGACCTCAGATGATAAGTGAGTAGAAGCAGGTTCCCGGAGCAAATAGTGAAATTCACAGTATCATCCCAAGGCACCAGAGCTATTTTACTAAAGGAAGCCAAACGCATACTCTCAGGTACCACATTGTAAGAGGGTAAAATGAAACCGGATAGCAGTTAAACTTCAGTACTGGAGCCCACAAACTGAAGCAGGTGGCAAACACAACTAAAATTCTGCTGTAATCCCTTATCTACTCAGGAGGGGAGAAGAAAGGCAAATGCTTGCATCATTGGGCAGCATTTACGGGTAAAGGAGGGGTGGGTGAAGGGAGAAACCACGGCTCAGATGGGAAGTGGTGTGCTGCTGGCAGAACAGCTTCTCCTCCTGAGGACTTAAGTGGTGTGGACAGCGCCTGGTATTTGAGATTTTACAGATCTTGAAAGACTTTGAGCTTCTTTTCATCAGGAGATGGAACCTCAGGTTCAGGATGGTGCTCTTTGGCCTTGGCCGTGCAGGTCAGGGAGAAAGGCCCGTCTTCGTCTTTCTGTTCTGCAGAGGCCAGCCTTTCTGTTCCCTGGAATACTTTCCTTGGGAGGGCCAGTCTTTTTTCTGACCCTGAGAAAAACCCTCCACCAGCTTTTTAAACGTTTATTGTCACAGATACTGTCCACAAATATCTAAATAAGATGGCTGCTGTGTGACGCTGGTCCCCCGCCACAGTGGCTCCATGCTACTATTAGAAATGCAGAGATAAGAGATTTCACCATCAGGTGTAGGCAGGATATGGGAGGAAGGAGAGACCACATCTCAGATCCAAACTTTGTAAGTGGCCACGCCTCCCCTGGGAAGCAGCGATGATCTTCTCCAGCACAAGTGAGTTTTCCGCTGGCAGAGGTGGCACTCGCTGCCGGCTTTTCTTCACGTGTTAGCGCAAAGGGAGCCACGGCCCGCAATCTTTCAATGCAGGTCCAGCCAGACCTAGGGCTGTTTCACACTCAAGGAGCAAACAGTTATCCACGAAATGAATCCTCTTTGGATAAGTAGAAAACACTTCGGGTTACAAAGGAAATCTGCCTGCAGCCAAGTGACTTCTGATGAATCAGTCCCCAGTGAGCTCCACCATGGAGGTATCGGGCTTAACTTCTTTCACAAATACACGGGGGATCCTCTGCAGAGCTTTGATGTAGACAAGCTAGTTCTGTTTGGGAAGGTTTGGGAGACCCCGTCTGACTTCAGCAAGTCAAGTTGGCATATGCTCTGAGACCTGGACTGCCGCACTGCTGACGGAGCCAAGGGCATCCAGCCCCAGCCAGAACCATGATCCAGTCTGTGAAGGAAGACCAGGGCCTAAGGCCATACCAGACAACTGTGCAGTATACTCAAAAGGAATCCAGTGGAGTGGTCCAAGGGTTCAATGATAGGAATTCAAGCTGAAATGTAATCCAGAGCAGGGATTCTCGTGCAGAGATTGGTGCGTGGCTGGACCAGTACTGTTAGAATTATACACTGGCAGCTGAGTCATCACTGGACAGAAACAGAGCCACAGAACTGTTGCTTGAAGGGCTGACAATCCTGTGAAAACGCCCAACATACCCAGGTATGTTGACACTCAAGGTTAATGTTCAGCAAAAGGTGTTACAAAGATTTTGGCAACATAAAGAATAATGTTCTTATTAAAAGCAGACAGCACTGGAGATGTAGGGGTGTAACTTAAGGAAATAAGGAAATCATGAATAGTGGGTTTTTTTGTTTTGTTTTTCTTTCTGCTGTGAATGATACATTCCCTATGGTGGTGACACACAGAAGTATTAGGGCTGCCGGAAGGCAGTTTGGTTATTATCAACAGGCCAGTACATTTGGAATTATCTCAAGGCTTTGACTGGAAGCATGCACCCAAAAACAGTGATCCCAGTGTACACCTGAGAAATGGTTAGCTCTTCCCAGGCCACTCACTCACTTATCTTGTGAACTCTTTTGTATTTTACTTCTACCCTATCAGTGTATCTGAAGAGATAATGCATGATGAGGGTAATAATCAAAATGTTAGTACTCTACTTTGAATATAAAATTCAATTTATCCAGCTTTGATTTTTTTTTTCTTTAAGAGAAAAAATGGAGACTCTTAGATGGGGCTCAGAACAGATTCTACTAAATGTGACCACATTTTTCCCTGAAGTAAATACACACTGACTGTATGGAGCTTCACCATGGTAAACAACATGTTAGGGACATATAATCCAAGGGGAAGATTGTTAATGGACTCTGAATTAGCTTGGCTATTCCTCCTGCTGATAAAGCAGGAAGACACTGCTCTATCCACATTCCAAATAATCACATTTTAGAATTCATTTCTGAGGAAAGTGGGATTTTAAAAGATATATAAAGGAGACATTGATATGTATGTATCTACTAAGGAGCTCACTGAAAAAATATTTTTCATTTACTTGAAAGGCACAGCAACAGAAACAGTGAGAGAGATTGAACTTCTATCTGTTGGTTCACTCCCCAAATACTTGAAACAGCCAAGGCTGGGCCAGGCCAAAGTCAGGCGCCCGTTAAGATCTCCTACGTCAGTGGCAGGGGCACAAGCGCTTGAGCCATCACATTCTGCCTCCCAGGATGCATTAGCAGGAAGCTGGATCAGAAGCAGAGCAGCCAGGACTGACAATGGCACTCCGATGTGCAGGTGGGCGTGCCAAGCAGCAGCTTAACCAGCTATGCCACAACCTCCGTCACTGGAGCTCATTTTCAAAGGTATTTTCCAATGCTGTTTGTGTGTTAGTTTGTTGGGAGGGAGGGGAGTAGAGGAAGGAGTATTAAAAACACAAGGAAAAAGGCATAAAGCTCTTTCATTATATTTGAAATTATGGAGCTACATTTTAGGTTGGAACGCAGTTAATCTTTTCATTTATTGCCCTTTCAACAACTAAATGGGACTCCAACTAGGGTAGTTAGTTGTTTCCTTGTTACTTACAATTAACCAGAGCAGTTAAAAAGCGATTGGTCAAGTATCATTAACAGGATGATAGAAATTACCCTCCTCAATCCGTAACAGTAACAGCAACTACTCTAGCCTGCAGTGTGCCATTTCTTTTTCTCCTGAAGAAATACACAGACATTACTCAGGAATCACAAGCACCATGAGAACAAGTAGAGGGAGTTTTCTACTGGAGTCTGTGTCTTTCAAGTTCCACACTCCTTCTAGTAAAACACCCAGTTCAGAAACACACACAGAAACACACATTAGGGCACAGTGTTGTGGTGTAGCAGTTTAAGCTGCCACCTGCGACACTGGCATCCCATTTGGGCTCCAGTTCCTGTCTCAGGGGCTCTCCTGCAGACCCAGCTCCTTGCTAACGGCCTGCAAAAGCAGTGAAAGACGGCCCAAGTCCTTGGGCCCTTGTACCCAGGTGGGAGACCTGGATGAAGCTGTTTGCTCTTGGCCTTGGCCTGGTCCAGCCCTAACCATCTGGGGAGTGAATCAGTGGACAGATATATATGTCTTTTGCTCTGTAAATCTGCCTTTCAAATAAATTAATAAATCTTTTAAAACACACACACATCCACATCTTATCTCCATTTAACTCATTTGGCAACTACAATTTCCAACAGCAGCCCCATAATTCTGACCATCAGATGCAAACTCTTAGCCATGTGTATTCCATATTTATTGGGGCTGTAAGAAACAATATAGGTGGGGCTACCCAACATCTACAACATGGTTAGATGTAGCCTAATGGAGAAACATATTATATGGAACTGTTGAAGTTCTTCAGGATGCATTTATGTTCTTGAAGATACAAATTCAAACAAATCAACCTCAACCTACACACTATTGATCCGTAAGTTGCAGGCTTTTTTTTTTTTTTTTTTTTTTTGGTATTAAGAGAGCAGACAGACTACCAATGTATATGCCCACCTCTGTAGTGAAATTACTGGATGGCCAGGGCATCTACCTGACAACTGTGGTGTAGCCATAGTTGCAGTGGTGGATACAACTTCTCTGGCACAGGAAGAATGGGCAAAAAAAAAAAACCAACAAAACCAGCAGCATTACCTGGTCCCTAGCATCTGCTTGGACATGTAGAACAGACATGCATAATCTATGCCTGGGAGCTAGATCACATCCAAACAAGAGAATTACACAAAACATACAGAAGCTGTTCTATCCTCTAAGTCACAAAACATGAATTTTTGTTCAAAAGCAGGACAACTATGTGTTACATGCAAATGCTCATTCAGTAGGTATATCCCCACGTGACTCTGGAGCTACCATTATAGACTAGGATTCACTGTGTTCAGCAATGTTCAATTCACTGCAGGAAATGTAGTTTACTGTGATATGTAGTTTTTGTGGAAAACTGACATTTCCACTCCAGGGCAAGGACAAAAATCCACACTGAGCTTCCACGTGGGCCCTGAAGATACGAAACACATCGTGTCGGTCTGCATTACACACAGAACTGCACGCACTGCATCCTCGTATGTGCTGCTATGGGACCACAAAGTCTGGATATGTTTCCTCATATCTGGTGGAAATGAAAACATTTTTTAATAAACATGCTTCTTTGAGAGAAGACACCAATTTAATGTACATCTTGAGGGTATGTGTCAGGATTGCTTCTTTGGTACACACTGAAGGAAGAGTATTTTGGGGAAATGCCCTCTATTTCCAGAGAAGGTAAGAAAAAGGGAGACTTTGAGAAATGCAGTGTTTTGCCCTTTTTATTACCCCTCAAACAGGTAACCCCAAGCAAGCGAGCCAACACAGGGTCTGGCGCACGGCACCGCAGCAATCTCTCAAGCAGCACTCTCCGTAAACCTGGGTCACCATCTGGACCGGCAGCCATGTGGAATGAAGAGTCGACTCTGCCGCCTGCTGCAGTGCAGTGTGGTGCACACCAACGACCCCGGGGCACTCCTCCTGTTCTGGAGGCTCCCACTGACACGACAGCCGGGGACAGACAGAGGTTTATCCTCTTCAACCGCCTGCAACACAGGTTGCAAGCTGAACTCGCTGGGTTTGCCACCGAAAACACAAAGCTTCCTCTGCATCTCCTGTTGTATGCTTTAAAAAGCAGCAAGGCCCTTCTCACAGGGTTCACGTTCTTAAGGTTTGCTTGAGCGTTTCTGATTTGTTGGGGGGAAGAAAAGACCCTTGATGTGTGAAGTTGGGCTTAACTCCCCAGAGCCCAACTCTCCCAAGGTAACTCACTGCTTCAGGGTACTTTACCTTCGTGTGGGGCTGGGTCTTGATGGAGCCGTATTCATATTTCTTCTTTCCGCTGCCTTATTAATATCTGAAAAGAATAATCAACCCATCTGTTCAATGCTACGGAATAAAAACAAGATCATCAGCACATTTCAAATGAAAGCAACAACAAAAAAATTATAATGGCAACCAGATGGTATAAGAAAAATCCATTCAGCAGCAACACACTGTCACTTGGTCAGTTTTTTTTTATGAAGTCAAGGTAGTACATTGTCTTGGCTTTGTAAGGAAGGTCCCTTAGTTTTCCCGCTAAAATATAATTTGTATAAAATTGGTTACATTAATGATTCACCACCCTGACAAAACCTAAACCTAACACTCCCTGCCTAAAGGGAGGAAAAGGTTGTTTTCTATACTCTTGGAGAGCTAGCTGTAAAATTCTTTTTGTGGAGAGAAAAAAGTAGGGAAAAGATAAGGAGAGTTTTAAAAAATTCTATTTTAGGTTACAAGAAAGTGATTGCTGGAACCCAGTGTCTTAAAACTTCCAATACTCCACGAAGCAGGGCTCCCTTTTAGTGTGTCTTGTGTTGTATTCCACTGGATAGACTCTTCCAGAATGAGTAATACGCAGGAAAGAAAATTATCTTTTTTTTTAATAAACCAAAGATATAACTGTTAACATCTACACTCTTCATAGGTAAGTATCTAAGAATAAGAGCTGGTATTTGGCATAGTAGGATTAGGTAATAAAACACAATTTATCTAAGTTTTCATTAGAAAAGGTTGGTGTATACTATTAGATAGGAGAAAACAGTGGAATAAGCTTATAGAAAAGCTAATTTATGTAGTTAAATCCTATTGTGCTAAAAAAATACACCTGCTTTAAAAACATATTAAGAAAGAACTGATGAGGTCTTTAAAGAAATATACCAATATATGCCCTCTCGAGCCTGACAATTATTATGACTTAAGGATAAATAAGTGCATTAAAAATTTCATACTTCAGATGAATGGAGATGTAAAATGCTCCCTGCTGCAGGGTGCCTTTATTCTCCTTGTTTCATATTAAGCAATTTATAGCACACCTAATGACATAAATGATAGTAAGCACTCACATAATTAGAGTGCTTTAAAATAGCAATTATATATTTTAAAAATCCCAACCAGATTCCTACCATGTGAGACAACAGCAATAAGAAGAAACTGAAGGGTCTGGTATAAACTTTACCCTGCTATGTTGCCAACTTTTGAGTTTCTGAGTTCCTGTTCAAGTGAGAATGATCTTCAATTCCATTTTAAACCGGAAATTTCTATTATGCCTAGAAGAAGAATGGCTTTTGACAAAACTGAAGAGAACACAAAACCTAAACAGAGAAGCACATTCTACTTAAATTGCTTCTTACCTTTTCAATTAAGATGACACAGGATATAATTCCTCTATTGCACACACACACACACACACACACAGAGGAAATATTTTCTATGTAAGACCTGGCCAGTATTCTTGGACCACAGCTTTGGTACTATGACAGTTAACAACTCTTAAAGTTCACAAATATCTGAATTATATAAAGGCAGGCCTTGTGAGGAGTATCTATTCCTTTTATGTGGAAATGTGAAGAATACCAGTTCAGGGCTAGAAGGGCTTATTGACCTGGTCTGCTCACTTGTTTTATACCGCTTTCTAATACAGAATGGCTATGAGTCAGAGAGAAACGTAATGACTTTGATTATTTAAACAGTTTATGCAGCATTTCTGGAATACCCTAGATGTATGTATTGGGACTTATTTTTAAATAAGTACCACATCTTCAAAAGGACCCTGCATTTTATTAAATGGTCTTATGACTGAAAAAAAAAAAAAAAACACCTCATCTGAGGGGCCGATGCTGTGGTGCAGCAGGTAAAAGCCCCTGCCTGCAGTGCCGGCATCCCATACAGGCACCAGTTTAAGTCCCAGCTGCTCCACTGCCTGGGAAAGCAGTAAAAGATGGCCCAAGCCGTTGGGACCATGGGGGACCCAGAGGAGGCTCCTGGCTCCGGACTGGCTCAGCTCTGGCGGAGGCAGCCATCTGGGGAGTGAACCAGCGGATGAAAGACTTCTCTCTCTTTCTGCCTCTGCCTCTAACTCTGCCTTTCAAATAAACAAATAAATCTTAAAAACAAACAAACAAAAAAACTCATCTGAAAAGACTAGACCTTGCAAGCATTTAGGTTAAGAGTACAGAACATATGGTGCTACTTCACTTGATAAATTTCTATTAATGCTATAATACGCCCCCCACACATATGGAAAAAAAAAAGGGGGGCTGTCATACTGTATTAATTAATCTACTTCAGTGACTATAGAATGGGAAGACCAAAGTGATCATATATTATATACCTTTGGGACAAAACTAGTTCCAGATAGAATGAAGAAGGTAAATATTTTACTTTGAAGTTGGTGACATTATTCTGCCATTACTTGGAAAACTAAAGAACATCCATAAATATATTTTTAAATATTGTGATTTGCCTCCCAGTATCTATTTTCACTGAGTAGTGCAAAGCAATTATATGTGGATGGTGTGGCTTATGTCTCTTTTGCAGAAAAGTACTTTTAGACCATTTCCTTAATTTTATGAGTTGGCATGCTTAATCTGGTATGTCAATTTTGTTTATTTACCCCTATTTAAGAGTTCCTTAAACTTTCAACTTGGCTGAGATATGAAGAAAATGAGACCTGAAAGTTCTGAGTCTCATTTCTATCCCAGAAGACTGTCCAGGTTAGAATAGGGTTCAGAGTTTTCAGTGAGAATTGTGAAAACATAATCACATACATTACCACCAATCCCCCTCCTCCCAACAACAACAAAAAACCCTAATACATGTGCACATAGAACTTTGGAAATTATAGGAGGAAGAGAAGGTAACAAAAACACAAAGAATTTTGGGTAGCTGATCTCAATAGAGAGTAAAGATGTACAGAGTCAAGAAAACACTTGCTCCATCCCAATTTTTGTCACAGAATTTGAAAATCTGTCAACTTGGAGGTTCTTTGGACACGTTTTTCTTTGAAAATGCAAATACTGGGACTAAAGGCTTTTGTATAAATTAGTTTAATCAGATTTTCTTCCTAAATCCTTACAGATATAAAATCAACACCAAGAAAATAGGATGCTAATGTAAAGGAGAAGGGGAAACACAATTAGAGAAGACAATTCAGAGGTTTTTCCAGATATTAGATAGGGGGGGCTTCAACTGGTGAGAAGTCAATCAACAAGAGAACCATAGCAATCTGGGAGTCTTTCCAAGCAGAGGTGGACTGATTCCTCTATAAAGAAAAGGGAAGAAAATTTGGTGCTTCTTTCCATTTTATCCTGGCCAACTGACCCTAAGACCAAAAGTCACACTCTCAGTGTCTTACCCATTTTGGTAAGTTCCAAGTAGTCTTCTGGAAATAGTTAAAAGCACTTTTAGCTAAGAATTTGTACACATGGGGGCTGCTGTGGCGCAGAGGGTTAAGCCATGGCCTGCAGAGCTGGCATCCCATATGGGTACCGGTTCAAGTCCCAGTGGCCCTACTTCCAATCCAGCCCTCTGCTAATGTGCCTGGGAAAGCAGCGGGGGATGGCTCAAGTCCCTGGGCCCCTGACGTGGGAGAACCAGAAGACGCTCCTGGCTCCTGGCATTACCCTGGCCATTGTGGCCATTTGGAGAGTGAATCAGCGGGTGGAGGATTCTCTCTAGCTCTCCTCTCTCTCTCCCTAACTCTGCCTTTCAAATAAATAAACCTTAAAAAAAAAAAAAAAGAATCTGTACACAAGAGAAATAGCACCAACTCGAAGGATTTACATAGGGGCTGGCATTGTGGCGTGGCTTGCAGGGCCAGCATTCCATATGTGTAACTCTTTCAAATAAATAAATATTAAAAAAAAGGATTTATATAAGAAAAAAGGGAGAATAATCTAGAAAACACGAGGCAATACAGATAGTGGCAGAGCCATTTTAAACCATAGGGGAACAGAGTGAAGAGCTTCCAAAGACACAATATCTAATCTACAAATTTATTTTAGACTAATATGCCAGACAGGATTCACACAATGGTCCTGGGGTAATGTTACAGATAAAAATGCATGCTTCATTCACAGTATGAAGAACTGTTCTGTTCTACCTATTTTTAATTGTAGCATCATAAAAAACACTTTTTATCTTAAAGCCCATTTTTATTACAACAACAGAAAACAATAAAGACTAAAAACAACAAGGGACAGTAAAAACCACACTGTTTAATGTGACAGTACTACTACTGCCTGTTAAAAGAAACCAGAAGCCTATACAATTTTAATAAAGGACTACAAATGTAATAAAACTCCCCAATAAGGCTTAGCTGAAAATCAACTAACAATCAATGATTATTAATTTGGAATTACATGACAACAAAGATGCCACCTGGAAAACTACTGATAAGACAGCAGGTGACATATATCAAATCCCAAATCAGGAAGGAAATGACAAGACTTCTTACTTACACTGTATTTATGAAGATGATTTTGATGATACTTTGTAACATCAGAGATATTGTACTGAAGGAGAGAGCTTGCTGTGCTTCTAAATAAACCCTTTAAACTTACTGCATATTCCCTCATATTTGATTGTTTCCTTCATTCTCTAACTGAATGTATTATATCTTTAAACTCCATTAGAATAACACTCCCAGGGCCGGCGCTGTGGTGTAGTTGGTAAAGCTGCCGCCTGTGACGCTGGCATTCCATATGGGCACCAGTTCAAGTCCCCACTGCTTCACTTCTGATCCAGCTCCCTCCTAATGGCCTGGGAAAAGCAGTGGAATATGGCCCAAGTGCTTGGACCTCTGCCACCCACATGGGAGACCCAGATGAGGCTCCTGGTTTCCAGCTTCAGCCTAGCACAGCCCTGGCTGTTTTAGCCATCTGGGGAGTGAACCAGCAGACCGAAGACTTTTCTCTCTCCCTCTCTCTGTTACTTATGTTTTAAGTAGATAAATAAATCCAGGCCTGTACTGAGAATATTATACACACTATTTCATTCAATCCTTTTACAACACTCAGAGTGACATACTATCACGATTAACATTTTTGCAAAGGAGGACATTTGAGGTTTAGGGGAACTGACTTATCTGAAGACACATGATTAGCAGGGGGCAGAGCTGGGAGTCAGACTCAAGTCCATAAACATTATGCTACGCTGCCTCCAACAGGGAATGGACAGATATGGTTTCCCTTCAAGAACATCCTCCGAGGACTCCCAGATGAAATGCTGATGGAACCTGAAACAGACCAGTTTATATCAGACACTCCAATGTTTAAATGCCCCACAAATACCTAATAGGGTGGAATATTGAATTATTTACTGCTCCAATTTTTATCACTTCAAACTACAATGTTTCCGGGTTTTGCTACTGATACCTTACTCCCATCAACTTCCCCATCTTACGTTAGAAAAAAAATTCTCTATCAACATTTAATTTTCTGCCTCCTTTACTTGTCTTTAAAAGTTCAACTTTTGGGGCCGGCGCCATGGCTCACTTGGTTAATCCTCAGCCTGCGGCGCCGGCATCCCATATGGGCGCCAGGTTCTAGTCCTGGTTGCTCCTCTTCCAGTCCAGCTCTCTATTGTGGCCCAGGAGTGCAGTGGAGGATGGCCCAGCTGCTTGGGCCCCTGCACCCGCATGGGAGGCCAGGAAGAAGCACCTGGTTCCTGGCTTCGGATCAGTGCAGTGTCGGCTGTAGCAGCCATTTGGGGAGTGAACCAACCAACGGGAGGAAGACCTTTCTCTCTGTCTCTCTCACTGTCTATAACTCTACCTGTCAAATAAAAAAAATTTTTTTAAAGTTCAATTTTTAAATTTACTTTTGACAAATTATAATTTTATATTATAATTAATTATAATTTAGACAAATTAATTATATAAAATTATGTGGGTATAATAATGTATACATAGAATACAGAATAACTAACTTAAGTTAGGACATCCATCACACTTATCATCTGTCCCTAACTGCAACGGTTTTCCCTTTGACCACCATTTCTCCATCTCTTCTCCCCAGCCTGTTTAATTTCTGTTTCTGTGAGTCCAGTTGTTTCAGATTTCACATAAAAGTGAGAAAATGCCTTTTGTCTTTCTGTGCCTGGCTTATTTCACTTAATATAAAGGTTTTTTTTTTTTTTTTTTTTGACAGGCAGAGTTAGTGAAGGAGAGAGAACAGAGAGAAAGGTCTTCTTTTTCCGTTGGTTCACCCCCTAAATGGCTGCTACGACTAGCGCACTGCACCAATCCAAAGCCAGGGGCCAGGTGCTTCCTCCTGGTCTCCCATGCGGGTGCAGGGCCCAAGCACTTGGGCCATCCTCCACTGTCTTCCTGGGCCACAGTAGAGAGCTGGACTGGAAGAGGAGCAACCGGGACAGAACCAGTGCCCTAACCGGGACTAGAACCTGGAGTGCCGGCGCCACAGGCGGAGGATTAGCCTAGTGAGCCATGGCGCCGGCCAGTATAACGTTCTTTTAAAGATTTATTTATTTTTATTTGAAAGTCAGAGTTACACAGAGAGAGGAGAGGCAGAGAGAGGTCTTCCCATCCGCTGCTTCACTCCCCAATTGGCTGCAACAGCTGGAGCTGCACTGATCCAAAGCCAGGAGATTCTTCCGGTCCTCCACATGGGTGCAGGGGCCCAAGGACTTGGGTCATCTTCCACTGCTTTCCCAGGGCATAGTAGAGAGTTGGATCGGAAGTGGAGCAGCTGTGACTCGAAGTGGCATCCATATGGAATGCCAGCACTGCAGGCAGTGGCTTTACCTGCTATGCCACAACATGGCCCCCAATATAATGTTCTTTTAAACGAAAAGAGCACTTAGCTGGGGATCAACAAATCTGAACTGTAGTCCCACTCTGGGGAATTTAGTCAACACAGATTCCTTTGAACCTGTATTTCCTTCTTGATAAAACTGATACTTTACGGGGCTGGCGCTGTGGTGTGGCGGGTAAGGCCACCACCTGCAGTGCCGGCATCCCATACGGGCACTGGTTCTAGTTCCAGCTGCTCCACTTCCGATCCAGCTCTCTGCCATGGCCTGGGAAAGCAGTAGAGGATGGCCCAAATCCTTGGGCCCCTGCACCCACATGGGAGACCTGGAGGAAGCTCCTGGCTTCGGATCAGCCCAGCTCCTGCCGTTGTGGCCCATTGGGGAGTGAACCAGCGGATGGAAGACCTTTCCCTTTCTCCGCCTCTCCTCTCTTTGTGTAACTCTCACTTTCAAATAAATCTTTTTTAAAAATTGATACTTTACCTGTGTTAGCTATGTTGAGGCTGATTCAAGGAGAAAATCAGCCAAGAGAAAAAAACTCACTAATTGTGATTCCCAAAGGTCGAGATAATATAAACTAGTAAAAACATCTGAACTACAAAAATATCAAAATATGGGTTTGTTTAAAACAGGTGAAAGTTTAACTAAACTGTACAAGTGGAGAACTATGATGATCTTGAAAAGGATAGCTTATAATCGGTACATCATATGCACCATTCAAGTATTTGCCAATGCCTCCTATGTGTCATACACGGTACTAGGCCTTTAATAACGTGGAAACGATACAGCTGAAGTCCTTGACTTAAAGGAGATCACTATTTAATAAAAGAGAGGGACAGTTCTCAGGTAGTTACAGTATAATCTGAAGTGGGTGACATTATCATCTTTGAAGAACGGAGGCCTGTGTACGTGTGTAGAAGGGGAGAGGAGCAGGGAACACAGCAAACTGGCAAGAAGGTACCTGTGTGCCTGAGGGGGAGGGGAGGGGAGAGGAGGGGGAGAGGGAGAGGGGGGAAGGAAAGCCTAATGGTAACATCTACACTGGCTCTTGAGGCATAAGGAGGAGCTGTTATCAAAAAGAGGTTGGAGGGGGCTGGTGTTGGGGCGCAGAGGGTAAAGCTGTTGCTGGCAACGCTGATGTCCATATGGGTACCAGGAGGTTTGTTGGTAGCAATGGCTGCTCCACTTCCAAACTAGCTCACTGCTAATGCACCTGGGAAAGCAGAAAATGGCCCAAGTACTTGGGTCCTTGCTACCCACGTGGGAGACCAGGATGGGCTGACCCCAGTTCCAGTTGTTACAGCTATTTGGGGAGTGAACCAGCAAATGGAAGATCTCTGTCTCTGTCTTGCCCTCTCTCCATCACTCTACCTTTCAAATAAATAAATAAATTTAAAGAAAAAGAAAAAGGTCATCCTAACTCATGCAAAGTAAAGGAATGCTTTGAAGGACATAGTAAGTTAGGAAAACTACAGGAAGTTTTAGTGCTGGGAACAAGGGGGCAAGAGGAAGAAAGAGAAGAATGAAAGATGAAGCCAGAGTTGGACCTGACTGAGATTCCTGTGAAAAATGAAGAAACAGGTGGCAACAGGGTCTGTTAGGAGGCTATGAACTAAACTGTCAGAAACAGTCTCAATGAAGTCAAATTAATGAAGCTTTACTGTATGGATATTATCTCCACAGGGGGAGGGGAGTATTTACACTTAAGACAATCAAAGCACTGATACTGCCCATTATAGAAATTTTCTTCAGGGACCACTGATTTGATACTGAAGGGAACAAGTGGGAGAAAACATTTATCCAGTCATCATTTTACCCTAACAAAATGGACTGATGGCTAGAGGAGTTGGTAATTAATAGCCAACAATTACTTCAATTCATTGTTCCAGAAAACAGACTACAAACCACCCTTCCTCACTTTTCAACATTAAAAATAAAAACCCTATAGTTAAAACCATAACATAAAATTCAATGCCTTGCTCATTTTTACAGGTACAATTCAATATCCCATTGTGCAAGGGATCTCCACAACTTTTTTATCTTGCAAAACCAAAACTCTAGGTCCATTAGAGAACACTTCCTATTTCTCTTTACAGATGTAAAGAATAAAACTTTCATTCCTTATATCACATTTCCTTAATAAAGACACCTCAGTACCACCTGGAAAGGGAGCTGAAAATCAGAGTCCCAGGTCCTGCCTCAAACTTTCAGAATCTGTGGACTGAACTTAGGAGTCTGTATTTTAGCAAATTTCTCAGGTAATTCTTGGCACATATTTAGGGCTCTATTATCTATTTATTGCTATGTATTCCTGCTTCTATATAATAACAAACACACAAATGTCCCATTTTGAAAGCTCTCTAAACCCCTGTGTTCATGGGGGAAATAACTCATAATCTGTTACAAAGAAAGTATCATGGCAATGACTAAAGTCAACAAAAATATTAATAGTACAAAAAGTATAAGCACACTGCTATTTCCAGAGAAAACGGAGCATCAGTCAAGTTTCTAGAGTGCTAAAGCTTTCTAAAATTTCTTTTTGCTGTTTTTAGAGTGCTAAAGTCAACGATAATTGTGACAATTCTGAGGTCACTGACCCCCTTCACTACAGGAGTGTTCGTTCGACCTATCAGTGCTTCCATCAACTCTTTTGTTTCATTGAACATTTAGAAGTATCCTGAGAAGTTAAGCTTCTTCCAACTACCTAGTTATAAAAAGGCAGGAAAAATGATAGCATGTTACCCTCTTCTCTGGTTAGGGACAGCAAACTGCCGAGTGAAGTTCTCTCTCAATTCCGCAAACCCGAGCTGTCAGTACTGTCTTGCTGGTGGGGGCATAACTAAACACAACTCTTGGCAAAGGAGAACAGTCACACATAGGATTTCCTATCCACACAACTAAAAGCAAAGTGGAGCAATTCTGAAATTAATATGCAGACCATGAAGTCTTTGTTCTTAAGAAGGTAAAAGCACCCTGGAAGGCAGTAAAATACTAAAAGCCACACAGATGTTCCAATTATTCCTTTTACTACTAGTTCAAACTATGAAACCAAAAATATTTTATAAAGTCTTACTTAAACCCACTAATGTATTGCAACCATAAATCAGAACTGTTAATTTGCATCAGCAATCTGTGGTGATGAGATTATTTTATTTCCCATGAAAACTCATTAAAATGGACAGAGAAAGGGGCTTTCAAACTTCCAATATACATATAACCCACCAGAGTGGCTTTTAAAAGGCAGATTGCCAGTGTTCCACTTCTACAGTCCAGTAAATTGGGAGGGGGACCGGGAACTCTAAGAATCTGTGTTTCCAACAAGTTGTTCTGGTGATTGATGCTTTTGGGTATCGGACTTAAATAAATGCTGTCCTAAGGTAAGTTTCCCAAAGGCTACAAAAGGTTCAGTTACACATTAATAGTTATAAGTTTAAACATTTTATGAAAATTATGTTTCCCTAATTTTTGTCTTTTGGATATCAATAATAATTTTAAAAGATTAAAAATAAATCCCTTGTGTTTTCTCTGACCCTAAATACAGGTCATTGCCATTTCAATCTCTAACTGCAATGAATGTTAAGTATACTCACTTAAAGCCAAATTATTTGTAATCCAGAATTCTCAAAATCTCACCCATTTGCTGCAGGATCAGTCTAATCTTTAGTAATTCAATCATTCTAGACCCAAGCCAGGGACCACTAAAACTAAAGACACATGACCTCCATTTTCCACTGCAACTTAAGCTGTCTGGATTCTTGCCTAAAGGTGTCCTGTCTTTTTATAAGTCAACAATGCAGGGCCTGCACTATGGCGTATTGGGTAAAGTGGTAAAGCTGCTGCCTGCAGTGCCAGCATACCATATGGGCTCCAGTTCAAGTCCCAGGTGCTCCACTTCCGATCCAAATCTCTGCTATGGCCTGGGAAAGCAATATAAGATGGTCCAGGTCCTTGGGTCCCTGCACCCGCAGAGGAGACCTGGAAGAAGCTCCTGGCTCCTAGCTCCATACCAGCTCAGCTCTAGCTGTTGTGGCCATTTGGGGAGTGAACCAGTGGAATTAAGACCTCTTTCTCTCTCTGCCTTTCAAATAAATAGAATAAATAAATCTTTTAAAAAGTCAACAATGCTTTAAACATAAAATAAAGGGATACAAGGAAGAGTCCTATGATCTGGAACAGTTTCAACTGTTAAGAGTTATTACTTTCTTAACATAAAAGTAACTGGCCTAGCTGACCTAACAGCTCTTATTTTTTTGGTGATAAGATAAAGAACGAAAATGACCAGCCCTATAAATATTCATATCTGGTACTAATAAAACCACCATTTAAGAAGCAGCAGGCCTGCTGGTATTAAATATTTAGCTGTCAGTATACTTCATATTTCCCTAATGTGCTGAGGCTTTAGCCAGTGGCCTTACCCTGGTCCCTTCATTAATGTCTCTCACTAATGACAGTACACAGAGGGTGACTTCTACTGGGCACTGCCCCTTAACTCGTTGACAGGTTACTTCAACTCTGCTTATGCAGAATAGTCCAGAGGAACGTGTATGCTGTTCACAGAACCATTCTTTTGGCACTAGAAAGCTGGCATTGAGCTTCAGAGGCACGTGTTTCAGAGACACACAGAAATCATCAATACATCACAGGGTACTCGGAGCAAAGAGTATGGTCCAAGAATAGTGCATGTGGGGGAACACTGCCGCCTCGAAATGTCCACAGCAAGACCGGCGGAAAGGCACCCGGCCTTCCCTTTACGGGGATCTACACTGACGAGGTTAGCACACGGACGCCTTCAGACCCTCGCCACCACACCTCAGCACTGTCCGGTTCTGCTTCTTCCTCTCCACCAATATCCTGTCCTTCCTCTCCACCAATATCCTGAACGTGTTCTACCAGAAAATACATGAATTGGGCAAGAAAGCGAGTCTCTGTGAGCCATTATTTCATTTGCAGAAGAGATGTAACAATGCCAGTTGACAACATGATTGGCAGGAGCAAATGAGCTGGAATTTAGCACACGCACTGCTAGCTGTTATTACCACTGCCAATAATGAGTTTAGGAAGAGAAGCTTCATTCTTCACGTGGGGAGTCAAAAACAAGAGAACAAAGTACGCTGAAGGGGACAAAAGTAAATATACATCCTCCAAAAGGTTCTTATCCTGTCTCTCGTTTTCAAGGTGTTTCCGCTCAATTCCAACAATCTTCACAGCAGTAGAGAGCCTGCAAAGGCACCGCCACCTGCAGGCCGCAGACAGAGCGCGCCTGCAACGGGTATTCCACTGAGTTGCAAACCCTCGAGCCTTTTCTCACCCCAATTCAAAAGCCTTTCCAAAAGACGTGTATTCTCGGGTTTTCAGCGCTAGTAGAAGAGGCCCCATTTGCTGGAGTTCTGACACTGACTCCTGATTAAAACCAAATTCTCACTTCTCTGACTCACTGCTACTTAGAAATGTGAAGAAACCGACCTTAGCCTTCTGTAAATTCTACCTTGTGATCACACCAAAGCAATCCCAAAGGAATATGGATTTTTTTAACCGTGTGTGTGTGTGTGTGTGTGCACGCGCGTGTGTTTAGGGGAGTGAGCAGACTTGAATGACATCAGCTGACTTTGAGTGGATTAAAGTCCATTTGCTCTCACACTCACAAAAGTAAAGTATATGAGCAGACCATCAACTTATAACCCGTCCACACCCCGCCGACGCGGCGCTTACAGGCATCAACACTCGGCAGCCTACACCTGGAAGAACTCCTTCCACAGAGCCTTGCGATACGGTTCCTCCCAGCACATCCGCCAAGGACAACCAGTGTCCCGATGTCTCAGGCCAAGAGACCGTCGGGGAACGCGTGGAAGCTGACAGATGCGCTAAGGGGACGGCAAGGGAACCGCGATGGAGGAAACGGACGCGAAGCAGCCGAGATGCCCCACGCCCACCACGCTCTACGGCTTCCAACGGGCCGAGCCCAGCTCAGTGTCCACACTCGCGCCTGGCTCGTACAGAACCCGCGGGTACATCTGGAGGTCTCCAGAGCCGTCTTGTCTGGAACCCACTCGCAGGTGGCAGCCACATCACAGCGCTGGGAGAACACGGAGGCGGCGCGCCAGGGCACTGCTCGGCCAATCCCGAGGCCAGTTTACAACGAGGACGCTTACGAGACCAAGTCTCCTCCCGCAGGGTCCCAAGCCAGCAGGACGACCATCAACCCGCACGCCTGGGGCAGCGTCTCCCACAGCGTGGAACGCAGAATAACTCCAGGAGGAACAAGGACGCACTGTTGATTTGAATAGACAGGTATTTATTTATTTCTCATGCATTCGAAAACGAAGTGGCTTCCATTATATGGCTTGCGATCGCGGCTTCCGCCTTAAACATATTTAAGCAGGAGAAAGAGAGAGAGAGTCCGTTTCAAGAGTAAAACTCAACATTCGGTAAGCCCGTGGCCATACAGGGGGTACGCGGAGCGAAGGGGCAACGCGAGGGACTGGGGGGCGGGCCAGCCCCGGGCCAGCAGGTTCCGACGCCGGCTCGGTCGCTCGCTCCGCGGTGGCCTCGGCCACGGTTTCCTCCCGGTCTCCGGGCTCGGGGTCCGCGTCTATAAAACGAGGGGGTGTCACACGACAAGGAGACTCCGCGAGGATGCGGCCGGGGGGGGACGCCGCGCGGCGCTGCGCGTCCCGGACAGCGCCGGGGAGACCGACCGCCTGAGCCCGGTTCGAATCCCCACCGCGCCACCGACTCGCTGAGGCCCCGCAGGCGAACGACTGACCGTGTGGACAACGGGTGCGGGGTGTGCGGTCCTACCCTACAGAGCAGCCTCGCAGGCTCCTGACCGATGGCTCACGCACAGCCCCCGCGGCCGTGCACTCAGCCCGCCCCGGGACTGCAGGGCCTCGGCCTGACGGAAGCCAAGAGCGGCCGCGCCCCGCACCGGGCATGCGCAGCCCCGCGCGCACCCGGGGAGCAGCCGCGGCCGCGCGTCAAGCGGGCCTCCCGCCTCAGCCTCCGCGTCCGCGTCCGGCCCGGGCCCCCGACAAACCGCCTGCCCATCAGCCCCGAGCCTTGGCGGACAGCCACCGCTTCCCGGCACTCACCGCTACCAGCGCGGCGGGCTCCCGGCCGCTCCTTCGCCTCAGGCCCGCCGCTGCTGCCTCCGCCTCAGCCCACCTGCCCGCCGTAGGACAAAGGCGCCACCAACCGACCGGCGCGGGCACGAGGCAATGGCGGCCGGGGCGGAGAGTGGAGATGGGGGCAGAGGGCGCGCACGCAGCGGCAGGCGCGGCGGTGTCGCGCGAGCGCGAGGGTTTACGGCAGGGCTGAGTTGGGGCGTCGATCTCCTTGGCGATGAGGGCGGGGGAGCGGCTCTCTGGCGGCGGTTGGGTTGCCTAGCAACGGCGTCCTCAGCTGCAGATAGGCCCGCGCCTGGTGCCCCCCGCCCCCAGCCCCGCGGCGGAGGACTTCCGCCGAGGCTGCTGCGTTCGGGGTGCGTTTGCTCCTGCCTCGCTGGAGAAAGCACGTTTCAACCCCCCCCCCCCCAATACTCTGATTTAGTCTTGCATAAAACGAACGCGAAACCGCGGTCCCCCAGACGTCTGCGGATGTGTGCGCTGGACTCCCGCAACATCCCGATCCCCGAACAAAGAACGGCGGGGCGGCGGAGGGGCTTCACTTAAATCTACATTTCAGTAGGCCGTGTACCCTATTCGTTTCGCTGACAGGAAGCAAAAGGCTTCGGGAGATAGAGCCACAGGTTCTCCTTGAGTCATTTATTTCTTCCCGGAATCTTCACTCAACGTCAAAAACAAATTTCCTGGACTGTAACTGCGGACCGCGAAGCACGTGAAATGCTGTGTTGTTCGTTTAATCTACAGAATGCATTTGTCACAGGGAATGGGATTTGCTCGCACCCTATTCATCACAGCCAGAGCTACGGGGTCGAGAGGTGCTTTTCTTTAGCTGGGAAACCCGTCGGGCGCCATGGGGTCCTAGCTTTTCTCCTTGTGAATGGTGCGAGCTGGGTAGAAACGGTGGCCGCAGAATATAAGCGCTAGGTGTCTTCGACACCTGCCTTCCCACCCTCATTTGCCCACTGACTGTTCGCTACCTGCTTGTTACCGCGCCCTAAGGTTTACGGTCGTGCACCTGCTCGCTGGGCGCTGTTCTGAGCAAATGCACACCCACCGCTCGGCTGTCTTGGAGACTGCGGTCTGTCGGAAAGATAGGGTTAGGCGTGTAACCACATTTGAGTCCGTCGACGCACACTGAGGAGAATGCTGTGATGGGGAGAAACGGGACTTCTCAGAGCTGTCTCTGGAACCCGGTTTACTCACAGGCACAGTGGTTACCACAATTCCTACTTCATGAGACTGTTAGAGACGCAGACACGAAGTCTGCATCTCATTCCTTACTCTCATTCCTTCCGGAATGAGACAGGTATAAGACTAGGAAACTCTGTGAAGAATCATGCAAATTAGATCGTTAAGATCATGGCACTAAAGGCAAAACACTGTTGGTTTTAGGGGTTTATGGCAGCTCCTTAATCCTGCGCTTGAGTTGGGCAGTGGACGTAAGCCAAAGGCTGTATTCACTGACTCATTAGGAAGCGTCGAAGGAGTGCTTGCTATGTGCAGGGTTTGTAGGTGGTGGAGCATAAGACAGACAAGGCCCTCGTCATCAGAGAGCTTACAACCTATCAGAATTGCAAGCAACGAGCAAATTGTAATATAATGTGCGACGAGTGTTTTGTGACAGAAGAGCAAGTGAATTCTGTAAGGAGAGAGTCATGTACACAGGCAAGTGCTCAGAACTTGGTGCCTTTCCATTTATATGTTTGCGTTACAAAATGGGGAACACTGGGGCCGCCGTAGTAGGTTAAGCATCTGCCCGCGGTGCCAGCATCCCATATGGGCACTGGTTCAAATCCCAGCTCCCTGCTGATGGCCTGGGAAGGCAGTAGGAGATGGCCTGGGTGCTTGGGCCCCTGCACCTGCATGGGAGACCAGGAGGAAGCTCCTGGCTTTGGATCAGCCATAGCAGTCATTTGGAGAGTGAACCAGCAGACAGGAAACTCTCTCTCTCTCTCTCTCTCTCTCTCTCTCTCTCTCTCTCTCTCTCTCTGTCATTCTGCCTTTCAAATAAATGAACTAAATCTTAGAGAGAGACAGAGATACAAGCTGGTATTTGTTCACTCCATATCCCGTATCAGTGCCTGGGATTGAGTCTTGCTTCACCTTTCACTCCAGGTGCCTGCTAAGGCACATGTTGGGAGGTAGAGAAAGATAAGTTTATTTTTTTCTTAATTTGCATTTTCTGTGAATATATTGAAGACTTCTTGTATGCATGCATTTCAAATATTTTGCACCAAAATAAACTTCTTTCTAAAGTTTTATTTATTTATTTGAAACACAGTGTGACAGTGTGAGGGAGACATGTGCGCACGTGCACGCACACACACACACACACACACACACCTTCCATCTACTGGTTCACTCCCCAAGTGCCTACAACAGCCAGGGCTGGGCCATCCTGAAGCTAAGACCCAGGAACTCCAGCCAGGTCTCCCATGTGAGTGGCAGGAACTCAAGTACTTGAGCCATCATCTGCTGCTTCCCAGGCTCATTAGCAGGGAGCTGGATCAAAGGCGGAGTGGCTGGGCCTGGCACTCTGCTATGGGATTGCAGACCTCCTAAGCCCACAACACCCACACCTAAACTTACCTTTTAATTTTATTTTCCCACGAACTTTGTAAAGGACCCTGGTACTCTCACGAACACTTTGTATATATCAGGAGAGGTATTTAAGAGCGCTTTGGTCAAATCAAAGCGGTGGTGATAGAAGTCAGAGCAGTGGTGCACTGATAGGATGATATATAAACTGGAAAGAAGCTGGACGGAACTTTCTAGGGGGACAAAAGTGTTCTTTATTTTGATCCCATAATGGTTACATGGAACATATACAGAAACATGCAAAGAGCTGTGTGTTTAAGACTGGGTGTTTTACTGTATGTAAAGTATACCTTGATGAAAATTTTTACAGAAGCAGTGAATTAAAGCTTTGGGGGGGGTCAAATGATTTTGGTTCAGATCTTGGCTCTGTTCTTTAATAGCTATGTGAGTTTCTGTCTTTTTTTAAAGATTCATTTTATTTATTTGAAGGCAGAGTTAATGGGGGTGGAGGGGTGGGGAGATAGCTTTCATGTGATGGTTCACTCCCAATGGCTGAGCCAGGCTGAAGCCAGAAGCCTGGAACTCCATCCAGGTCTTCCAAATGGATGGCAAGGACTGAAGTACTTAGGCCATCTGCTGCTGCTTGCCCAAGTGCATTAGCAGGGAGCTGGAGTGGAGCAGCCTGGACTTGAACCTGCACTCGTATGGGATGCTGGTATCGCAGGCAATGGTTTCACCTGCTGTGCCCAGATGCCTGCCCCACCCCATCTTCTTTCCTACATTCAGTATTTATTGAGTACCGACTCAGTTTACTGGTCAAGGTTCAAGGGACATATGATAAACAAGAAATAGGTGATTCATGCTTTCATAGAATTTCAGCCAAGCCACAGGTATCTATCTTGGGAACAGGGATGATAACATTTTAATCACAGGTCATTGTAAGAACTAAAAAGGGGACCAATGCTGTAACATAGCGGGTAAAGCTGCCACCTGCGGTGCCAGCATCCCTTATGGGCGCCGGTTCAAGGCCTGGTTGCTCCACTTCCAATCCAGCTCTCTGCTATGGCCTGGGAAAGCAGTAGAAGATGGCCCAAGTCCTTGGGCCCCTGCACCCACATGGGAACACCCGGAGGAAGCTCCTGGCTCCTGGATTCAAATCGGTGCAGCTCCAGCCATTGCAGCCAATTGGGGAGTGAACCAGAGGATGGAAGACCTCTTTCTCTCTCTGCCTCTCCTTTTCTCTCTGTGTAACTCTGACTTTCAAATAAATAAAAAAAATTTAAAAAAATAATTAAAGAGAACACGCAGGTTGTCGCTCCCCGTCTTCGTGGAGGAGCAACACAGGACCCTGCGCTGTTCTTTCGTCTGCTCGGCCCTCCCCGGGTTTGCTGCTGGTTCTTCCCGGGTTGGCTACTATCCCTTCCACCTCCGTGGAAGGGCAGTTCCCCCTGGCCACATTCCCCACTTCCGCAGGGGAGCGGCACACCGCCGGCCGGCTTTCTCGGGGGCTGCACGGGTTCCCTTAGATGTTCCCCATAGATGTTCCCGGTGCATGCCGTCTCTCTCCTCCTTTATAGTCCTCCTCCGCCAATCCCAACTCGGCTGCCCACACGCCGAGTACGCTGCTCTCCAATCAGGAGCAAGTCCTACAGTTTATTAGTTGAACTGGAGGCAGCTGTGCGGAAGCTGTTTACTTCTCTCCCAACGCCATGTTGTGGGAGAGCAGATGCATAGAATAAGTTAATTTCAGTAACTTAGTCCAGTCCGGATTGCTCCCCACAGATCCCCCTTTCTTTTTATTTTTTGGCGTTGATACGCGCCTGTCTTCGGTGTCCCGCGGCACACACTCTGCTCTACTTGCTAGAGTTGCCACAGGCTCTTACAAGTCCTATCAGGCAAACCGAATCCAAGCCTTCTCATTGCCGTATTGTGGGGGAGACTTATTAGTGTTGGTTTGTGCCTATCTTCGGTGACCTGCAGCTCATACTCTGGTCGAGCTGCTTGCTGGCGCTTACCGCCTTAATTAGGCAGACCGAATCCAAGCCTCCTAATGGTTGTATTGTGGGGAAGCCTTACTGATGTTAATTCGTGCCCGTCTTCGGTGACCTGCGGCGCACAAGCTGCTAGCCGCCCAGGTGCTCATCGCCTCACTTAATCAGGCAGACCGAATCCAAACTTTCTCGTTGCCATGTTGAGGGGAGGCCTTTCTATTTCTCTATTTCTCTATCTCCGGGCATTCCTATTCCTCCCATTTTACTTCTGTCTGCCAACATTCCCATTTCTCTCACTCCACTTCCAAACTTCTGTTTCTCTTATCCCTGCGGCTTTCCGGCACCTCGCCCCGCCGGCGGGTTCCCGGCTCTGCGCCGCTTCAGCCCGCGCGCCTCTCTCATCTGCGCAGCTTCCCGGCTTTGCGCGGCTCGGCTTCGCGCGCTCCCCGGTCTCCACGCTTAACCCTTTCGCGTCTGAACCACGGCCTACGCCAGCCCCGTTCCCTATCTATTCACGCCCCGTGCTCTCTCTGCACGCGGCGGCTTCCGCGAGTAACACAGCGTAGCTTACGTGTCCGCCACTAGCATTCAATCTAAGTTCCCCGGGCTAGCCTGGCGAATTCAACCCAGCGTACGTCTCCGCCCCACGGTTTGGCTTCCCGTCCTTTGCTCCCCGGGCTAATCAGACGGATCCCAACCTGGCTCACGTTTCAGCTTCTGGTTTCAACTTTTCGCCCCCTATTCCCGGGCTAACTTGAGAATCCCAAAGTGGCTTTCGTGTCCACCTTGGCCTGCCCCCCACGGCTTCAATTTCCCTAACATTTTTCTCTACCCGGTATGTTTCCCCAAACTTTCCTCCAACGATATTCCTCCCTCATTTCTCCTGGCCTCTCCCCACAGTCCGCGTCTGAGTCTGTTTGTTCTAGCTTTCACTTTCGCTTTCGACCTTAGAGATTTCTCCCAGCTTCCCCCCGTAGTCCGTATCCGAGTCTATGCCTAGGCTTTCAATAGCTTCTTCCGGCTCCTTTTTCGTCCGGCTTTTCCCTAGGCTGTTTGCTAGTCTCTCCCTCCGATATTTTCCCTAGGCTGTTTGCTAGTTTCTCTCTCCGATATTTTCCCTAGTTCTTCCCGTTTCTTCCCTCCTAAGTTTCATATCCGTCCTAAGTTTCCTATCCGAGTCAGGTTTCCTATCCGAGTCACGGCACCATTATGTCGCTCCCCGTCTTCGTGGAGGAGCAACACAGGACCCTGCGCTGTTCTTTCGTCTGCTCGGCCCTCCCCGGGTTTGCTGCTGGTTCTTCCCGGGTTGGCTACTATCCCTTCCACCTCCGTGGAAGGGCAGTTCCCCCTGGCCACATTCCCCACTTCCGCAGGGGAGCGGCACACCGCCGGCCGGCTTTCTCGGGGGCTGCACGGGTTCCCTTAGATGTTCCCCATAGATGTTCCCGGTGCATGCCGTCTCTCTCCTCCTTTATAGTCCTCCTCCGCCAATCCCAACTCGGCTGCCCACATGCCAAGTACACTGCTCTCCAATCAGGAGCAAGTCCTACAGTTTATTAGTTGAACTGGAGGCAGCTGTGCGGAAGCTGTTTACTTCTCTCCCAACGCCATGTTGTGGGAGAGCAGATGCATAGAATAAGTTAATTTCAGTAACTTAGTCCAGTCCGGATTGCTCCCCACACAGGTAGAGTATCTGGGAAGCAATTGATGCTCAGAAATAAACAGCCTGACCAACTGTTTGATGGACCAGGGGACCCTGATTGTTCACAGCCAATGGGTTTACTGAGAGGTCAGAGCTGGAGCGCTTATTTAGCTTATTGTCTGATGTTCATTGCTCTGCTCAAGGAAGGCCCATGCGAGTTATGTTCCATGGGTTCTGTAGTGCATGCTTATATCTGCCTGCTGTATTTATAATTGAATGGTGACCTGACTTTGTAAACTTTTGGAGTGCACTTTCTTTCAGAACCTTTGGGCGCGTCTTCATTGTTTTGCGCACTGTTAGATATTTCGAGGTGGAAGGGAAGAGCTGTGCTGGGGCTGTGTGCAACCTTTGGTACAGACCTGGGCTCAGCGCTTGCTTCAGAGACTCGGAGGAACGGCGTTCCCAGATGCACTCCACCAAAACAGGGGTGTCCGGAGCCTTTGAGCAGATTTGGTGGCGTTCAAAGTGCTGCTGCAATGCATCATGGGCCCAGGAAAATGGGAGCTGGGTGGTTTTCCACCCCCTGCTGAGAGCCCCTGGAGGCAGTAGGCGTGTCTGATCCCAGCTGTTCTTCTTTACTTTTTCCCAGGATAGTCACTCACTCTAGGGGATCGGTGAGACATCTCAGGGTTTTGTGGGTTCATCTGCCTTCCTGATATTCTTTTGTTTGGTAAGGTAAGAACCACACTTGATTCAGTCCGGAATCCTCTGTCTCTTTCCTTGGTGAATATGTATTTCTCCTCACCCTCAGTTCACATGTTGAGCCTTAATCCCCAGGGAGATGCTATTTAGAAGGAAGGCCTTTGGGAAGTAATTAGGTTTGGATGACGTGCGAAGGTAGAGTCCCTATAACAGGAAGCAGCAATCACAACTCTCCCCTGCCTTCCCCTCTCCTTTCCTCCCCTCCTCTCTCCTCTCTTCCCCTCCCCCCTTCACCTACAGGCTAGGAGGAGGGTCCTCACCAGGCACCGAATCTGCTCACACGTTGATCCCCAACTTCCCAGCCTTTAGAGTTGTGACAAATAAATGTTCTTTAAGCCACCTGGTTTACGGTGTTCTGTTAGAGCTGCCCAAGCTGCCCAAGACACTTGGTTCCCCTCTTTGATGTTCATTCCACAAAGCTGTACCCTTTCGGTTATTTGTTGAATTAATTCTCTTACTTTTTTGAATACCTTTTAATTTGTTTATTATTATTATTTGATTAATTTCCTTTATTGGGGAGGCAGAGAAATAGAAAGAGAGAGCTCCCATCTGCTAGTTCACTCCCCAAAGGCCAACAACAGCCAGTGCTGGGCTGGAGCCAAACTAAGGAGACAGGAATGCAATCCCGGTCTCCTGTGTGGGTAACAGGAACCCAATTACTTTAGCCTTCACTGCTGCCTCCCAGGTGCACATTAGCAGGAAACTGGATTCGGGAGCTGGAATCTGGTATCAAACCCAGGATGTTGATGTGGGAGGCGGGTGTCTTAACAAGGGTCCTAACTGTTAGGCTGAATCCCTGCCCCTTTTCTCTTTTTAAAAATCTTTAACAGGGGGCCGGCATGGTGGCACAGTGGGTTAACACCCTGGCCTGCAGTGCCAGCATCCTATATGGGCACCGGTTCAAGACCTGGCTGCTCCTACTCGGATCCAGCTCTCTGCCATGGCCTGGGAAAGCAGTAGAAATGGCCCAAGTCCTTAGGCCCCTGCACCCGCATGGGAGACCCAGAAGAAGCTTCTGGCTTTGGATCGGCGCAGCTCCAGCTGTTGCAGCCAGTTGGGGAGTGAACCATTGGATGGAAGACCTCTCTCTCTGCCTCTACTCTTTCTGTGTAACTCTGACTTTCAAACAAATCTTAAAAAAATCTTTAACATTTGAATCTTGCATTAAAGTGCATAAAATGATATAATGCATACCTTTCCACTCACCACTGTGATTAGATAAATGTAAATGCTTTAGCCAATTTGTTCGGAAATGAAAGGATTAGAGAATCAGCCAAGAACGGGACCCCCCTCTTCTTCCTGTCCCCCACCACCAGAGGTGATCACAGTCCTGAAATACATCCCCATGTATATTATATTTGTATTTTCTTATTTTTACTTTTTAAAATATTTATTTATTTGAAAGGCACAGTTAGAGAGAGAGAGAGAGATTTTCCACCCACTGATTCAGCCCTCAACTGGCCACAATGGCTAGGGTTGAGCCAGGCTCAGGAACCAGGAATTCCATCTGGGTCTCCCATGTGGGTGGCAGGTGATCAAGTACCTGGGCCATCTTCCGCTGCTTTTCCAGGTGCATCAGCAGGGAGCTGGATTGAAAGTGAAGCAGCTGAGACTCAAACTGGCACTCATATGGGATGCTGGCATGGCAGGTGGGGGCTTAACCCAGGGTGCCACAACACTGACCCCTATATTTGTACTTTTATCATACATATATGCTTCCATAAACTGTATAGCCTTGTTTCCTATGTTTCACTATGTTTTGTATATCTTTCAAAATTTGATTATTTTTAATTTTTTAAAAGATTTATTTATTTATTTGAAAGAGTTACAGTGAAAGAGGGAGAGACAGAGAGAGAAGAGAAAGATCTTCCATCTGCTGGTTCACTCCTCCTCAAACGGCTGCAACTAATCACCAGGGCTGGGCCAGGCCGAAGCCAGGAGCCAGTAGCTTCGTCCGGGTCTCCTACGTGGGTGCAGGGGCCCGCCATTTCTGGTGCCCCAGTGAAGATCCGTTTAAATCAGAAAGTGTCCGTATAGATCCAGCCACCAACTGTCCTTTCCCCAGCTCTCCTGGTGATCCTGATACACCTTAATCTTTGAGAACCACTGCTCTAATTTATTTGTTTTGCTTGCTGTCTGGCGTTGGACAGTGTGAGCCAGCCACAGTTAGCTGTTTTTCGTTTGCTTACAGATAACGCTGCATTGAACATGCTTGTACTTCCCTCCTTGGGTAGAAATGCCAGCACTTTCCAGGGTGCACGCTTAGGAGTGGGACTGCTGACTTCGTATTAGTTCATATCTTGAACTTCACAAGGTTTAGCAAAGATTAGTCTCCAAAGAAATATTAAAGAGGCATGCAACTTCAGGCAGTTATAAGAAGTACTGTTTCTGGTACTCGTGTTGTGGCACAGCGGGTTAAGCTGCAGGCTGCAATACAAGCGTTGCACATCTGAGCTCCAATTTGAGTCTCGGCTGCTCCACTTCCAATCCACTCCCTGCTAATGCACTTGGGAAAACAGCAGGAGATGGCCCACCTACCACCCACATGGGAGACTAGGATGGAGTTCCAGGCTCCTGGCTTTGTTGGGGCCATGTGGGGAGTGAACCAGTGGATGAAAGATTTCTTTCTCCCTCTCTGTATCTCTGCCTCTCTCTTTTACTCCGCCTTTCAAATAAATAAAACATTTTTTAACGATTTATTTATTTATTTGAAAGTCAGAGTTACACAGAGAGAGAGGAGAGGTAGAGAGAGTTTTTCCATCCTTTGGTTCACTCCCCAGTTGGCCGCAATGGCCAGAGCTGCGCCAATCCAAAGCCAGGAGCCAGGAGCTTCTTCCAGGGCTCCCACATGGGTACAGGGGCCCAAGAACTTGCATAGCAGAGAGCTGGATAGGAAATGGAGCAGCTGGGTCTCAAACTGGCACCCATATGGGATGCCAGTGCTTCAGGCCAGGGCGGTAAGCCGCTGCACCACAGCACCAGCCCCAAAACATCTTTTTTTTGTTTTTGTTTTTAAGAAGTACCATTTCTAAATATCTGATCCAGCTTTTGACATCTTCAGACTTTGTTCATTTGTTTATTTTAGCCTCATGCTGGTAAAAATGATATCTGTGGGGACCATCGCTGTGGCATAGCAGGTATAGCCGCCGCCTGCAGTGCCAGCATCCCATATGGGCGCCGGTTCATTACGCGGCTGCTCCACTTCTGATCCAGCTGTCTGCTATGGCCTGGGAAAGCATTAGAAGATGGCTTGGTCCCCTGCACCTGCGTGGAAACACCCAGAGAAAACTCCTAGTTACTGGCTTCAGATCGACTTAGCTCTGGCTGTTGTGGCCAATTGGGGAGTGAACCATAGGATGGAAGACCTCTCTCTCTCTCTCTCTCTCTCTCTCTCTCTCTCTCTCTCTCTGCCTCTGCTGCTTTCTCTGTGTAGCTCTCACTTTCAAATAAATAAATAAATTTTAAAAGATGATACCTTTCTTGTTTTAACTGTAATTTCCCTCAAAATAGTGATATTGAGCATCTTATCTTGCAGGCTGCTCCGGTTTCTTCCTTTGGGAATGACTGTTGATGTTTCTGGCTCATTTTTCTGCTGGGTTTCTGTATGCTTTTATTAATCCCGAGCAATTCTTTGCATACTTTGGAGACTGATTTCACGCTGAGGGTAGGTTGTTGTTTCTTTCCTCTCTCTCTCTCTGTAGTTTGTTTCTTCACTTTGTTAATGGCACCTCCTCATTTAAAAGTTTTACATTTTAATGTAGTCATTATGGTTTATGGCACACTGTGTCTTACTTAGGAGTTCCTTTCCCAGTGTCCTATAGACAGTCTCCCTGGTAAATACTGTGATGATGTCCACTTAATAATGAGTCAGTTGAAGCAGAGAGAGCTTACATAACGTGCTCCAGGCCACAGAACCCTGGAGATGAGTGACTTGGGCTCTTGGCGCCGGGTTGTTCTGCACTCACAGTTTAGGAACATCTTGCCGTTCTGCTCCGCTGATTACCTCCTAAGATCTCTCAGCGCCTCTCTGTAGGTGGAGAGGCGCTCAGTGCTTGGACAGAACACAGGTTAAGTGCAGTCCTCATGTACTACACAATGGAACACTTGGCTCTATACTTCAGATTTAAAAAAAAATGATTTTTCAAGTAATTTCAGACTTACAGCAGAGTTGCAAAAACAGTACACAGGAATCCTGAATGCAGCTCCTTCCTCCTCCTCCTCCTCCTCCTCCTCTTCCTCTCCCTCTTCCTTTCTTCTCCTCTTCCTCTCCCTCCCTCTCCTTTTCCCCCTCCCCCTTCTCCTTCTTCCCCAGAATCCAGTCTGGGGTTGCACGCTGCCGTCAGTTTTCACATCTTGTGAGTCTCCCTGAATCACATCAGTTCTTCAGCCTTCCCCTTTGCTGACCCTAACATTTTTGAAGAGCACCAGCATTTGGGGCTCATCCGAGGTTTATTCATTGTTAGATTCGGGTTACGCATTTTTGGTTGGAATATGCAGAAGTTATGTTGTGTCCTTCCCAGGTAGTAGTTTTTTCTGAAAATCCTTTTGAACTGGATCCCCTGCAACTTCATGTGCATACCTGCATTTTTCCAGGTGGGGGAATTAATCTCTCATATTCAATTCTGTCGCTCCCCCTCTTCGTGGAGGAACGACACAGGACCCTGCGCTGTTCTTTCGTCTGCTCGGCCCTCCCCGGGTTTGCTGCTGGTTCTTCCCGGGTTGGCTACTATCCCTTCCACCTCCGTGGAAGGGCAGTTCCCCCTGGCCGCATTCCCCACTTCCGCAGGGGAGCGGCACACCGCCGGCCGGCTTTCTCGGGGGCTGCACGGGTTCCCTTAGATGTTCCCCATAGATGTTCCTGGTGCATGCCGTTTCTCTCCTCCTTTATAGTCCTCCTCCGCCAATCCCAACTCGGCTGCCCACACGCCGAGTACGCTGCTCTCCTCCAATCAGGAGCAAGTCCTACAGTTTATTAGTTGAACTGGAGGCAGCTGTGCGGAAGCTGTTTACTTCTCTCCCAGCGCCATATTGTGGGAGAGCAGATGCATAGAATAAGTCCTAATTCCAGCAACTCAGTCTAGTCCGGTTTGCTCCCCACACAATTCTCAAAGAGGTTACACGAGCAAAATAAAGCCAAGACATTTCACATTCTTCCTTGCTGCTCTGCATGGGAGTCTTAGCCAGCAGTGATGTCTGAGAGGAGAGGACAGCGGCGTGGAGAGCCAGGCCGGAGGCACTGCAGCTCCACTTAGCAAGCTTCACAACCCACCAGGGCCCGCCTGTGCTGCCCTGCCTGGACTTCCCTGGTTTGTCTTGCAAAACTACAGGTTTCATTTACTGGGGGGAACTTGCCGCTTGAAGTCTTGGTGGATCAGAGCACAAGTTGGAATTAGCAGGGTCTATGTTCATGTCTCTGCTCCGCCGCTTCCCAGCTGGGCAAACTCGGGTTTGTTCTTTCGCATCCCTGCACCTGTGACAAGTGTGAAGTAAGGTAGTTGAGACGAGATAGCGGGGGTCACGCGTAAAGCCCCTGGAATCACAGCTGGCTCAGTGCGCGGGCTCATAAGCTCGTAGAGCTCATCTTCTCCAGGGCATGTATTGACATCATGGTTTGTGTCTTTTACAGATTTTCGTTCACTGTTTCCTAGACTCTTCCTAGAAAGCAGAGGCTCTTATGTTCTCATGGACTGCGCTGTTCACAGGTGGAACAAATGTCACTGGAAGCTGATCACTAAGTCCTGGGGCCCCAGGACATTGGAATGGGGGGGAGTGAAAGGCACTTTTTTGGTGATGGTATTGAGTTCCTAGTAATTGCCAACAGAGCTGAAATCTCAAGGAAATGTTCCTTAAACAAAATGGATCTGAATGGGAGTGCTGCTGCTGTTGTACAGTGAAAGAGGTGGCTCGGGGAACTCCGGAGTGTCCACCACGAAGTCCTTCCCAGCCATCAGAGAGCTCTCTGGCGGGGTCACCTGGTTTGGAGCCTGGCCAATGTAACACACACCTGTTTCAGTATAACTTTGTACAGCTGTGATCGTCAGCATAATGACCCCTCCAAAATGTCTGTGTCCTAATCCCTGGAGGCTGCGACCCGGCCACCTTCCCACGGCAACAAGAACATGATCCTGAGATGAGGAGACGGCAGGTGGCCCCACTGTGGTCACAGGCATCCTTATAAGGGAGAGGTAGGAGGCTGAGAGAAAAGGAGATGCGATGATTGGAAGGATGGAAGATGCTACACTGCTAGTTTGGAGACGTCCATAAGGCAAGGAAGGCAGGCAGCCTCCTGGAACTGGAAAAGGCAAGAAACCCGATTGTCCCCAAGAGCCCTCAGAAAGAATAATGCCATTCAGATCCATTTTTAAAAAAACATTTATTTATTTATTTATTTGAAAGGCAGAGCTACAGAGAAGCAGAGAGAGAGAGAGAGAGAGAGAGAGAGAGAGAGAAAGAGAGAGGTCTTCCATCCACTGGTTCACTCCCTAGATGGCCACAATGGCTGGAGCTGGGCTGATTTGAAGCCAGGAGCCAGGAGCTTCTTCCAGGTCTCCCAAGCAGGTACAGAGGCCCAAGGACCTGGGCCGTCTTCCACTGCTTTCCCAGACCATAGCAGAGAGCTGGATGGGAAATGGAGCAGCTGGGACTTGAACTGGCCTCCATGTGGGATGCCAGCACTGACGGTTAGCCCCCTCTGATCCATTTTTGACTTTAAACTTTCTTCTTCCCAGAAAGCCTAATAAGAATAGTTGTTTCCTTTTCCAATTTTACCATGGCTTACTTTTTTCCTTTTTAATAATTAGATCTTTAATCCAATTAAAAATGATTTCGATGGCTGAGGTCTCATCTTTGGTGATATTAGATTAATTAGATTCCTTCTCTCCCCGAGCTATCCCAACACAGAATAGCTCCCCAAGACCATTTTTTGTGTCTCTTGTGTATCATATGACATTCTTTTTTTAAAAAAATATTTACTTATTTATTTGGAAGTCAGAGTTACATAGAGAGAGCAGAGGCAGAGAGAGAGAGAGAGAGAGAGAGAGAGAGAGAGAGGTCTTCCATCCGCTGGTTCGATCCCCAATTGGCAGCAATGGCTGGAGCTGTGCCAATCCGAAACCAAGAGCCGGGAACTTCCTCTGGGTCTCCCACATGGGTACAAGGGCTCAAGGACTTGGGCCATTTCTACTGCTTTCCCAGACCATAGTAGAGAGCTGGATCAGAAGTGGAGCAGCTGGGTCTGAAACCGGCACCCATATGGGATGCTGGCTCTTCAGGCCAGGGCGTTAACCCACTGTGCCACAGCGCTGGCCCCCATCAGAGGACATTCTTTTCTAGGGGGGGTTACAATATCTCAATTCACTGTTGTTTCAATGATTATTGATCCAAATGGAAGATTTTTCGCCATTCTGTTGCCAGAAACATGTGAAATGCACTTGAAACTATTTAAAGGAGATTTTCTTCAGTGAAGTAAATGAATTTTGTTTATACTACTCAGATGACCAGGCCATTGGATCATGGTATGGTAGAGCTGGGAGCACAGACTGTGGGTTTGGACAACCTGGGTTGAGATCCTGGCTGCCCACTAACCAGGTGACCTTGGACATGCCATCAACCTCCTCTCACCTTGGTCTGCTCCCTTGTAGCAGTGGAATGGTAACAGTACCCACCGCAGAAGATCAGTGTGCATGCACATGCATAGACATAGGCACACCACTTAGAACTATGCCACCACAGAGTGCTCGGTGAGCTTGCTGGGCGTGGTGTGTTAGCATGGTACTCCCTCCCGTAGACTGCATATGCCTCTTCTTGAATTACATCCATTAAGAAGCTGTATAATGGGATGGGAGGAGACTTTTCCTGTTACCTCCTAATCTGTGACTTTGGACACACAATTTGGGACAAGGTGCTACCCAATATATTGTAATGCAAAGGCCCTTAGCCTGAGGTTCATGAACCTGATAGGAAAAAGCCCACTTCCTCATTTTCACTTATCTCTAACTGAAATTATTTCTTTCTTATGAATGCAGGCTAATATTGCACATCAAGTATAGTCTGCTACATCGTCTCCAATAGAAATCAGATATTTCTAATAATTTTTGGAGTTTGTTTAGGATTTATTTGAAAGGCAGTCACAGAAAGAGGGATAGATAGAGAGCCACTGGTTCACTCCCCAGATGGCCACATCGGCCAGGGATAGGCCAGGCTGAATCCAGGAACCAGGAGCTTCTCTGGGTCTCCCATGTAGGTACAGGGGCCCAAGGACTTGGGCCATCTTCTACTGCTTTCCCAGGTCATAGCAGAGAGCTAGATCAGAAGTAGAGTAGCCAGGACTTGAACCAGCACCTATATGGGATGCCGGCACTGCAGGTGGTGGCTTAACATGTTACAGCACAACACCAGCCCCCTAACCTCATCACTTTACAGCTGTTGCAGATGTCTTGAATTACTGTTTGCATTCACCATCAGTTTAAAGTTATGAAGGCTTTGGGGGCAGGCACTGTGGGACACCTGCATCCCACAGTGGCATGGACGGCTTCACACCCTGGGTACTGGGCTTCCAGTCCAGCTTTCTGCTAATGGGCCTGGCTAGGCAGCAGATGACAGCCAAGAACTTGGGTCCCTGCATCCGTGTGAGACCAGGTTGGAATTCCTGACTCCTGGCTTCAGCCTGGCCCAGCTCTGGCTGTTGTGGGCATCTGAGAAGTGAACAAGTGGGTGGAAGATCTCTCTACCTCTACCTCTACCTCTACCTCTCTCTCTCTCTCTCTCTCTATCTCTATCTCTATCTTTATCTCTCTACCTCTATCTTTATCTCTCTCTACCTCTATCTCTACCTCTATGTTTCTCTACATCTACCTCTATCTCTACCTCTCTCTCCATCTCTATCTCTATCTCTCTCTGTCTCTGTCTCTATCTCTGCCTCTGCCTCTATCTCTACCTCTATCTCTATCTCTCTTACTCTGCCTTTAAAATAAATAAACAAACAAATAAATAAATCTTAAAATTTTGGAGGCTTTAGAATTGCTGCTCACTCTTGGTATTTAATCTATTAATAAAGAAGCACGTATAGTGCTATGTCACACTTGCCTTAATATTTTGATTTCTGTATTTTGATATAATTGGTTTTCTTTGTAACTCTATTTTATTTTATACATTTACAGATTTCTTATGAGAATGCTCGTAGAATTCCCCAGACAGGGGGCCAGCATTGTGGCACAGTGGTTAAAGCCACTGTCTGTGACTTTAACCTGTTGTACCATAGCACTGGCCCCAGTAAATCTTAAAAAAAAAAAGAATTCCCCAGATGGCTAGAGGATCCACAACACACTCATGCACACATATACATACAAACACACACACACACACACACACACACACACAGGATTCCTGCTCTTAAGGAGGTAAGGAATCTCTGAGGTGAGAAGCCCTCCTCACTCTCCCTGGGGAGCACAAAGAGGTGAGGACTTTTCTGGGTCAGGCACTGTGCTGAGGGTTTTGTGTATTTATCTTTATTTAATCTTCCCAACACCTTGACGTAGGCTTTTTTTTTTTTAAGATTTATTTATTTGTTTATTTTGACAGGCAGAGTTAAACAGTGAGAGAGAGAGACAGACAGACAGAGAGAAAGGTCTTCCTTTTTCCGTTGGTTCATCCCCCAAGTGGCCACCACGGCCGGTGTGTTGTGGCCGGCGTGCTGCGCCGATCCAAAGCCAGGAGCCAGGTGCTTCCTCCTGGTCTCCCATGCGGGTGCAGGGCCCAAGCACTTGGGCCATCCTCCACTGCCTTCCTGGGCCACAGCAGAGAGCTGGACTGGAAGAGGAATGACCGGGACAGAGTCTGGCGCGCCGACTGGGACTAGAACCCGGGGTGCTGGCACCGCAGGTGGAGGATTAGCCTAGTGAGCTGTGGCGCCAGCCTATTTATTTATTTGGAAGTCAGTGTTACACACAGAGAGAAATAGAGGCAGAGAGAGAGAGAGAGAGAGAGAGAGAGGTGTTCCATCTGCTGATTCACTCCCCAATTGGCTGCAACGGCAAGAGCTACCCTGATCCGAAGGTAGGAGCCAGGAGCTTCTTCCAGGTCTCCCACGTGGGTGCAGGGCCCCAAGGACTTGTGCCATCTTCTACTGCTTTCCCAGATCATAGCAGAGAGCAGGATCAGAAGTGGAGCAGCCAAAACATGAACTGGCGCCTGTGTGGGATGCCGGCACTGCAGGCGGCAGCTTTACCTGCTACGCCACAGCACCGGCCCCAAGAAGTGGGTTTTTATTATTGTCCCCATTTTATAGAAGAAAATATTGAGGCTCAGAGGAGTGCGTGAATTGCTCATGGTCCCGGAGCAGTGACTGGTGCTGGATTCCATGCTCCGATAGCTGTGCCTGCCACACAGAACCTCTGAGCCTGGCCACTTGAGATAAGTACCTCATTCTCACTCTACAGACAAGGAAACCGAGTCTGGAGAAGGAAAGTCCCTTTTCCTCAGCGCTGTGTGACACGGTCAGGCTGTGACTTCAAAGGTCCCACATTCTGCTGCACCCTGCAGGGATAATTACATGTGTAGCCTGTGAGAGGTGATGGTTGGCCAGATACATGACTCAGGCAAACCGTTACATGCCTTCCATCAGGATTAGATGGTTTGGAAGGAAATTACTACTCTGAGTGCGTTCACTCTGAGGCCACAGAGCTGTGTGGGGAGCGTCCTGGTGGATGTGAAAGACACACTAGCATTTGGAAAACTCCATTAGCTGCTATTGTCTAGACTAGAGAGTCAAAAGGAGGAAGCCGGAGATAAAAGAATTCACAAGTGGGAAGTTCTGTGTTGGGGGCTCCTGCTGAAACAGAAAGAACCATTATTTTGAAACCATTAATGATGAACTTGGTAAGGATCAAAGTAGTCTTGTGACCTGTAAATCTAATGAAATGAAAGTGAGGTAATGGCATGTTTTATAATGCCGACGGATCTGAGACGCTGGAAATTATCTCAGCATGAGCACTACACGGGAAGAGCGAACAATGGAAGCCATCCAGACAAGGATCTTTATTCAGCTGTATTTATAGCAGGCCTTCGCCTTGTCTTTCAACGTGGGGATCACAAAGGCGCCTGTTGCACCTTGCTGGGTGTATGAAAATGCAGCGGTTGGCACAGTCCCTGCACAAAGGAGGGAAAGACGACAAGGGGGATGAATAGCTCTGGCTCTGGCTCCAAGGGGAGGGGAGACAGCAAGCAAGACAGAACCTGGGAGAGAAAAGAACCGAAAGAGGGTCTTCCCACCTCGCCCAAGCCCATTTCTCTAGAACTGAGCTGTCTCATAGTCGTCACTGACTGTGGCTATTTACATTTGCCAAAATTAAATACAGGGGCAGGTGTTTGGCCTGGGGGTTAAGATGCTGCTTGGGAAGCCTGCATTTGGTATTGGAGTGCCTACGTTTGTGTCCAGCTCTGTTCCTGATTCCTGCTTCCTGCTATTGTGCACCCTGGGAGACAGCAGGTGATAGCTCAAGTGGTTGGGTCCCTGCTCCCCACAGGACAGACCTGAATCGGGCTCCTGGATTCTGGCTTCAGCCAGCCCAATCTTGGCTCTTGTTGATATCTGAGTAACGAAATGGCAAATGGAAGTTCCCTGTCTGCCAGTGTCTCTGCCTTTGAAAGGAAAAATGAAAGAAAGAGAAATTCCACTAGTCGAGGCTTCTTGTCATGCATTTTTTTAAAAAAGGAAAAAAAGTAAATCTAATTGTTGAAAGCTCACTGCCTCAGCTAATAGGTACACTCCAAGTGTTCAACAGGTACAGGTAGCTAGTGGATACCACACTGGGCACTGCAGATATAGTGCGTTTCCATCACAGAAAGTTCCCCTGGGCAATATTCAAAAGTCAGCACAGGGGTCCATGATAAGACAGAAGAGTGGAGTCTTCTAAGATAGCACAGGGGTCCCAGGTCCTGTTGGGACCCTCAATGAGCTACTGGCACTCTCCAGAACTCGGTTTCCTAATATTATTGATTAATATTTTTAACCAGACATTATAAAGAGATAGTCACATAATTAATTTAGTCTTAAGATGACAGGCGAGTTCTTAGGGCCCCTTTACAGGAGAGGAAGTGGAGGTTAAGAACCTGCTCAGTGGGGCTGGCTTTGTAGTGCAGCAGGTTAAGCTGCCCCCTGCGATGCCGGCATCCCGTATCAGAGCACCGGTTCGAGTCCCGGCTGCTCTGCTTCTGATCCAGCTCCCTGCCACTGTGTTTGGGAAGGCAGCAGATGATGGCCCAAGTATCTGGGCCCCTGTCACTATGTGGGAGACCTGGATGGAGCTCCTGGCTCCTGGCTTCAGGTTGGCCCAGCCCTGGCCATTGCAGCCATCTGAGGAGTGAACCAGTGGATGGAAGTGTGCTGTCTCTGTCTCTCTCTGTACCTTTTTTTCCAAATAAAAGTCCCATAGTCAGTAGCAAAACTGGATTTTGTATCCAGGTCTCTGACTTCTGAAGTCACTGTCCTATCCTCCTAGCCACACTGCCTCCTGCTTTAGTCCTCATTTGTAACTCATGGAGTCGTAGCTGGATTCCCCCAGAAAAAGAAGCTGAAATGAGGATTTGAGTCAGGTAGTTTATCTGGGAGGTGACCCCAGGAAGCACGGGTGAGGGCATGGGGAAGTGAAACAGAGAGGGGAAGGAAGAATTTACCGGGTGAGCCAGGAGCGGGTTCCACTGTGGGCAGCTTCATCTTGGAGACCACATAGAACTTCTGCCTCTCAGTTGTCCTACATAATGGAAGGGGGAAGTTGGTGCATCTATCCACCAACTCCTCACCTGTCATGGTAGGAGGCTATTCCAGGGGCATTAACCGTGGCACTTCGGCCCCGCCACCCTCAAGGGCTAAACATGCTCTTGTGGTCACAAAAGATCTGCCTACACTGGATAGGATGGGAGGTTGTCAGCTAAACGTGTGAATTTGCAAAGTTTTTCGGAAAGTATTTTGAAAAATTCTGTTAGCGTTTACAATATACTTACCCACAAATTCATTCTATAAATATATTCAAGAGAAATACAAGGACGAGTGCCTAAGCATATGTGCACACGGCTGTGTGTTCTTGCATGCTTTCCCAGCGTGAAAAACTGGATGGTAGAATCAACTGTGCCAAGTCCACACCATGGAATATTACACATTTTTAAAAAGAATATGTCCTATCTGTGTTTAGCTTAGACTTATTTCCATGATACATTGTTAAGTAGAAAAGTGGCTGCATAAAAATGTTGCTATTCCTTTTCTTGTGAAATGAAGAAATATTTTCTTAAACATGTAGGAAACACAATAGGCTGTTAGGGGCAGGGTAATGAGTAGCTAAATGGAAAAAAAAAACAGTTGTTGATAACAATTGAAATAATGTAGATATTATGATGTTAAAGGAAAATGAGAAATAGGTGCTCCATCTATGATATCCTTGGGGAAAAGAAATCTAAAGGGAAAAAGGTTACAAAGTGACTCATACAAATGTATCCATGTAAACATTGATTTAATTTGGGGATGGACCCCTGGGTCATTTTCCGATCTGTAATAAAGTGTCCATTTCATGTAAATATATGAGTGGAGATGGCTGGATATTCACTGGACTATGGCTACATGAGAAGATGCAGAATTGTATCCTTGATCTGGATTCCCCACCTTTCTTTTTCTCACTCTTTCACTGAGAAGAAGTTTCCCGCCTTTTGACTTTTGAACCTAGCTCCCCTACAGGATCGGGCCAAGAAAGCATCTGCCTGCTTTGGGTTTTAGGGCCTGGTGTGTGGGAGGAAGGTGAGAGGAGGAGATTCCACCCTGCAGAGACAAAGGCAAGCTGGAGCAGGTGCACGGACGGAGGCGCACGCAGGGCCAATGGACTGCTTTGGCTGCTCGGCAGCTGCACGCCCTCCTTACCTGGGAGGAAAAGGGCCATCAGGCAGCCAGAATGTGGAGTGTAAGCCAAGTGTGGCCACTCTGAAGTTCCTTCCCAGGACCTTTTTTTTTTTTTTTTTAAAGAGAGGAGAGGCAGAGAAAGAGAGGTCTTCCATTCACTGGTTCACTCCCCAAATGGACGCAATGGCTGGAGATGGGACAGTCTGAAGCCAGGAGCCTGGAGCTTCTTCCAGGTCTCCCAGGTGGGTGCAGGGGTCCAAGCCTTAGGCCTTCTTCTACTGCCTTCTCAGGCCACAGCTAGAGAGCTGGATCAGAAGTGGAGCAGCCAGGCCTCGAACTGGCACCCATATGGAATGCTGGTACTGCAGACAGAGGCTATACCTGCTATGCCACAGCGCTGGCTCCCCTTCCCAGGACTTTTATTTTTAAAAAAAAAAGTTCTATTAAGCTGGCGCCGCGGCTCACTAGCTAATCCTCTGCCTTGCGGCGCCGGCACACCGGGTTCTAGTCCTGGTCATGGTGCTGGATTCTGTCCCGGTTGCCCCTCTTCCAGGCCAGCTCTCTGCTGTGGCCAGGGAGTGCAGTGGAGGATGGCCCAGGTCCTTGGGCCCTGCACCCCATGGGAGACCAGGAGAAGCACCTGGCTCCTGCCATCGGATCAGCGCGGTGTGCCTGCCGCAGCGCGCCGGCTGCAGTGGCCATTGGAGGGTGAACCAACGGCAAAAGGAAGACCTTTCTCTCTGTCTCTCTCTCTATCCACTCTGCCTGTCAGAAAAAAAAAAAGTTTTATTTATTTTATTTGAAAGACTTACACACAGAGAGAAGGAAAGGTAGAGAGAGAGGTCTTCCATCTGCTGGTTCATTTCCCAGTTGGCCACAATGGCAGAAGCTGTGCCAATCCGAAGCCAGGAGTCAGGAGCTTCTTCTGGGTCTCCCACGTGGGTGCAGGGGTCCAAGGACTTGGGCCATCTTCTACTGCTTTCCCAGGCCACAGCAGAGAGCTGGATCCTTCTCAGGACTTTTAATCTTGAGGGAGTGATGCTCAAGTTCAGAGCCAGTTAGAGATTGTAGTTATCTACTACTGGGTAAGAAGTTATCCTACCCCTCTTGGTCTCTTCCCCTCTCTCTGTAACTCTGACTTTCAAATAAATAAATAGATCTTTAAAAAAGGAAGGGGAGTAATGTTGTGGTGTAGTGGGTAAAAACTGTTGCCTGCGATGCAGGCATCCCATACGGGTGCCAGTTGGAATCCCAGCTGCTCTACTTCTGATCCAGCTCCCTGCTAATGGTCTGGGAAAAGCAGCAGAAAATGGCCCAGGTTCTTGGGCCCCTGCACTCTTGTAGAAAACCCAGATGAAGTTCCTGACTCCTGGCTTTGACCATCTGTGGAGTGAACCAGCAATTGGAAGATTCTCTCTTGGCTGGTGCCACAGCTCACTGGGCTAATCCTCCGCCTTGCAGCGCCGGCACCCCGGGTTCTAGTCCCGGTCGGGGCACTGGATTCTGTCCCGGTTGCCCCTCTTCCAGGCCAGAACTCTGCTGTGGCCAGGGAGTGCAGTGGAGGATGGCCCAAGTGCTTGGGCCCTGCACCCCATGGGAGACCAGGAGAAGCACCTGGCTCCTGCCATCAGATCAGCGCGGTGTGCCTGCCGCAGCGCGCCGGCTGCAGTGGCCATTGGAGGGTGAACCAACGGCAAAAGGAAGACCTTTCTCTCTGTCTCTCTCTCTATCCACTCTGCCTGTCAGAAAAAAAAAAAAAGTTTTATTTATTTTATTTGAAAGACTTACACACAGAGAGAAGGAAAGGTAGAGAGAAAGGTCTTCCATCTGCTGGTTCATTTCCCAGTTGGCCACAATGGCAGAAGCTGTGCCAATCCGAAGCCAGGAGTCAGGAGCTTCTTCTTGGTCTCCCACGTGGGTGCAGGGGTCCAAGGACTTGGGCCATCTTCTACTGCTTTCCCAGGCCACAGCAGAGAGCGGGATCCTTCTCAGGACTTTTAATCTTGAGGGAGTGATGCTCAAGTTCAGAGCCAGTTAGAGATTGTAGTTATCTACTACTGGGTAAGAAGTTATCCTACCCCTCTCGGTCTCTTCCTCTCTCTCTGTAACTCTGACTTTCAAATAAATAAATAGATCTTTAAAAAAGGAAGGGGAGTAATGTTGTGGTATAGTGGGTAAAAACTGTTGCCTGCAATGCAGGCATCCCATACGGGTGCCAGTTGGAGTCCCAGCTGCTCTACTTCTGATCCAGCTCCCTGCTAATGGTCTGGGAAAAGCAGCAGAAAATGGCCCAGGTTCTTGGGCCCCTGCACTCTTGTAGAAAACCCAGATGAAGTTCCTGACTCCTGGCTTTGACCATCTGTGGAGTGAACCAGCAATTGGAAGATTCTCTCTTGGCTGGCGCCACAGCTCACTAGCTAATCCTCTGCCTTGCGGCGCCGGCACACCGGGTTCTAGTCCTGGTCGGGGCACCGGATTCTGTCCCGGTTGCCCCTCTTCCAGGCCAGCTCTCCGCTGTGGCCCGGGAGTGCAGTGGAGGATGGCCCAAGTCCTTGGGCCCTGCACCCGCATGGGAAACCAGGAGAAGCACCTGGCTTTTGGCTTCGGATCAGCGCTGTGCGCCAGCCGCAGTGGCCATTGGAGGGTGAACCAACAGAAAAGGAAGACCTTTCTCTCTGTCTCTCTCTCTCACTGTCCACTCTCTCTCTTTCTCTCTCTCTGTACCTTTCAAGAAAATAAGTTCATAAATCTTTTTTTAAAGTTCTCCTACAAGGTAGTGGTTTGAAACAACAAGCATCTATTATCTCACAGTGTCTGTGAGTGGGATTCCAGGGCAGTGAGCTGGGCAGTTCTGGGTAGTCTGGAATCAAGTTTTCAGGTGGGGCGGAAGTCAGGTGAGGCTTGACTTGGGCTGGAGGACCCACTTCCAAGGTTACTTATGTGGCTGATGCCTGGAAGTTTTTGTTCCTTGCCACATGTGTCTCTGCAGAGTGACACGACATAGTAGGCAGTTGGGTTGCCCATAAGCCTGAGAGAGAAAGAGAAAGAGGGAGAGAGACACACAGAGAGAGAGAGTCCGAGCAAGCACACTAGATAGAGCTGACCTCAGATAGAGCTGTCTCCACTTTGTTGGCTTCTATGAGGACACACAAGGGTTATCTTGGAGGTCAGCAACTCAGGGATGGCTTGGGAGAACTCTTCTGTGGCAGGGTGTCATGTACATCCGGTGTCCCGGTGTTCGTGCCTGAGTCTCACTCTTCAGCCTTCTGGTCAATTCCATGAGCTGCCCAACACGCTTCCAATATTATCCTCTAATTTAAGGCCATCAGCTCTGTCTTCTGTTGTTCTCAAGGACAACCTGGACGAGGACAGGTGTCACGAGAGAGGACAGTGGCAGGGGAGGTGGCTTGGTAGTGGAGGGAACTCATTTTCGAGAAGGTGGGCGTGGGCGGCCTCTCTGAGGAGATGCCACCTGCCCCAGCCCTGGATGGTGAGGAAGACTCAGCAGACGACGCCTGGAGAGGGGGCAAGGGAGCAACACGAGGCTCTGGGGTGGGACGAGATGGCTGGACGGCCGGAGGGTTAGCAAGCCAGTGGGCAGTGGAGGGGGAGGCCAGAAGAAGCAATGGCAGAGAATTTGTATCCCTTGCCTGTGACCAAAGCCGTCTCTTATCCCAGACACCAGAGTCCGCAAAGCCTGAGGACCAGACCCACAGCCTCCTTGTCTGGAAATGAGAATCGGCCGGGTCAGTCCATAGCTTTAACCAGATTGTGAAAAAGAAACTGCGGTTTGTCACTCACACATCCGTTTGTCTGGTTCTTGGGTTTTCCCAATTTTTATTGGATTCTTTCTTGAGTTCCTTAGTTCTTTTTGATAAATTCCAGCCTAACTCTGCAGAACTAAAGTGAAAGATTTCTGTGAGGCCTGGGGATCCCAGCTAGGGAGCTGGTGGAGATGGGCAGTTTTCCAGGCTAGCGTGGGGCTGAGCAGGTGCACCCGAAGCAATCCCTTCAGCCTAATGACGTCACAGTCCCACATCTATACAGCAAACGCGTGTTTAGCATTCGGCACGTGCCTGAGCTCTTTGTCAGCATCAGGTCACACAGATGACCCAGACACTGCTCCTCCTCTCCGGGAATCAGGCTAGCTAGGGGTGGCCCAGTGCGAAGGCTACTGAGTGGGAGTTTCTTGTTGCTTAGGAGTCAGCAATACCCACAGCCAAAAAACAAACAAACCAGGCCCAGCATCCCTTGCATTCTCGGGGACCAGGAACTCTCTCCAGAGTTCACTGAGGGAAGTGGAGCTGGCCCCAAACCCACTCACCGAGACCCTGGTTTTCTCTTCCTTGACTGTGTAACCATCTGAGCAAGGGGAGGTCTTGCTCTCATTGAGGCTTGCAGCGTGTCCAGTGGGGGGTAATCCCCTTCTCTCCCAGCAAACACGAGGGGAATTCCAAAGGACTCTCAAGTGGAGGCTGACAGGGGCTGCTGGGGTGCTGCTTCCTGACAGGGGATCTGCGTGGCAGTGGGCACTACCATACTGATGGGAGCGGAAAGGGTGGGTCCCGTGGAGCAGCTGACCAGGTGGACACTGCCATGGTCAGCCAGGCTGCGGCACCCAAGCAAGCCGGGCAGGAGGATCCCACCAAGGGATGGACTCGGGTGGTGGGGTGAAGTAGGAGAGGTCAAGTGTACACAGGATGCCTGTGCAGGGGAGACGCCTCCAAGAAACCTACGCTTGGCTTCTCTTCTGTTTCCTGGCCTCTTGCCAGGAGTGGGCTGGCTGTAGCCCTGCGCCCCCAGGGTGCGTGGTCTGTGGGCCACCTGCTCTAGACTTCCTGGCCTAGATGCTCCTCCACGTGGCTGGTTCCTGGTGCTCGGTATGAACCCAGATTTACCTCTCTCTCTTAGATAAAGCTCTCACTCTCCTATGCATCATTCTTACTAAATAAAAGCCTAAAATGTAAGTAGGTAGGTAGGTAGGTAGGTAGGTAGGTAGGTAGGTAGGTAGAAAGAAAGAAACAAAGAAAGAAAGAAAGAAAGAAAGAAACCTACTCCTGGGTCCCCTGAGAAACCAGATATAGACACTCGCCACTCTGGGGAGCCAAGGAAGCAGTCAGCCAGCAGAGAGGGGGCCCTTGCCTGGGGCTGGACCTGAGGCTAGGGTGTCTCCCAGCCAGGCCATATGCCCTCCCCCTCCCTTTCCCCTTCTACTTGTAGCAGGAGGATCCTGGCTTGAGTTCACCCTTGGCTGAGTAAGAGAGAAGACAAAATGAGGTTTGAATTGAGTTTGTGAATCAAGCTTTAAAGGATGGATGGAGGTTTAACAACAGAAAGGGTCCAAAAGTGATGCAATCCGCCCAGGCTGCCATCAGGTGATGAGGCAAAGCGATTCTGCACCAGAG